AACGCGGAAAATTATAATTTGAATACCCATATATCCTTAATACCCGCGTAAATATAATGTTCTTAAGATGAAACGCGAAAGTTTAAAAGTTAGTAAAAGTAGAGAAGTTAAGGTGTTATATAATAAATTGCCAGACAATTTAATTAATATAAAAAGTACAAATCACTTTAAAAAAACTTTAAAGCTTATGTATAATCTAATAACTAGATATATGTGTAATTCTTTTGGAACCGTGAAATGTATGTTTCTTTTCGTTTTTTCCCTTCTTTATATATATGTAATCGACTCACAGAGGTCATGATGTATAACTGCATGATTTATTTATAAACTCATATGTGCTCGCTGAACTATTTGTGCTCATTTTATGAGAATAAATATCTTTAAACCGATATTATGGCCATTATAGGCACTGTTTAATGCGGCATAAATGCAAAAGTAGAGAAATTAAGGTTATCCTTAATTTGATGTGTCTAAATTACACGTCTAAATTTTGGTCAGTGGGTTGTCTTTGGGGTGTATTTGATTGGTTTTTTATTATCCTTAAGTTTATCTCTAGATTTACCTACGGCCGAAGGGCCGTAATGAACGATCAATTGAATGATATAGCATCATAACATTTACATTAGCAATATGTAAATACTTGCCGGTTTGGATCCAGTGGAAACTTCGAAAAAAGCAACTTGTTTCCAGTATGCCAGGCCTCCTTAATACCGCAAACTTCACATCTTCTGTGACCTTTACCCATGGTGATTCACACAAATTAAGATTAAACAATAATAACAAAAATAGAAGAGTCAAATATCTCACGAGGGTCAATTACACTAACAGAGTCAATATCTCGATAAAACTATGAAAGGATGAAACGGAGAAGCAGGTGCTCGACTCAACGTTATCCACAATCACAGAAATTCTTCTGATAAGTTATATTCCAAAATCTTAGAGAAAAAGGAAAAAACCAACAGAATAAATCACAACACAAACATAGTTACTCGGGAGCAGCCATATTGTGTTGACCACAGATTACATTTATCCACTTTCGCTATGAAAGTTCGTGCTGTAATGTTGGCCACCCTAACTTTTCTGAATGTTGGCTAAAGAACGTAACTAATTCCATACAAAAATAATTTTGTTCGAAGTTACACAGGACTGGGTTTACATACTCTATGCTTGACTGGACGTTTCACGCTGACGCACGCACGTTTATCACATCACATGACATTTCATTTCTTACGAGAGCATTGTTGTGAAACGTCGTTTGTGACGACGATAACTTTGAAGAAAAGGAGACTTATTGTTTAACAATATGGCTGCCATCTCGTATAATAATATGTTGGCGCGAGAAACAATATTTGGGCGATTGAATCAAAGAAGACCAAGGCTCCAACGTAAGCCATAATTGGATAACTACCTAATCACTAGCTCTTTTCTAGAAAATATATAACAATTCTAATCATCAATTTTTTCTAGGTTACGTCGGTGCAGCTTAAGCGCGTAATCGGAAGGTTCTGGAAAATTTCCATGATGGATGCAAGTCACAAGATGCGTTTCCCATGCCGATGAAATCAAGATGCCCATGCCCCTGATGGAAATTGAAGCCTGGGTAGACAACTGCAGTATGCAGTAAAGGTATAAATATGGTCCCAATAGAACGAAGCGTAACTGACATGTCGCAGTTTAACTTCGTTCACCCGTGTTATTAATGCATTTCAATCGTCCAGCTTTAGTCAAACTCCTTTTCCAGATTACATGGGTACTTTACTAGTTTGGTTTGTTTAATATTTAGTAATCTGATTTGATTACAAATAAATTTATATTTTGAACATGTTTTTCGTTAAGCCTGGACTTTTACAATGCATTAGCGGAACTTAGGTTCCGTTTCATATCATTAGAATTAAAGTAGGTAGGGTATTAGGTATCGATCCCAATGAAATGTCTCAAGGACAAAATATATCAGGTAAAAGGTAAAATGCAACAAAAACAAAATGGCGGTTCGAATCTTCCATGACGTTACGTTGCCAATCCATAGTGGACTAGGCCTACTGGGGAGACCACTTTAAAAAAAACGCACCTTGTGCTCTACCTCTAGGGTGGTGTGGAAACGGGCACCTCACTACTGTGGAATAACACATGCAATAAAAAGTAAGTATCGAAATGTTTCGTTACAAATGTTGTGACCTTTGTACTTTACGCTAATTAACCATAACATATGTGTTATTACGATTTCATTTATTTAGTCATAGATAGCTGCCCATAATTTCAGAATTTCGTTATGCACGCGTCGATCATACATACATGTTTTTTTTATAATTTTATCATGGAGGTATTGAACTTAATACAAATTGGGTAGTTTCCTAGGTCAAAAATAAATAAATTCGACTTTTCAATACAATAAAATATTGAAAAATAACTATTATTTTATTCATCGATCGATCGATACACTCAGTTTTGGATATTTTGTAGCTTATTGTTAAGAAATAAGTAAGCTATTTGACGCGAAAATACTATGACGTCATACCTCAGTTTTTCATACAAATCATAGTAAAGTATCGTTTTTGACATGTGGATAAAAGTATTGAATTCGACTAGTTGGAAACTACCGTATTTATAAATTAATTTAGACGAAGAGGTTGGTGTCAAGATGTCTGATTCGTTTTTAGTTTTAACGAAAAACCACCATCAAAAAGCTTGCATTTCCCAATTTTCTCTAACGTTTACATAGAAGTTATTAGATATTTCTTTCATACGAACCTAATACTAAAAAACACGCAGAGGTAAAAAATTAACAATATCGGTCTAATAACCTCCCGCATATTGAATAAATGGCGTGCGTTTGTGCAGCGGAATGTTGTTGAATTGAAAGATTTTAATTATGCAGATATTTAGTGTATGACGTCGTATAATTGTGTATGGTAAAAAAAAATTAGTGCACGCAACCATTGTGGAGAAATTCACCAAAAACTGATTCCGCTGGGCGAACGTTGTCCTGGCGGAACTTTTTGTAATCCATAGACTAGAAGAAAAGAGATGTATCCAAAAATTAGTGTGTATTTGTGTGTAACTGTGTATGTATGAATAAAATTAGTGCATGCATAAACTTCGGAGAAATTCAAGTTTCCGCTACGCGAACGTTTGGCCATTAGCTAGTTTTCATATAAAGCATAGAGAGCTGTAGATTTTTATATACGTTGTTTTGAATTTGTTTATATTTGTTTAAAAAACAGATTTAGAAAAAATCGTAGGGTTTAAAAGATAAAAATATGAACGTAAAATACGCTTATAAGGTCGTAGTTGTGTATGTACTATTCACATGCAAAATTTCATGTCATTAAATTCAGTAATTAAAGTAAAACAATTATAATACTGACGAAGCATCGAAAACGTACATAACCCGACCAAGTTCGGATGGCTACAAAAAAGCGGCTAGACCCCAAAGTGCATACTTTAAGAACTATGACCTAATAAGCGTATTTTACGTTTATATTTTTATCTTTTAAACCTTACGATTTTTCTAAATCTGTTTTTTAAACAAATATAAACAAATTCAAAACAACGTATATAAAAATCTACAGCTCTCCTCTATGTAAGCGCTTTATATGAAAACTAGCTAATGGCCAAACGTTCGCGTAGCGGAAACTTGAATTTCTCCGAAGTTTATGCATGCACTAGTTTTATTCATACATACACAATTACACACAAATACACACTAATTTTTGGATACATCTCTTTTCTTCTAAAGTCTATGGATTAAAAAAAGTTCCGCCAGGACAACGTCCGCCCAGCGGAATCAGTTTTTGGTGAATTTCTCCACAATGGTTGCGTGCACAATTTTTTTTTTACCATACACAATTATACGACGTCATACACTAAATATCTGCATAATTAAAATCTTTAAATTCAACAACATTCCGCTGCACGAACGCACGCAATAAATGACTGCACTACAAATTAAGTAGGTACTTGATTACCTACCTAACATGTAAAATATTAAAATTCATCAAAATTGGATTTTTTTCTAGTTGAAGCCACATTATACATCCACAGTACCGTTTTGATTCATTTCATCAACACTGCAATTCAGTAGGTATTTCAGATAATGTTGAAGAAGTATGTACCTATATTTTGATTTAAAAAATGGGATTTATAAAGGTCGGGTTCAGTGGTGTAACTAAACGTCGATAAAATGAAACAAGGTGTATCTAAAATTATTTTACTTTACGTTGCACTTACATCGATTCAGTGACATTGTACAGTCTCCCATGTTAAATTACTCTCCACCAATCACGCAGACTTGCAAAAATAATACTTATATCACTTTAAAACTAATTAAAATCTAAATGGTATTGTACAGTTGAGATATTTTTACAAAAAAGTATTATAAACAATGGTTTCTAAGAACCCATTGAAATATCTTATAGCCAGAATGTTAAACAGTTTTAAGTGTGTAATTATTTATAGAAAACCGCGAATAAAAAGTTAGATTCCTATCAAAACTTTTGTTTTAAACAATTGCTTACCTATCTAAAGATATAATAACAAATTTATAAATCAAAATTGTTTATTTAAAATTTTTAATGTACTAATTGCCACAAAATTGTTTCTCATCCTGAACGCTTCTGACCGTCAATTTATTTTTAAAGCGGTTCTAATTTTTTTACGATAAAAAATATAATCGTATTGCAATAGGGTGCGTCAAGGAACTTGTTTATGAAAGGCAGAAACATTTTTTAATTCCTACACGATATAAACTCATTTATCGAACTCAGTTTTATGTATGTAGATAACAAAACCCCGAGGCTTACGCAAACATTACAAAAAGCTGTCATACCTATTTCAATAATCTTAATGTCACTTCAAAAACTCATTGTTAAAGTCACTCATTAAACATATTTTAAACAAAATCATATGTATTTCTATTCAGATCATAACTTGTAATTGAAATGTTTTTTTTAGCTTAACTAATACGTCTAGGTCTATTGAAGTCGAATTTTTGGGTGAAATTAAACTGTCAAGTGTACTCTGCACAATTATTTGTTAAGTATTCCGAAAATATTGTTTTAGTATAGAAAGTAGCAACTATTGTGTGGCTACTGAGCCTATTAATGATTACACAAATCTCTTCATTAAAAACCCTAATATTACTTAGTCGGATCTTGTTTTTTAACGGATACAATGAAAATAAAAATTATTAGCTTTCACACGGAGGTACCTGCGCGTTCCTTACGAACCTTACATTAGCGGCTGAAACGTGTGAAAAAAGAAATTTCTTTGCCATTGCGCAAAATACGAAGCTGATTGCAATATTTTTTATTTTTGAAAAGTTCTTCAAAAACAAATAATAATATAATCAGACAATTTAAATTACTATTTTGTTGATTCATTTTTCTCCTAAATATTTCTACATTGCTATTTACAGTCAGCACGTAGTTAGTCGTGGGCTCTATGCCCGGAAAGTGATTCTCAAATGTTATTCATATCGTATAGAACTTGGGCGATTGTTCGAGAAGCTTCCACGCTGCTGAGAGCGATTGTCGCTAGATGAGCTTCATATGATCGCAGTTGTCTGTAACAGAAAGTTTGTAAAATTAATTAAAATTAATATTTTACAATCTTTTTTTTTTTCATTAGTCTCTAAAACTCGATATCGGCTGGACCGATCTTTATTTGTTTTTAACGACAATTTTACAAAAATATGCTACTGCCAAACTGCATAGCAGTTTTTTGGCAGACGTAGCTCCCGTGTTAACAAATTATTAATTTTGCAAACATAGTCTTTACACACACATAAGTACATAAATATTTTGACTACTTTAATTCAAGTTTTATACAATTTAATTAAGTTGAAACATTCGTGGAATTCCAGGGACAGGACAGTACACCTTTCATCGTAAGCTATGTATATGTATGATAGATCAACAAAATAGATATTCAGCTTACCTCCGTCCAGTGTTGGAATAAATGACAATATTCCTCAATATGAGGGCTGCAGTCAAACGTATGCTCTTCGTAACTGGACCCTCATTTTCATCCTGTCAAAAGAGATAAAATAATTAACACACAACATAATATAACATTAAATCCCCAAAGAAAAAGTGAAGGTAACGCACTACTATAACTAATATATAAATAAAACTAACTATTGATGAAGAGCAGCTTGCAACTGTGTAGGCAGTATGGGAGAGTTACCAAAACTAAAATTTCGGAGTACTATACAAATACCTTACTAATTTATACACTCCAATACTATATAGCATGCTAATAGGAAAGTGGAGATAGACACATCATGTAATATTACATATCATGTAATATTTAAAATCAACTATAAGAATCATCCTTATTCCAGATGAATCAGGCGAAAAAAAATTATTCATCAACTAAATGGAACTTACATACAATTAGTTCTCTCATCCACTCCCCTATTTTCTAAAAACATGTAAATTAAAAGTTACAAAATTATAATAAAAAAATCGACAATGAACAACACATGCATTGAACTGGGTGATTATAATGAACTTAAATAGCCTAGTCGTAGTAACAAAATTATGAAGAAAATGTAGACTAAGGGCTGATTTTTCAATAGTCAATGTTATCTGAGGAATAAAATTGTTGCTGTCACTGTTTTATACCAACATTCTGACGCGATAGCATCATAATTATTCCTCAAGTAACTTTTATCTAACAATTGAAAAATCAGCCCTAAAAATAGATACTTAAATTTAATAAATAAGAAATAGCTAGATACTGTTTGGATTATTTCTAAGGACAGATTTTGCTTCCACTATATTATAAACACATTTTTTTTGCTATGGATGGTCGAGTGGTTTTTTGTTACTATTTATTGTAATATTATTTTTCAACATTTCATTTGGCAATAAAATAGGTTCCACCGTTTTTTGGTGTAATTATAATATTTATAATTAAGGTAAGCTCAACTGATCAAATCAAGTTTGTGTGCCAGTTTAAGAGATTTTGTTATGGCATAAAGATTAAATTATCCAGTTGTGACTAGAAACTAGAACTTTTTTCAGTAATCTTGAAAAAAAAACATTAGCTTACACTAGGATTTCCTTCTGCGTCGTGGGTGCTTTTACAACCATACAATTTCATTCACACATCACACCCAGTCCCACAGGCACAACAATTTGTGGATCACATAAATAGTCATTCCGTGCGGAAATCTAATCCGCGACAAGTTGCGCCAGTTGCCCAACCACCGCGCCAACCGTGCAGTTAATTCAAATGAGTATTTTGCCTTTATATTTAATAGGCAAAGAAGAATTTCAAGTTATAGCCAAGACTGCGCTTTTATTAAATTAATGGCAAAGGATGACAAAATTTATCCGAATTTTATTGTATAAATTTTATTGTTTCTAAACGTTGGGATATTAGAGAAATCTTAACAATTAGTTGACATTTTGTTTATACAAATATTTAACAGATTGACATATTATGTGAATAAAAAATTTATAAAATTGTATATTAAAGAACTTTTCAACACACAGTATTAATATGCCAGAGCATATATTGTATAACTATTAGACATATAGTAATTTTTCCTAATTTTATTATAAGGAATTCTTGATTCACCACAAAAAAAATTTAGTATTAACTTACAATAATAATTGGTCCCTGACTTAGTCAAAAATGAATAAAATCCGTACATTAAAAAAAACAATCTTTCATTGTTATAAATTTTTTCCAGCTCAAGACATAAGTATGCTATTTGACTCAAAACGTGACGTCACAACACAACCTCTTACCAAACTCATAAAAAAACAGTCGAATATGACAAATCAAAAAGTGTCTAACCTAACTTTCAAATAGTCAAATGATCCAAACAATATAAAGCCGACCTAGACCTCGAGGAGCAAAAACAACAAAAACAAAACAAAACAAACACAAGAGCTACAAAAACACACACACAAAAGCTTAAAACACAGAATGTGTATACGAGTGTCTCACCAGTTGTTCCGGCGTGCGACCGAGTTCTGCCCTGTGCTGCGCGTGCACAAACAGACACGTTAGTGTCGTCACTCTGTGCCTATGGTGTGGCGAGGATATCGTTTTGTGAACGTAAAGTCTCGTCCAATAATTAAAACTTATGAAAGACTTCACTAATCCGGTATATGAGATGGATTTCCATATATTTATGTGAAGGATACTCATCCGAAGAAGGGTCGGGTCGTAAGCTAAGGCCTTAAGTTATTTATATTATGGCCTAAAATCGATTACAGAAATTTTTTAAACTGTACTTAATAAGTTTTTATATCATGGTATATTGCGTACAAGTAGTCGTTTTCATCATTAAAGATTTGTATTCTATACAAACTTTCAAGCGACAAAACCAACCAGTGCGACGGATACGCTGTTTTAAATTTTTAAATAAAAATTGCACCAACAACTAAAAAAAACATGGCATCCGGGTTTGTTTAAAATGATCAGATAGGAAAGCCACTCTATGTATGGGTCGGTTTCACTGAAGCCTCCGATTAATAAATAATATCCGGAGAAAATGGAATATCCAGTCGATATTAAAATGTATTAAAAAAAAAACATTCACAAAACGATATCCTCTATAACAGCGCAATAGTGACTAGGCGATAAGGTGGTTGATTGTACTTTTAAATAAAAAAAGTATTTTCCAAAATTGTATGCATTGAAATCTAGTGTAAATATTTTTTGACAATATGGAACAACAGTCAAACACCCTATATGTATGTATGCATATTATGGTGACTTATTCAAATTAAGAAATAAACATTGAAAAAAAAACATTTATAAAAACATTTAAAAATTCGATTTTAGAAATATTTTATAATATCTTTAGGTAGACAAATGCATTTAATGACCCAGATTTATTATTTCACTATTTATTTAATTTTTGCACAACAATATAAGAAATAACATAGTTCCCACAAAACAAGTTTATTGGTTTGTCTGTGGTCGACGAGACAACCAAAAGATATATATCTGGACTTAACAGAAAAATTCTAGCGGAGGATTATCCTTCAAAATTTTTTGTCGGCAGCCAAAGACTCTGACTACGTCAATTTAGTAATTTCATTAATTGATTTTCAACTAAATTACAAAATATGAATTTAAAAATGTATTATACAAATAACTTTGTGACAAAATTTTGTCGTTATGAAAGTCGGGACTGCCCTGATTGAACCTACATTGAAAATGGGCGTGAAAGTAGGGTAGTTTCCAACCAGTCAAAATCATTCATTTTTCCGTAGTGTCAAAAGCGACAATTTCCTATGTATTTTGAGTAAAATAAGCACGTTGTGACGTCATATTTTTTTGTTAAATAGCATACTTATTGCCCTAGACTTAAAAAATACGAAACACATAAGAATGAATGATAGAATGAAGCTGCTGTTGATGAATGAATGATTCAATTAAATAAAGCATACAAGTATTTTTATAGTTTTATAAGTTAAAATAATTTATTTTTGACTTAGGAAACTACCCAATTATGACAAAAAAATAAATAAAGAAACAATGATTTTCGACGTTTGTATGTATTTTATGGCACACACACATAAGCATGATCAAATTACATATTAGAAAGGCTATTCTCATATTTACGCTAGCCAGGTGGCGCCAGTTTATTTAGAACTTAAAATGGTTGAAGTAACAATAAATGGCGGTTGTGTACATTATAAAAATTAATAAGTTTTGAAAAAGGAACATGGCACAAAGCGGTGCTTGATCACATTAAACAAATATCGCATTTTCGATCATTATTTGTGTCCGAAACTAAGACTGAAAATGAGCTACCATGAAGTTTCGTGCTCGTTCTTCTCTATAAGAATCTACACTCTTTAACGAAGTAGTTTTACTAGAGGACTGACCGACAAACAAGAACACTTTTTATTCTGTTTTACGTTTAGAAGTGACTTGTATTTTTCTACTAGTAATAAAAATACTGTTTGACTTTTGACTTGGTCAATTTTAAAAATATTTTGACAGGCCTTTTTCATGTTTTTTTATTACAATATCACTAATTACAGTATAGGAGCAGAGATTATTTCAAATCAAAATAGGATAAAGAATATTTGATTCGGTACGAATGTTATAACAAATATAAAACCTAATCTAAATTAAAGAATTTATGAACTTGTTTAAAACAATATTTTATCAGAACTTATTAAAATTATACATTTATATATTGATAATAAAGAGGCTAAACGACAAACATAAAAGAGCAAATTTTCATCAACTTTAACAATTTATTTGAATTATAGATTTTGAAGTTATCTTTTTGATATTGAATCCTATTGCAAAACCCCAATCTTTTTCAAAACTTATTAATATATAATTCGCAAGGTACTGAGATATAAGGTGTATAATGTAGGATATGATGACTTACCATGAGTTCTCTGGGGTTGAACATGTCGGCGGCATGTTTGTTCAAGGCAGCCAGCGCCGCGTTAGGCGGGTAGTTCAGTGTGACGGGCTTGCCGTCTGCGCCCTCACCTGCCGCGTGACGCCGGGAATAGTATACTGCTGTTAAAGCCTGTTGGATCATAATAAATATTATATTTGTATAGTCCCATTAGAGAGAAGATTAATGCTCAAACCTTCTCCGGCTGATGATGATGATGATAGTCCCATTGAGACTATTAACTGTTTTGGTGTCTCAAATTACTGAGGATATCAATCATCAATTCAATAAGCTGCGAAACGTTTCTGCTCATAAAATTAAATATGAACCCTAGAGTGGTTTAAAACTAGCTGAATTCCTTGTCAAACAGTTACGTGAAAGGCGTTAAATATAATAATTAATTTACACCTTGACTATCCACCCACCACAGACGGGGCCCTATAGGGCTGATGTTCAGCCAATGAGGCACCGCAACCTCGGCCCAGAGCAGGAGAAGGAACAGGGGTTTTTTTTTAGTCAGTAAGAGTCTGACACTCCCTCCCACCCGGCCCTGGTCAGGAGAAGTCATTTGATGATTGTCCCCTCACAAAAAAAAACTAACCAATTTAAGTAAATAGGATAGGACGGAAAACTAGCAGACAGATCACCTGATGGAAAACAATTAGCGCCGCCTATGGACTTCCTCAGAATCAAGCACGCTGACGTGTTGCTAGGGATTTAAGAGTTGGGTTTTTGGGAATTTATATCGGGGCTAATTTAAATAGCACATACTAGGTGGTTTCTGTGGTATCACCCCGGTCGAGCTGACCCATTCGTGCCGAAGCAAGAAATTCCCTCAATTCATAAAGCCCCAAGCTTACGACGGCACCGTTCCCGTACCTATTGTTTTTCTATTGTGTCTCGGATTACCACAATTAAGTCTTTAATGGCCGAAACACGCCCGCGGCTTCGACCGCGTGGTATGTTGATAAAAAGCCTATATCCTATTCCGAAGTGTATCTTACGCCTGTGCGAAATTTCATCCAGATCCGTCCAGCCGTTTTGGCGTTATTGTGTAACAAACATCCAAACATCGTAACTTTCGCATTTATAATATTAGTAAGAGTAAGATACATACCTGCATAGAACAATGTTTGTCAGTAAGATGGTTGAGTAGCGCGAATGTCTTCCGCGGTACTCTGTCGCAGTCCAGCCACATGCAGGGCGCCTCCCCGTCCGAAGTGCTCGGGCAGTGCGTACGCGCCGCGTGGAAGAATACTTGCGTTGCGTTGGCGAATGTTCTGCGGAATGCGTTATATGAGATAGTAAGTTTTGTTGTAATTATTTGTGTTATAGATACTGCCTCGTTGGTCTAAAGTAGTCAACTCAGAAAGGAGTCTAGGACATGGCAAAAAAAAATTAACATGGAATCTTGTATTCCGTCATTTAACCCCCCAATACGTAGAACTCATAACATTACTTTATTTATGGAAAACGGGAGCAAACTAGGACTCATGTTACCCGATGGTAAGTAATCGGCACCGTCCATACTAAGTTTGTTGCCAGTCTTAATCTATAATATAAAAATGAATCGCAAAATGTGTCGGTAAGCGCATAACTCAATAACGCCTGGACCAATTTTGCTAATTCTTTTTTTATGTTCGTTATTATAAGGAGAAGGTTCTTTCGACGCCGTGGCCGATCGCTTGCAAAACAAATGACTGACACCAGGGTAGTCGGGTCCGTGCGAAGCAGGGGCGGTCTGCTAGTATATAATATATATATAAGCGGGTTTTGGGGATTTAGGGATTGGGAGAAGGGTTGGGCCTCTACTACGTCACTCAACGGCGAAACAACAACGCTGCGATTGTTTCACACCGGCTGTGAGGTCGTGATTCTCACACTTCGGTCGAGTGGACCTACTCATGCCAAAGCATGGCCCTCCCACACTGGCTTATAACTGGTGGAAACTGGGCATAACATTGTATAATGTACTATCTATCTATCTCTTAAGGGTAATTAAGAGGTGTGGCTTGTTGTTAAGGAATATTTATTTATTCATTTATTTTATACTTCATGCACAATTTGACATGTACATTAAGCGGACTTATTTTTTTTTTTTGACAAGCTAGCAGACTGATGACGTGATGGTAAGCAATCAGCGCCGCCCATGGACATCCGCAATGGAGGAGTTACGAGTGCGTTGCCGACCTTTTAGGGATAAGGGATTTGGAGATTTGGAATTAGGGATTTGGAGATTTGGAATTAGGAATATTTTTTTTGGTTTTTTTAAACGTTGCCCCACAATAGGATTTTCTCCTGTGTCGTGGGTGCGTTTACAAACATACAATTTCACATGCACATCATACCCAGACCCGGAACAACAATCTGTGGATCACACAAAGAGTTATTCCGTGCGGGAATCGAACCCGCGAACATTACAAATATTTACTTAATGCATTGAGCATTCTCTACCAGTCAACCTGTGGGTGTTGCAGAGAATCCAGTAGTAGATGTAAGAAGCAAGCGAAAAAGAATATTATGAGTATAACATAGGTTTAATATATGTTTAACATAGGAATAATCGACCACTTACTTGCCACAACCTCGCCAATGGCATATCCAAGGCGTTTCATCTTGCGGACTCGTCGCCTGAGTGGGCTGCGGCGTTGTCGCCGGAGGCGGGGTTGGGGACGGCTTCGGTGTAGGCGGCTTTGGTGGCTGAAAGAATTTAAACTCTATTTTCAAGGCAGTATGTCTCAATTTCTAGTAAAGCATATATTTTCTGGAGAATCAGTATTATTAAAAAGTAGTCTTAGGGCCAGTTTTTTGATCCGTAGTTAAATACGATTTGACTATTTGTTATCTTAACTATAGTCAAGAGGGTAACAAATTGTTATTACGTAATTTCATTTTTTGATGTCCACTTTAACTATAGTCAAACATAACCATTGGTTAATTTGTTGCCAGTGCAATGAACAACTTCCTCCCTAGAAAAAACGTGTTTATTTGTGGGTATTTCTCTTTAATTGACAACACTGATCAATAATGAATGAAGTTAAACCAAATGTCATTTTTGATATTTCAAAACTTTCAAAAGTGTCTTGATTTCAAACTGAATCGTTTGGTTTTATCATAGAGATAGTATAGGTATAGAGAAGCTAATAGCGTATACGACGTGAGATAAAAAATGTCTTATATATACATTATAGGTAGGTATGTACATTAAACGGCTCACTACGGCTTTTATAGCCAATTTCACTGCAATTTACCGTATTAATTTACCGTATTGGTTCGATTTAAATAAAATAAAGCATAATTACGCTAAAAAGGGACAAGAAACATAATTGTTTTGTCTTGCTCACACCTACATATATTCCATTTGCACTTTCTCGCTCTAACCGTTATTATTGTTATAATAGCTTGTCTATTCTATTCTCTGTCTATGGGTTTTATAGTGTTTTCTTAAACTTGGTGTTTTTTGCAAATAATAAAGGACTTTTTATTAAATAATAATGTCAGGAAACAAGTAAGGAAATGTCTTTCTTTATATGTCTTATAAGTGTGGGAGAGCCATGCTTCGGCACGAATGGGTCGGCTCGACCGGAGTGATACCACGGCCTCACAGAAAACCGGCGTGAAACAACCACAGCGTTGTGTTTCGCCGTGTGAGTGAGGTCACCGGAGGCCCAATCCTTCCTCTCCCCCAATCCCTCCTCAATCCCTCAGTCTCCAAATCCCTTATCCCTAAAAGATCGGCAACGCACTCGTAACTCCTCCGTTGCGGGTTTGCGGGTGTCCATGGGCGGCGCTGATTGCTTACCATCAGGTAATCCGTGTGCTCGTTTGCCGAACTATTACATAAAAAAATGTTATTGAATTGTCATCCATAAGTCTTCAAATATTGTGCTGACTTTCGTGGTATTTTTACTATGTATTTTTATGTGGTATTTTATTCATTATTTCATAAATTTCCAGGGAAAACCGCAGTTCTAACTTTAAATCTTCTGAGTCTGACGCATCAAAATAACGGACAATATTTAAATTAATTATAGATAAAATGTAATTCTTCGGAATGAGATCACAAAATTATACAACAAAGCAAGAATCAGCTGTCGAATCTAGTTTAACTATCCGCCATCTTGGTTAACCCGCCACCGAGCCGTGGTTAAATTATTTGACTAATAGTTAATAATTTGACAATTAGTTAAGCTAACTAATGATCAAAAAACACATTTTGTCGATATTTAACCATTAGTCAAGATTTTTAACAATTGGTTGGGTTAACTACGGATCAAAAAACCGGCCCTTAGTAGTAGTAACTGCTTTTGACAATGAGGTGTCATTTGTCTACGGCTTAAAATATTTAGAATTTGGCTAAAGTTAGGTTGGTTATGTAATTATTATGTACTGAACTAAATAAATACTGTGAAATTTTAAAATTATTAGTTATTATCTATACTTATATTATAAAGAGTTAAAATATGTAAGTTTGTATGTAGGGGGTAATCTTTGGAACCGCTGGTCGGATTGCCAAAATTCTTTCACTGATAGATAGCTACAATGTTCCTGAGTGCTATACGCTATAAAACATCACGCTATGATTAAATGGAACCGAGCAGCGGGAAACTGCGCGAGATTAGCTAGTTTAGTATAAATAGCAAAAACTATATGAGAATTCCATTTAAGTATTTCTCTGCCTAAAAAATCTATTATTTTATTTTACTTTTTTTTCTTTAATGATATTTACCTCAGTAACAGGTTGGTTTACAACGAGCTCTTTGTCTCCAATCTTGGTGTTACCGACCATGACCGGCTGACGGATAACCTGTCTCATCACAGGCTGCGTTGCTGTCTTCTGCAAAATATAAATTCTATGTCTAGACTCCGTAATAAACAAGATGGCAATTGGGTAGTTTCCTACGTAAAAAATAAATTATTTCGACGTTTCAATACAATAAAATATTGAAAAATAACTAACTAATACGGCGCCGCCCATGGCAGCCCGTAAGAACAGAGGAGTTATGAGTGTGTCAACGACCATTTGGGGATTAGGGATTTGGAGATTAAGGGATTGGGGGAGGGGAAGTATAGGGCCTCTGGTAACCTCACTCACTCGGCGAAACACAACGCTGTGGTTGTTTCACGCTCGTTTTCTGTGAGGCCGTGGTATCACTCCGATCGAGCCGACTCATTCGTGCCGAAGCATGGCTCTGCCACACTAAAATTTATTTTTAATTTTACCCGTGTTGATCTTTCTTGAGGAATAAAAACCTTCTTTCACAAACTCACCGGGCTCTGTATAACGCTAGTCTTGGCCTCACTGACGACTGACACTTGATGACTCTGTACGCTGGTGACTACGGGACTCCTTTGAGGTTGTTGAACAACGCGGTGGACATTGCTCTTCATCGGAGTATTTACTATGATAGGCTGTGTGTTCGACACTGCTATTATCTGCTGGCTGCCTTGAAGGAGTTGTTGGTTGCCTTAAAAATGTAAAAGAAGTATATTAAAACATTTTAAGAAATCATCAACTCTATTTTGTCTGCGACAACTAGCCTAAAGTATGAAGGTTAAAAATTGTTTAGTTTTAAGATAAGATTATTTTGATACAATTAGATTAAGTGAGTTCATAGTATTCGCCAACATACACTATTGATAAAATAGTTAATAAGTTAAAGTATTTTGAAAACTTTGTGAAATAATCTATAATATAAAAAGGAATCGCGAAATGTATTGGTAAGCTCATAACTCAATAATGACTGGACCAATTTTACTGATTCTTTTTTTTGTTATATTCGTTATTTTTATGTGAAGGTTCTTACGAAAGAAAAGTTTAGAAAAATAAAGGGGAATTTCAAATAATAATAACAATCCTTTCGGTGCTGTGGCCGTTTGCTAAAAAAACAAATGACTGACGGGGTAGTCGGATAGTAACTTGCTTAACATATAACACTTTTTTTTTGTAGGATATGGCCACACACGAGTATACCTACCCGTGCGAAGCAGGGGCGGTCCGCTAGTTATAAATAAATAAAAATCGAGGATGGAGCTAAATAAATTTTTGGTCTGTGGAAGTCCTCTACGTAAGAGGCCTTTTCCCATAACGACCACGGCAAACGGACTGGGTTGAGATCGCAGTAGCAATGGATAATTCTACGGATCTGATTAATGTTGCTATCAATTAAATAAGGCTGTTTTATCACTGAAGATTATATTTTACCGTTGAGCCGGCCTATCCATGTAGAAGCATGCCTCTCTTACTTATAACTTGCATAACATATAACACTTTTTTTTTGTAGGATATGGCCACACACGAGTATACGTAACACCCGATGGTAAGCGATCGCCGCCCACATTCAACACCAAAATAATTACAAGTGCGTTGCGTTTGAGGTTTATTAGGGATTTGATGAGGACGCTGGATAGAGCCTCCGATAACCTCACTCACATGGCTAAACATAACAAGCATTATTTTACGCCAGTTTCCTTTGAGGCCATGGTCTCACTTCCGTGGCCGGTAAATTTGTGCCGAAGCACGGCTCCCACGTTAAGCATGCAATAAAAAAAACTTGACGGATTAAGGAATAAATAGTTACCTTGTATAATCTGCGCCGAACTAGTAACAATCTGGCTGCTACTAGAAGTGCTTATAAGGGCCGGTGGTTGCTTCTGAGTAACCACTATTTGCTGAGTCTGTTGAGGGTTGATGATCTGCGCCTTATGTGGTTGTGGTTGATTCGTTATAATTGGCTGCTGGCTAGGAGTAATCTGAGGTGTATTCTGTGAATTTTTAACACCAATATTAATGTAAAATAATATAATGTACACTCGCCTGCAAGTTAACCTACTTCAATCTGTTATTAGAACTTCAACTTTAAAATAAATGCAATAAGGTTGAAAATCGAAAACAGAATTTGACTGAAAAGGGTAGATTGACCTGCTGGCAACTGTACCTACAGAGATTTAAGCCTAAAAGCTAACATGAATGATAGTTAACTACACAAACAACGGAAGAAACTAAATAATATGCACATAATGAGGTAAGGAACATATGGACATGACAGTTTACATGAAAATTATGGTAGGTATATAGATAATGGTACATTACCATGCTTGCTTCAAACAAAACAAGCTATTGCGTCACAACACAAACTTGAAATCATTTTTTAACCTTTCGTGTGTATTAGAATGTATTTTCTATTGTGTCCTTTAAACAGACATTCAACCGGTTTATAGCTAAAGAGATCAGTGTGATATATTTCAAGTTTGGTCGCAATTTAATACACGAACTCTGTTTCAGAAAGACGACCTATGAAAAGAGTTCATCTTTCGGGAATCAGAGTTGACAATTACGCAACGTGCAACAAAAATTATGAAATAATATTTAAGGAAATAATATACTTCTATAAAGTAAATTATTATTACAAAAAGATAGCAAAATATCTAGTACTTGCGTTTTACTGTGAAACCGACATCTTTGATTTATGAAATTTATTATTAAATTATAAAATTCACATTTTTGTTACACGTTATATGTTATTAAATACAGTATGAAGCAATGAAGATGAGAATGATGATTTTGCGTTCACCTGATGGCGCTAGCGAAGCATATAGGACTTTTAGTAATTGTAGTCGGATAACGTATTTTATATAAAATTTTAAAGGCGTTATGCCACACTAGAATCTAAAAGTCGGGTACTCTCATTAGTCAAAAACAAAATTGTTGCGATTTTAATGAAACAATAATTAAAAAATATTATAATTTCACTCAACGATATTAAAAAATACTTATTTTACGTCTTAATTTCGAGTCACTTTGACCCTGCAGGGTAATTTTGATCAAAAGTCATTAACCTATAATAACCCAAACGTACATTCGACTTATTGGTTTGGAAATTTAGATCAAAGTTACCTCCAAAGTGACTCGAACTTTGGTACTAATTGGCTCAAATAAACACGACATCAGAACACAATCTCTAGAAAACAAATCATAGGAATACTATTAATTTTGAAACTTATTTCGTCAATTAAATTTGACTAATCTTCAAGTACCCGAATTAAAGAAAAAAAAAATACATTTATCGATTACAATGAAAGCAGAATACACATTAATAGTAATATACAGACATAGAAATAAATATAAATACTATGAACTATGTATAGACATATATACCAGTTACCAATTCCAAGCTACCACGACGTCTAACAGATCTGCGATAAAGGACCTAAGTTACATAATACATCGGTGTACTTTGAGCTATAATAGTAAAGCCACAGAGTCTAATTTGGAGCAGCATTTCATGCCTAAGAGCATTCAACACAGAAGGGATTTTTTTGTATACAGCATGTTTTTTTTCTAGGATATTATGGTAGTTTCTAATGATATAGTATTTGTAGCTCTCCTCAAAGTACTCATGCACATCGACAATGACATCAACCTACTTGGACAGGTTTTAGGTAAATAGAACGGTGAGTTTTGACAATATGGAGGCCTAGTTTTAAAAGAAAGCCAATTTGGTGCTTTTGTAGCTAAATTTTAGATAATCATTTTCATAAACGTAAACGTTTTTTAGTTACACATTACAATTTTTCCCATTTTGACAATTGAAGGTCTGTAATTAATTTTATCTACCTATAACAAGACTAATTGCGCAATAAAATTACTTCAAATAGAATTTAGAACTTTAAAACTCTGCCATTATCATTTTGAACTCTCATAAAATATAAATAAAGACATTTTTCCATACAAATCCACCATCTTGGACCCCAAAACCTGTCCCTAAAGCTTAATATTTAATTATTATTCATAATATTCTGTGCATGGAACCTGTGCGAGGACGCTCTTCACCATTGTGATCGCCTGCGAAGTACTCACTAACGTAGGCTGACTCAACACCCTCTGTGTTGACTGTATCACACCCGAGTTCTGCGATAACCATCTTTATTTCAACAAACATTAAGTTCAAACTCATATTTATATCGCTTACAGTTCAACAACGCCTGTGTAGATTGTATCCCATCCGAGTTCTGCGATAACCAACTTTATTTCAACAAATATTAAGTTCAAACTCATATTAGATTACTGGCAGTTATTCTACATCCTGTAAAGTGTATCACACCCGAGTTCTGCCATAACTAACTTTATTTCAACCAACTTTAAGTTCAAACTCGTATTTATAGAGATTACAGTTCAACAACGTTTGTGTAATTTGTATTACACTTTATTTAAGTTTTCAACACCCTCAAGTGCGTATCACACGCAAAATCTGCGATAATCAACTTTATTCGAACCGCTTGTGAGTTCCAAATCGTGTTTGCGTCTATGTGTATTATTAATATTAAACTTTAGGTTAAAATTCCTATTTCGGCGAAAACTATGGATCATCCAAATTCGTGTAGCAGATCTGAGTGTATTTAAAGCGTTTGTAATGAAATACGACACGCATAAATTCTCTAAACCTCTAAAAATATATTAGTTTTGCTTGGTTAAGTAAGTGAAGGAGCCATCCATAGAGACCATTTTATTCATCTATTTTATCATACTTGTTTAATAGGTCTAAGTTTATATGAGTATGTTCTGTTTTTATACTTACTTGCATAGTCTCCGCCTTAATTAGTGTGCTTATAATGCAATCGACATACAATCGAACATACTTATAAATTGTTAACTTACCCAATTTTGTGAATTAAAACATACTCTTTTTAATAAATAAGTATACTTAATCTACTATTTGATAACCCAATAAGTTAGTAAAGCGGCGATTGAGTTATAAATATTTGTGATTTGATGATCCGAATTTACACGCAACACAATAATAAAAAAAACGTGCAAAAATCCCATTATTCAATACATAACAACACATCAGTAAATTCGATATTTGAAATTACTGATACTGGTGTTCAAGACAACACTGTTTATACTTTTTTGAGTAACATACTGGGACAGTAATAAAGACGCTTAATAAATTTATGAAAACTTGATAATACAAACATTTTGAACTAAAATCCTAAAGAAACAAGACCCAAATCACCTGAAAACGCTGGTTAGACAACAAAAAAGCGAAAAAAAGAAAGAGAAAAATGATAATTATTATTAATTGATGAGAACCCAAAGTTGCTAGGCATCCGGAACTATTAGTATGAATTGAAGCTGTATTAGCACAGTGTTTTACAATACTCCAAATAGTCGACAAAACTCTTTCACCATAATAACTTAAAGTTAGTTAAATCCAATAAGAATGTTGATAGCCAGTCAAATAATAATATCTTGAAATGTCAGAAAATATCATCCTGTACACATTATAGTACAGGATAGCGTCCAGTGACGTCATTATTATATTGCGTCCACTGATATGGAATGTATTTATTACGTCGGGAAACGAGCAGACAGATTATCTGATGGTAAGCAATTGGCTATGGACTTGCATATTGTAAACAAGACGTTGTGGTTGTTTCACGCCGGTTTTCTGTGAGGCCGTGGTATCACTCCGGTCCGAAGTTTGGCTCTCCCATACTTAATTGTAAGAATTTTTTATTAGAAAATATATTTAAAAAAATACTTTTGACTCTAACAACATCCTTATTTGGAATATGTACATATATGCATATGAAGCACGTGAGTTTTAATAGGCGAGTTCATTGACCGACTATTAGGAGAGAGATATCAAACTGTGTTAGCTACTTGATTTGAATGTAACCTGTATAATTTGCTGTTGCGTTATCGCCTCTGTTGCCTGCGTAATAAGGCTGTTAAGCGTCGCCTCGTCCAGGCCGCCTGGGTTGTTCACCTTTTTGTCATAACATTTACATTTAGTACCTTTTTAAAACGCCAAGCGCATTAAATGTTAAGCCAACGATTTTGACGCTTACAATGTAGCGTAGATCACGTTTTGCCAATTATTGTTAAAAAAACAAAATAAGCGATTTCTTAGTTAAATATTTTCTCAAAATATTACATTGTTAAAGCAAACATTTGTTTTAGACAGACTTTCATCATTGCGCAATATTGCGCAAAATTGCGCAGAGATCTCACTTTTGCGCAGAACGTAAATAAGAGACTTTTTTGCTAATTTCATCTTTACATGGGAACCTAAGAGATGAAATAATTTTCTGATGGAGTAATTTTTCTGATTTATAATACATAATAGTGTTAAATCGATAGATTGTTTTGTATATTTATGTAAAATATTACATACCGTTAAAGTAAGAGGCCCCCCGCCAGTCGGTCCTTGGACTATGATAATCGTCTTCTGCATCATATTCCCGGGAATGTTCTGGGCAATGTAGCTTATGCCGCCTGTAATAAAGTTCATTTCGGATTGATTTTTACCATTTTTTAAGTGTTTGAGTCACTTCAAAAATGCAAGAATAATTTCGAAGTAAATTATGAATTGTATATTTGATAACGTTTTGAGAACTAGTATTGTTACGCTAAATAAGGTAAGCAAGTAATTTAAATCCAAAAAAAAAATCACTCAGTCCTAATAGTCAGTTTTAGAAGAGAAAAAAAGAAAAAGAGAAAAGAGTCCTTAAAGGACTACTAAGAAAGGAAAACTTACCTTGAGCGTTGCTAGGTGTAGCAATAATCTGCATTGGTTGCTGCACATACTGAGTCGGCTGGGAAGATATAGATTTCTCTGAAAAAATATTAAAACAATCAGAATGTATCTCACGATGAAAAAAAAAACTATTCAGTAAATGTTAAATTTTATTCAATACAATCTTTTGCCAGCGGTTATGAGATTCACTCGTATGTAAAAGCCGGCGTGAAGCAATGGTAACGTTGTTTCCCTGTGCGATTGATGTACCAGAGGCGATTTAAGATAGGTCTCCTTTTCCCCATCCCAAACTTTATTCCTCAGAATCCCGAAAGACACTTGAAAACCTCAGTGTTGCTCAGGTCTCTTTAGCGGCAGCGGCGTCGATGGCCTACCACCAGTTAATCACTGCCTGTTTGTCGAATCTATGAGATGAGCAAGATAGACTAAAAATAATAATTTCAATGTTGATAATTTAAGAACATATTTTTATTAAAATCTAAGAAGGTATAATACTTACCTTGTAAGATAATTTGGCCAGCCTGCGACGCAATGATATTCTGGACGTCCATAGGTTGCACTTGCAGCATTGGCTGCTGCACTTGTATTGTCTGCTGTAGACATATTCAAGAGATATTTTAAATATATATAAACATATGAATGTAATAAATGCATGTGATAAAAAAGGTCGTGGTGGCGTGGTTAAGGTCCGGCAAGGTTCGGAACTCGGCTAGTTCCAATATGACTTTTTCCGAGCTATATGTAAAAGTTTTTTTTTTAATTCGCTACGTTGAGCAAGTTTGGTGAATAATGCTCAAATCTTCTAAGTGTGAGAAGAGGTTTTGGTGGAGTGTAATAAATCGAAAAAAACCAAGGTTTGGATGTGACAGAATCGTGTCGATTGACCTTTCATTATACATATATACCCTGTGTTTATACACCTACCTATGGTAGACGACGATTAGAAGGATATTGTCACATTATACAAAGCTAACACATGAACATGGGATGATTACAAAATTATTTTTAATATCTCTCCTATTTTAAATACGTAGAGTATTTTGTGTAATTTGCTAAATTAAATTCTTACCTGTAAGGGAGCTTGGACTTGCAACGTAGGCTGTTGCACCTGCAATGTGGGCTGATGCACTTGCATCGTAGGCTGCTGTACCGTCAATGGTGGAGGCTGGACCTAATATAAACAAATAAAAGTACTTCTTATTTAAGTTTCTGATAACAAAGTTTTGATGATGAATGTAAGGATTTTTATATGATAGGGTAACTAGCCTTTTAGGAATTAGTGACTTGAGTATTGAGAAATTGAGGATTGTGTACGGGGGGAAAGAGCGATTTGGCCTTTCGGTAACCTCACGGCAAAAAAAAAAAACGTAAACATTGTTTCAGTACGGTTTGTCACACAGGTCGAGCCGAGCACATGCGTGCCGAAGCATGGCTCTACCACACTTGAAGTAATGAATTGTGTTTTTTTAATGAAGTGAAACTCAAGCTTTTGTCATGTGTCGTATGTCATAAACGACCTATTGTAGCTGCCGGACCGGGCCTGAATATGATGTGTATGCGAAATGTGTGTTTGTGAGACACAAGAGAAACTCAGTGAAATAAGAATATGATAAAAGCAACTAGAATTTAATATGTTATATCTAAGACTACCTTGTAGGTTTAAATTTTTTCGGTACCCGGGAAATCATTACTCTTTAATTAATAGTCGAAGGTAAAGGTAATAATCTGAATATGTTCCCGGTGTATGGCCATCGACCATTTATTGCTTAGTGATTAGATTTAGTAAAAATAACATTAAATTGATATACTGGGAGTTATTAATACACATAAATTGTTGGCTATACAACCGCATAGACAATAGCTCCATCTACTGAACTACTTAGACAACTATGATTACTAGTTCTAATTTTACCATGCATAAGGAATTGAACATCATATTTAACCTTTTTTCCGCCATGGTCAGCTCTAGACAACAAACCGGATAATACAAATACAAATTTCTTTACTGTGGTACATAGGTAAACAAATAGGTACATGTTTCAAAGATTATACACAACTATGACCCGCCGTAATGGCATACATAAATTTTTAAGTATGTCAGTGACACTTATAACCTAAACATAGCACAATCAAGTAAGTAGAAATAATAATAATAATAACAATTGTAACGCGGCATCCGAAACGGTTTGTGTCGGTCGCATTCGCGTGGCGTTATAGGCAACGCCACACCCCTTTCCACTACCCTGCCACTGAACGCTCGACGCTTGCGTAGGCGCTAAACGAGGGTGAGTCCCCGCGCCGGTGACCGTGACGCACGCGCCCTGTATTTGCGCCGCGAACTTCGAACTATTGTTAATATATCGCTAGTTTACCCCTTTGTAGTTTGTTAAGTGTGTCAATATATTACCTTTTCAGTGTTGATCGGGTGTTGAACCATTATTTCACACCTCCGCCCGGAATACCTTATACAATTCACTATGCAGCACTTTAGAATTAACGAACTGTTTTACTAATACTACATTATATTGGCGTTCTTTAATCGGCTATACTCGATATTGGCGAAATAGCCTATATTTTACGTAGGTTGTCTTTAGGCCACCATAGCTTTCAAAAAGTTAATGAAGCTACTTACCATCTACAGAATAGAAGCTCCTTATTTTACATATAAATCTTACCTGAAGAATAGGTTCTTGTATAATAACAGAATTATCACCGGCCGTCGACACCAAAACTGAAGGTTGAATAATTTCCACGGGATCCTGTTTCGGCGGCAACTATTTTAACAAAATATCTATTAAATACATACTAACTACTACTAATATTATTCTACATACTACTACTAAACAATTAAGAAAGTAAAATTATATAAAAACTAAACACTCACTACACTACATGGTTAAATCAGATGGACAAAAATATAAGAGGGTAGGTTCGACTAGACAAATTAAAAAGTCTTCTTTCATCAATATTTTATATCAAATAAATGCTTATTTTCAAAAACATTTGCTAGAAAAAAATTATAATTAAGCAAAAAATCGCCATATTGCGTCGTTTGTATATTTAATTTAAAACTGGAAATAATCTGTTTTTCTCAGTGAAAACTACCCAATTATATAAGTCATCCAATAATAAAGAATAGGGGTGTCGACAAAATCTCTCCATCTCTCTTGCACTTGTGCTCTTGAGTGATGAAAGACCTCGTAACTAATATCATGCATCCCTTTTCTATAACATGACAGCTACCCTTTTACCATTACAACTACATTTAAATTGTTTACATACGTTAATCAGATACAAGGCACAATTTCACTAAAACACTACGTCATTCGAGAAATTAGTGACTTTAGAAAGACACTAGGGTTGAGTTGGTTGCCGGGGCTGCGGGGTAAGCGCAATGAGGCACCGCGCCCTCGGCCCAGAGCAGGAGAAGGAACGGGGGGTTTTTAGTCAGTAAGAGTCTGACACTCTCTCTCGCCTTACCCTGGGCGGGAGAAGTCATTTGATGATTTTCCCCCGACAAAAAAAATGTGAGTTGGTTGTAGACAACGAGTTGCACAACCATGTTGACATCAGTTGTTGGCGTCAAAGAAGGTTGTCCCTTCAAAAAAAACTCGGCCTATTCTCTTAAATTTTCTTTTGTGACGTGGGTTCGTATACAAATATGCAATTTTACAAACACATTACACCTACACCCGAATCAACGATCTATGGATGACATTAAGAATTGTTACGTGTGGGAATCGAATAGTTACACCGCAGTCGTTAGCAAAGTAACTGAATTAACTCTGCAATCAGCCAGTATGACATGGTATTCTAACGAAATAGGCATCACAGGGCATTAAAATTTATGCAACTAAATAAGCATATAGGTATATGGTCAAGCTACATACAGTATATACTATTACATTCTACTATATATAAGCTGTAATGAAAAGTTAGATACTACAGAGCATGCGATAGTCATGACATTAAGTAACGAAAAAAACTTCACATCTTTTTCACCCCATGCATGCATTAATATAAAGAACAGTTTCTCAGATTTCGTCGTGTAACTTATTAGCATAAACCGGGCACAATTCCAGATTTATATAACAATTCTTAACCTTTAGAGCGCCACGGCAGGCTACAGACGGTAGGCGAAATGCACTTAAAAAATAAACGTATTGTTTTCGGTAATCGGTTATGGCCAATAATGGCGGGTAAGCCCAGATTTGTGTATTGTTTTTTAAATGTAGAATAGCAATTATTGCTATATGATCGAATTTTTAACCAACGAGGCAGCAAAAGCATGCGTTGTGTGTGATAATAAAATAATTATTATTATTAATAAAAAAAGGGTTAGTATGAAAACCTTTGCTCGCAGTGCTCCCAATAACAATCCGTGAGGTCGCTTTAGATGTACAGACATGAAATAAAGATAATTATATATATGTTTAATGTAAGCTTTTGTTAGTTAAGCTGTTCTATGAACTGAAAGGCATTTAAGTGCTTGTCTACAAAGAGAATAAAAAGATCAGTGTATGGAAAAGTCCAAAAAAGGCTTGCTTGAAGAAACGGGGTGTTTTTTTAATTAGTAACTGTCTGACTATTCATCTCACCCAACCTAGAGCGGGAAATAATGTTATTTGCAATGTATGGACATGACACTGATGTGTAAATAAACACCAAAATTTCGATTTTTGGTTTCTTGACAGACAAGCACATAAATGACATTTGACTGTTGGCTGTAGCATTGGGGTTAGTCCAGTTAATAACAAAAATAATGTGTGAAGCAAATTTAGTAAATTGAAATTGTGTTGTGAAAATTACTTGGTTAGTCTAAGAGTGAGATTAGCACAATTAGTTAATTCTGAATGAAGAAGCACAGAAAGCGAATATGTATTACAAGTAATTTTATTAGTATATAACAATAATAAAAGTGTTAAAAAAATTTGTTTTATTTTTCACAAACTGCAAAAAGCAAATATTGTCCTCATACACATAATATGAAGACAAACATAATTTGTATTAGCTTGAAGTTAGGATTCCTTTTTAAAGAAACCTCCTTGCCTGATGAGGATATTCGTACCACTATTACGCAACTTAAAACATATTGACAAATAGAACAAACACTAGACCCGATGAAATATGTCAAAACTAGCTTCCACCCGCGGCTTCGCCCGCGTGGTATGTTACTAAAAAGTAGACAATGTCCTATTCCGGAATGTATCCTAGTGCTGTGCCAAATTTCAGTCCTCATCATCCGTCCAGCTGTTTTGTTGTGATTGAGTAACAAACATCCAAACATCGTAACTTTCGCATTTATAATATTAGTAAAATATACATTCATCCTGTAAAACAATATTCATATGAGAAAATGGAATATGTATATGGGTTCACTTACCAAATCCTCTTCATCTTCCAAAGCCGAAGCAGCAAGCGCGGCATACAGATTCGCTGCAGTTTTTGATACACTTTCCTGTGGTGGCGGAGCCTGAAAAGAAACATTTATGTAATCAGTTTATTAAATTCTTCTACGGTTAAACTATTATATTGGAATTGATTTTGTATCGCTGTTTGTCTACTATGTTTGTGTAGCTATAGGTTTGAAACATTAAGTCCAGACAGCATGTTCACTTAATTTCTAGATGAATGGTTCAAACACAGTCTGGAATCAGCACTATATGCAGGTAAAAAAACATTCCTTTGACAAACAGGCCTTAATGCTACACCAACGCCATCTAGTCTACACAAAAAACCAGAGTCCTTAATAACATGACCATGACTATTAATACATACAAAAAATATGTTGTAGTTTGTAAAACACAGGCGAACGCCTTGGAATAAAAAAAGTTGAAAATAAAACATAAACGTACCTTTTCCTCCACCTTAGTTTTCTTAGCCGGCGGCTCAGTATACGAATGATCAGCTGGAACAGGTTCTTCTTTCTCCGTTTTCATCTGAACTTGCCCTTCAGTCTTCAGTTGAACGAGTTGACCTTGTTCATTCTTGTACTGCAAAATGGGAGCTTGCAATTGGTCGCTCTTCAACTGAATGATTTGGCCTTGGTCATTCTTTATTTGAATCACCTGTCCTTGTTCGTTCTTTATTTGAAAGTATTGGTTCCCTGGAGCTACAAGGCCAGAGTCGTTTATTTGTATGACTGGGGTTGGGTCAGATTTCACTTGTACGATTTGACCTGTTTCCGTAATTTGAATGGTTGGCGCGTTGATCTGTGGGCCCATTTGAACGACTTGCAGTGGAGGGTTGGAATTTTTCTTTAGCAAATCTGCTAGCATCTTGTTTTGTGCTGATTTCTGGAAATGAAAGTTGGCATCAGATTGATTATAAGTTCCTGGAGTTTCCTGAGACCTTTTTTATTTGAAAAAGGAACTCCATGTTATTTAGGCACGATTTATTAATTATTCGTACATTTTATTTGGCAAAGGATTGCCATACACAAAACCCATATTTATTACAATCATACTGCTGCTATTTTTACTAAATTATTCAATACGATTTTAAGAGCCAAGTTATGACTTGAAACTTGTGGGGATTTTCTCAGTTTATTGACGTAAGTCTACATTTTCTATAAATAGAGTATGTTGCGTTGTTGTTGTGATTTTACGTATAGTAGGTATGGTACCTACTATACGTAAAATCACATAAAATCACAACATTCACCAATAACAAAAAAACTACTTACAATCGTCAATTGTGTTTGTTCATCGATCTGAATTTGTACAGGTTCTTCTTTGGGCACTGAAATATTAAAACCAATTATTATTAGTAAAAATATTTATAGCCTAACATAATATAAAATAATAATAATTTATAAGTAGTTAATATAATTACCTACTGGTTCCTCTGGTACGTGTACCTGTAAAAATAATTAAAAATAAATACTTAACATCATTGTAATTGTCAGTAAGAGTGGCTAAGTCGATCTTTGGAGCAAATAAAATTCAAGAATTTTAAACACCGAATTGTTTTCTGTTTTAGAATTTACTAGAATTTCGTACTTTTTTTTCTAAGTTTCGGCGGTAAAGAAGCTGACAGATCACTTAATACTAATCAATGGGCGCCGCCCATATCACAAACGCAACTTGCCTACACTTGCTTTACAACGTTGCCAAGTCTTTTGGAGGTTAGGGGTTTTGTGAGTTTCAATAATGGAGATGGGGATTTTGTACGTTTATTTAGATTGGTAGGTTTATTTATTATTATGTACTTAAGTAATTTAACTACAACATTTTAAATACTTTTAATACCCAATATTTTAGATTATGAATAAATAATAGTCTGTACTTTATTAAAATATTTAACATAATTACTACCTTATCTGTGGGTGTGCTACTGGCAACACCACCAGGTGTTATAGTCGTACACTTGATCAAAGCTTCCGGGTCGACGTCCATTACCTGCTATTGGGAAAAAAAGTATTAAATTTTCAATTCTAAACATATGCTAAAATCTAAGCTTGACAGCTGACTCAGTTATGATGACTTGGCTCTGGTCTTAGTTGTAATACCGAAATTGAAGGCAAGCATTACCATAGCAGACCGTCTTTTAATGAATCTATTGACTACCACAAACTTTTACAGAAGGCCAAATTAAAATTCCAACAAACGTGGTTTCAACGTTATTGTTCGACAGACTCTGGCATTTTTTTTTTTTACTTCTGTGGACATTCTATAATTTTGCAGTATTAAATACCCTATTTACCCAGTATCAAATTCGAAGTATTTACTCCAACAATGCCACATATAAGATATAAAGGTATACAGTAAGTATATAGTGGCGTGCAATTGGTGAGACCTATGTCAGTTGCTGGAATCAGGCTGATTATGATGATGAGATTATATTAATTAAATGTAAGACTTACCTGATTATTCTGTACTACGACTGTTGCAGGGGTCGTCGCGGGCGTTCGCTGTTGACTCTGCTGTCTTTGCGCCACCTATATTAATACAATTTTTATTTAAAAAGCGCAACTGGTGATAATTTGTCAGAAAAGAGAAATAACAAGATATTTTTAAAAAATATTTACGAATTATTCTTCCCTGAATATGAATACCCAATAAAAATACCCAAATAATACGCCACAAAATGTAAAAACTCTTTTAAAGATTTTTTCAACAAAATAAACAGAAAAAAATAATTAATCCAATACTGCATATTTTATTTATGTTTGTTTTTTATTTAATGCTTTATCCAAACATATTCATATACTCGAGATGCAAACACGGAGACAAATGATAACTATCCAGCCTTTTTTATACAACCTTATTTTTTTGACTGAGAATAATATTAAAGAACAAAATAAGACCATAGTACTTCAGGCTGGGAATCAAACCATTCGTGCTTTTTAAGGCACTCCCATTAATATAATTGCCTTTTAAAAAATAATCTCTAAATAAAATAAGTACGTCCAATACTGAAATAACATGCTCACAAATAAGCTAGCGTAAACACATGCCGGTTCAATCCAGTTATTTTGTTATGTTAGTTAAACTATTATTATATTTGACATGCCTCACTACGTCGCTGTAACTGCCACTACGCATACATATCAAGACTCAATTTCTTCAATTAAAGGGTTCAAACAGATGTATATTTCAACACTAATTTGAAAATTTCTTTTTTTTTTTTGTCATAATTTTACATGACTTAGGAAGCCACGACGATTTTTTCGTCTAGCAACCAAAATTGGTAATGACTTTTTAAGCCAACCTTTTTTAAAAGGTCGGATATAAAATATATTTTACATATACTACAAGACATGCTAAATTAGACAGTGTAACACCATCGAATCATTGTTATAGAAATCATCAACTCAATCAATCATGCAAATTGTTAATCATAAACTGAATGATCCTGTTTATACCTTACTTTAAGTAACACACGATATCTGCATTATCTATATTTCAAATGAAAAATCATAAAATAACAAAATTAAGTAAAATTTTATAATAAAAAAAAACGTCCACGAATCATTTCATCAACATTTTCCTAATGCAATCAAATTTCTTGACAATATTACACTGTAATCCTTGAAACCATTTTTGACTACTATTAACTTCATTACTAAGAATTTCCTGCAACAATCCTAGCCTCAGTGCTTTCAAAAACGATAAACTACCTAAAACCGATATAAATAACAGATATAATATACGCATCCCTTTTATTATTCAGTAGATATCGCTAACTTAGCAAACGGTCAGTTTTTCAAACTACTATAACTATCAAATATTACGTCGAATTGGATACTATATAATTCGCTATAATTAGCTCCTAATGAAATCACTATTACTTATTTATGCCCCATAAAACTATAAAAAAGAGAACTATACTAAGTAAAACTCATACCCCCTTATTACAAAACAAGATTTATCTTTAGTCCAGGCTTAAACCATTGAGTCGGGTTTTGAATTTTGAATCTTATTGTCGTCTACCTTCAATTCGAAATACAAAAACTGGCTCAATGGTTTAGTCCTAGACTAAAATAAAACCTTGTTTTGTAATAAGGCCGATACATATTATCTACCTCAAAAATAATATTGCAACGCATAATATAAAAACGTCCATCGCTAATTGCTTACTAATCGCGTTTAATGTAAGCTCTGTATTTAAAGAAAAGACTACACAAACGCTATTTAGTGAGGAAACATGGCAATAATCATTAAAAAGTTTTTTGCTATGAGGTTGATTATCGACATTAAAGGCGTTTCTCTCAAAAAAATAAATTGAACGTTAAGATATTGTATTAAGATCGACTATTGATCTGGACGACTAAATATGTAATAAAAAAAAACTAAGCTAAAGTGTTATTTGTTAGTGTTTGTTAGTAGCACTTACTTGCTGTGGTTGCAGGGCGGGGCTTACTTTGTGCGCTAATAAATGTTTGATCAGCGTTGTGTTCGAGGGAGACGACTCCAGCGCTTGAGACAGGTGCGGGTGCGAGGTCGTGGGCTGTGCTTGTGGCTAGCGGAATAGTATTACAGTCTTAGTACAAAAAAATGTGAAAGTATTTAAACAGTAATTGCCAGTTACATAATCTATCTGCTAACAAATATGGCTACTAGATGTGGAATTTTGACAAAGAGATCTTATTGAAAATATATAGTTTCTCAAACTATCGTTATTGCAGATGTAAAGTCATTATCATATTAACAGAATGTAAGCTTATTCAAAGCAGAGCGGGCACGGTACGGGCAGATAACGGATATGCCGCAGATACGCAGCGAAATCATCGCATGCGCGCAAAGTAAATACAAAAACACATAATATTTGCCTCGAACAGGAGTCTATCACGCGATTTGACACACTAAATAACTCCTTTAAAAGCGGTAAATAGTAAACATGGGTTTACCTGGGTTTGCGGTTGTGATACGGCGGGTTTCGCTTCAGCCGCTGCCTTATTCGTCAGTTGTGCCTTCAGTATTGGTGACGATGGTCCTAAATAATAATAAAATTATATTAGGATTACAAATAAAAAAAAATCGCAAGGATGCAATGCTGATAACAAATTTCCCCACTTTGTAATAGATTTTATTTCAACTTCAATCACTGTATCTAATACAAAAAGGATATAGGGACAGAGAAAGTGAATTTATTTCATACCATGTAGTATGTAGTGATAAACATTATAAATACGGACGTATTAATTTCTTCTAATTTATTTTGTTAATTTCTTATAATTATGAATACTTCATAATCAAGAATACAAACCTGCAGGGGGATTAGGCCTGTTCTGTAAAGCCCGCGATCTGATGCCGATGTAGACCTGTTGAGTCTCGCCCGTAGACAATGTTACTGTGTTCGGACCCACTGTACCACCAAACACCGTACTGGAAGAAAAGTGGTATCAGAATTGACAACAAAATAACTTTTTGATTGGTAGCTTTAGTATGTATGTACGAGTACAAAGTATAATATGTTAAAATAATGAAAACAATGATATTATTTAAGATGGTAACTTTTAGAGACTACATTCTGACTGATTAGTAAAAAACAGACACTAAAATACTTCATTTGTACGGTATATATTACTAAGTTGGTAATACGACTGATGTCCAAAAAAGTCGGTATTTGCAATAACTTTTTTGACCGATTTTTTTTGTTTTTTTTTACACTTAGTAACCCATTTAGGACATAAAATAATTACTATACGACATTATTATCCATAACAATCACATAAATATAACAATGATAAAAAGCCTTGGAATAAAAGTTTCTTTGTTTGTAATGGCGGTATGTTGAGGCAATTTAAAATATGGATTCTAGAACATTCTATATATAATCAGCGCTGCGACACTGTCGCGCATAATGTCGCTGAGCGAGGGCCATTTCGCGTGCTTGTGACGCATATTTTTCGTTATAACTCTTTTTTATATTTTATTACCATGTTTTTTTCTTGTTTATTTTGTGGTCTATATGCGTCCTAGAATTTTTTGATGATTGATGATGAATGATTGTTTGTTTATATATGTAGACTTACCGAACAAGCCTAGGGAAATGTGCAGGTGCTATGACTCCCTTCCTAGACAGCTTGGTGCAGCAGGCCAGGTACTGCCGGTACAGGTCGTTGGCGTCGCACGCGCTGTTGTCGCTCGCGGGGAGAACTTCGTACGCTGAACGCAGCCACGCTTGGGCGAAATGTTCGTTTTCCTGTTGAGAAAATTGTAAGTGGAATGATTATGTTAGTTCCACCTGTTTTCATTAATTCTTACAAACATTCTACATAGGGTAAGCCGAGGTATTGTTTAGTATTACACTGATATATATTTTTAGTAATTCAAATAGTTATGGAAAACCTAAATAAATATGTACTAACTTTTTTTTATGGAATAGGTCGGCAAACGAGCAGACGTATTACCTGATAGTAGGAGAGTACGTAGGAGTTACGAGTGCGTTGCCGACCTTTTAGGGATTAGGCTTTTTAGGGATTGGGGAGGGGAAAGATTGGGCCTCTGGTAACTCACTACACGGCGAAACACAACGCTGTGGTTGTTTCACGCCGGTATTCTGTGAGGCCGTGGTATCACTCCGATCGAATCGACCCATTCGTGCCGAAGCTTGGCTCTTCCACACTTAAACTAAATTCAAGCTACGACAAGAAGCTCGTAAAGCTGACGTTTCCATTAGCTATAGCAACTTGTTTAACTTGAATACGCGTCCCACCTCCAACCTTTTCTAGTTGTAAGCAAACGCTTCTTCTCACACGAAGAAGATTTGTTGTCAGGTTTCCTCACGACCTTTTCCTTCACCGTATGTCAGTAATGTCTTTATAACAATAGAAAGTGCATATTACTTGGAAGTCGCATTGGTACTTTCCAGGTTTCGAGCCCGTACACTTACGTATGAGAAGTGGGCGTCTTAACTTCCGGGCTACAAGATCAAATACAACTTAGCTAGGGACTTTTATGTTAAGCTTGGGTTATGGGGTAAGAGCAATAAAGCACCGCGGCCTCGGCCTAGAGCAGTAGTAGAACCTATGAAGTTTTAATCAGTAAGAGTCTGACACTCCCTCTCGCCTCGTACTGGGCGGGAGAAGTCAGTTGAAGATTTTCTCCTAACAAAAAAGCCGGTACGAGGTTCGCCGAGGCATCTAGTTTTAAACAAAATTGCTCTTAGATGTATATGACACTAGGTCGCGTCATATGAACTTAGCAAAGGTATTAACAATGTAAGTAGTGGTCTGACGTTGGCTACACTGACCTGCACGGTGCGTTGCTGCAGGTGGGACTGCTGCAGGGTGGACACCGGCGCCAGCGACGCTGACGTACCGCCTGCCTCACTCTTTGTGGGGGTCTGGCTCTGTGGGACGGTATATTCTTAGTGATCATTTTGCCTAACTTACATTGGCATGAATGAAATAGGTGGTTTAAAGGCGCATTGTAGACCGTATCTTCGCTTACCGTAAGATAGTATGTTAATGTAAATCCAACTTCTATTGGAGCTATTGCCTTGTTTAAGATATTCACGAATCAGTGAAATTTTGAGACTTGTAGCGCCCGGTCGTTGAGAGGGTTTGCGGAGCGTGTACAATGTACAGGCGCGGCCGCACGGTTAGAAACGGCTGCGCGCGCAACGCGCCAGCGCCGGCCGCCGCCGGTCATGTAGGTACGCAACGCTGAGTAGTCGCGCCGACACCGCAGTGCGCAGCACAAGTAATAATATACGTCTGTCGCGGCTCTCGCTCGCTCCCAGTTTTCGTGTTGTGTTTAGTTTTATTAACCTTATATTCACCAAACTTTGTTCTATTTGCTTTTATAATATACAGACTTTCGTAACAATATCGTTTCCTTCCATCTCCGATCCATCGAAAACCCACGCATTATACCTAAACCTGAGAATAGTGACTCTAGTGCCTATTACAGCCTTTAATATTGTAGATGTAAGTAAAAATGTGCTAACGGGGCTGACATGTTTTAGAATACAAAATACCCTAAAATAAAAGATTTAAAAAAAGATGTTAAACTGGCGTTACTATCATTTGTTTCGTAATTAAAAATGATTTTTTGGTAGAGAGAAAAAATAACTCTGAGAAATGTAATGTTTATCACATCAGTATTTTATTTTCAGGAGTAGTCACATGCCGTTTCAAAAACATATATTCTACTGGTTTTTTTCCGCGACTCCATTCACGTGGAATAGTGACTTCCTGTAGATTTTTGGTATAAACACTATCCTAAGTCCTTACTCGAGTTCCAAACTATGTCTGTACCAAATTTCACAAACCGGTTCAGTAGTTTAGGCATGAAGAAAAGACAGACAGACAGAGTTACTTTCGCATTTATAATATTAGTTTGGATATCCCTCAACAAGATGTGTGAAATGGTAAAGATTAATTTTGAAGTAGAATACGTACCGTATGATGCAGTTGCGGCGAGCGATCATGTTGGTCAGTTTGCGCATGTGGGGTGTGTTGCGCAAGTTGCGCGTGTTGCGCATGTTGCGCGGGCTGTTGCGCCTGCAGCGCGCTGGGCCCGCTCACTGTCTCCACCACGCGCATCAATATACACGCGCGAGGACCGTAGCTTTGAGCCTGATAATAAGTACCATGTAATATTACAAAGAAATCAAATATGAACTGAAAAAAAAAATCTATTCGTTATTCTACCCGGAGCATTGCATAATTCAATTCGCCCTTAGATTCAATACTCAATACGATTTCAGTTTGTTTCTGAATGGTGTATTCGTATATAAAAATTATAGAAACCATATTTAGAAAACCGTTTTTTTATTTTGTTATAGATTAGCAGACGAACAAACGGATTACATGATGGCAAGTTATCGGCGCAACACATGGTCACCCGTAACACCAGAGGAGTTACGAGTGCGTGTGCGGTCTTTTCCGATTAGGATTTTGGAGATATAGAGAATGAGAAGGGATGAGAGAGGGGAAGGATTAGGCCTCCGGTAACCACACTTACACGGCGAACTACAACGCTGTGATTGTTTCATGCCGGTTTTTATCTATACTAATATTATAAAGAGGTGTAAGTTTGTATGTAGGGGGTAATCTTTGGAACCGCTTGTCGGATTTCCAAAATTTTTTCACTAATTGTTAGCTATAATGTTCCCGAGTGCTAGAGAAAACGCGCGGGAGTAGCTAGTTAGGGATAACTTCGGTCAAGCCGATTCATTCGCGCGAAAGTATTGCTCTCCTACATTTAATATAAATAAATATACATGGCGTTCAGATATCGTCGCTTAAGTTCTAACACCGCGGAACTCAAAACATGGTCAAAATGTGTTATGCATGTCATTGGATAGGGAATCGAAAGACACATTTAACTTTAACCAATCGCAAACAAGCGATTAAACCAATGATGGCGATGGCGAGTTTTTTTTTACTTGCAATAAACTAGTGCTTGACTGCGATCCCACCTGATGGTAAGCAGTGATGCAATCGTTGATGGTAAGGCGTACTAGTTTATTAAGAGCCTATTCACTCTAGCCTTGAAGACACCTAAATTGTATTCGGACGGAAAGACTGCAGCCGGCAAACTGTTTTGCGACAACAATTCTTAAGTGTTTGCGATGAAAAACATTTTAGTGTAAGTTACAAAATTAAGGTCCTTTCCTTAGACTGTTAGAAAATGCGATATGGCATTAAGTCCGCCTTTTGTACCAAGTTCATTTTATTGTGTACAATAAATCATAAATAAATCATCATCATCAGCCTATAAGTGCCTATTGCTGAGCAAAGGCCTCATCTCACACGGACAAGGTTTGAGCATTAATCACCATGCTTTCTCGATGCCGGTTGGCAATTTCAAACTTATAATTAATTAGAAATTATAAGTCCAGGTTTCCTCATGATGTTTACCTTCACCGTATGTCAGTGGTGTTTAAATAATCATAGAAAGTACATATAACTCTGAAGAAGTTACATTTAAAATTAATAAGAGTTTTTTAAGTCTTCTGAGAACTTCGTTATTTTGAGTTACACGGCGTTTGAAGTACGATGATATGGGAATAAAGTAAGTATATTATGTTACCTCGACAGTGACGAGCGAGACGAGCGTATGTATGAGTCCGGAGACCCTGGCGACGGCCTCGCAGGCGCGGTCCCCGAGCGCCGTGAGCGCGTACACGCACTCCAGCGTGCACACCAACACCATTATGTCGCGCACGCTCAGCAGCGCACACACCTCCGCGTACACCTACACACACACACACACATTTATTTTCACACACATAAAACAAAAATACAAAAAAAAACAGAACAAAATAAAATAATCGGTACTAAAAATCTAAACTAAATGATACAGATATATATATGGTATAACATTATGCGTGAGGTCGCGTGTATTTTTTATTATCTGTGGACCATGAGGACAAGAAAGTAACATTTGTAACAAACAATGTAATAACAAAAAACATGTAGGTATTATAATTTAATTAATTTGAAAATTTCCTCCGTTATAACAATATAATGTGGTACGAGCGCAAAAAAAGGACGTGCTCAGCATTTGCTGAGACCCCAACCACAAGGGATTGTTGCCACAGCGCTGATTTTCAGCATAACCTTGGGTAACGTGATGGCGTCCCACCATATTTCTGAACACCTACACACACACTTTGTTCCTTTCCTTACACGGGACCACCAGGATCACGGACCTTTGGAAGACGTACGAGGAGCCGAAGCCAACTCGCAGAGGCCCGTTAAACAGTTTTAATATAAATGTAATGGGACATCAGCCGGCAATTATCCTTTATTATTATCTACTATACTAATACAATTACTCCAATAATTAATGTTATCACACATATAAACCTTTCTCTTCAATCAGTCCATCTGTTTAAGACATTGCGTAGTCTTAAAGATTTAAGCGTACATAAGGATATAGGTACAGAGAAGCGACTTTTATACTATATAGTAATTTTTAGTCACCAGCGATTTATGGGCCTTCCTTTTTTTTGTAGTAAAAAATGTTGCATGAAACGACACGGAGGGAAAATCCTAATGTGAAATTAGAGTTTTCTCTGTTGTCGTGGGTGTGTTTATAAACAAACAATTTAACATACACATCACACCCAAACGCAGAACAATTTGTTAATCACACATAGAGTTATTCCGAACGGGAATCGAACCCGCGACAAGTTGCACGCCTACCAGTTGCGCAGCCACCGAGGCCGCACAGGGTACACAAAACCCACGGGAAAACCAGCAGGTAATCTGGCATTCTGCCAACTGAAAATGAACCTTATTCCCACATACCTTAGCCTCCAAAGACTTAAGCAAGGCGTCCTCGTTGAGTTCATTCTGCGCGAGTTTGTTCAATAGTTCGAGGGCGGCTAAAACCCGGGCGCGGTCCTGCGACACTAGCGCCGCCTGGATCGTGGACAGCACATGCCGGGTGATCAGGCATGTCGCCGGGTCCTGGGGGAGAAGGAGGTAATGTTTAATGGTATTAGCGCAAATGCAAATTAATTGGTGTTTTCAACTAAAGACGAAAGAACTACAATGAATAAATCAATCATTATTATTATTACCCTTGTATGAAGAGGATCAAGAATTTAGTGGTGGGAAAATCATCCCATGACTTCTCTCACCTATGGTATGCACGTGCATACCATAGGCTAGAGGACCTACTGTACTATGGGCAAAAGATAAGCATGCTCACTTAAGAAAATATTCCTGCGGAAGCGCAACTAGTAGCTGACTACGCCCCTTCTTTGTTCCGCCCAATCAGAGACAACGTGTATTTGTGTGAGTGCAGGGTGCACGTGCGTAGCAAAAAATTATAACAAACATGCCAGTGCCAATTTACATATCGCTTATTGTTCACGCTTCCCGTTCGGCCCATCGCAATTTTTCTTACAACCTGTTTATTTCTATCGGACTGTTTGCCTACCCAACTGTGACCTGTGCTTGTATACCGGACTGTGATCAAAAGCCTCTTTTTGACCCTAGCTTGTATCCTGGACTGTGTGTGTATTGTGTATATTTTGACCTATAATTTGTTCGTTAACCATGTCGACCCAAAACCTTAATCAGGAAGAAAGGAAACAAATTATTATTTTACATGGACAAGGATTGAATATACCTCAAATTGCCGTGGAGTTGAATCTTCAAGTAAGTAAAATGTTTATTGTATTTAGATAAAGATATAAAAAAAATGCATGCTGTATTAATATAAAAAGTAGGTATTCTCACCTACATTATATCTTGTTTACATTATTATAAATCTCAAATTCTGGAATTGCAATTTCCAATCCAATTGAGCAGAAAAAAATATAGAGCTAAATCTCAAACTTGTATCAAAATATTGCTAACATTGTTTATAATTAAATTTACAAATGATACTTTTCTTTCTAACTATTTGCCCGCGATTTCGTTCGCATAAATGTAGGTTATCGCGGAGGCATAGAAAGACATATTTTTTAAAAAAAGATTCAAGATTACTCCAATTCGAAATCGGTTCAGTGTTTTGGCCGTGAAAGTGTAAAAAACAGAAAGGAGATAATGATTTTAGACTGCAAAAGCTCAATGGTTCTTTAATGAAAATTAACATTCAAATTAGATTCAAAATATTTTAAAATAAATATCTTAATATAGTGAAATATGAATATAGAGATGCAGTCAAATAAGTTTGGCTTCTTTATTCAAAGGCTTCTTCGTTCAAAGACATAGTTGAGTCGGCTTTTATGACCCCTAATTAAGTTTTAAAAACCTAAACAATGGCCTTTCATTGCAAGCCGCCTTCGCATATTTTTTTTTTTAATATGTTAACACACTTAAGCTGTGGTTATAGAGCATAAATTTGCTTGGGAGAGTTACATACGATATTGGAATCTACCCAACGCCGCAGTCAAAATAACAGTTGTATACTTTACTTAGTATAGATTTGAATGTATACCGATAGAATGTATACTGATAAGAATGTATACCCAAAATAAATTATAAAATAGAAGATTTATAGATATTAATAAAATAAAATATGAAGGGTTTATCTACTCAATTGTTTTGCACAAGTTCTTTAACATTTGACTTTTTTCTATATAATTATAACACCAAGCAATGCTAATAAAGTTATTTTTGTTTACAGAGAACCACGGTGCGCCGCTGGGTGCGAAGATATGAAGAAGAGGGAAGTTTAACGGAACGAGTTCGTGCACCTCGACGCCGATCTATAAATGAAGAGCAATTGCATAATATGATAGTTAGTTATCGTTATAGGAAAGCCCCTTCACACCCACTCGCAGTTTCGCACAAGAATACGAAGTGTCGATGCCAACTATTAGAAATGAGTTGCATCGAGCGGGAGTCCATCACAGACGACAGAAAGAACTAAAGAAGCACTTGTCACCCATTGCGAACAAGTTTGGGATATGTTACGAGGGTCGAACTTGTGCGAAACTCTAGTGAGGTCTATGCGGAGTCGCTGTGATGCTGTCATAGATGCGGGAGGGGCAGCAACAAAGTACTAGAGCAATAATTTATAATTTAATTTACAGGGTGACCGCCCTGTAAAATTAATTATAAATTATTGCTCTAATCTAGTCTATAGTTTGACTGCACGGTTGGCGCGGTGGCTGGGCAACTGGCTGCCGCGCAACGTGTCGCGGTTTCGATTCCCACACGGAACGACTCTTTGTGTGATCCACAGATTGTTGTTCCGGGTCTGGGTGTGATGTGCATGTGAAATTGTATGTTTGTAAACGCACCCACGACACAGGAGAAAATCCTAATGTGGGGCAAGGTTTAAAAAAAAATTATAAAAAAAATGATGTTATAAATACAAAAATAGATTTGTCAAGCTCAGGGGTATCCGAAAACACCCCGCGATTTTTTATCGTTTTCGAGTATACTTATTTATGTCCTAAAAAATTGATGGAAACGGCTCTAAAAAAATCCAATTTTGTTTTTAGACGCCGTTTTCACATTCTTGAAAGTTTCTTTATATTGTTTCTCATAAAACTTCATAACAACCTTATCATTCAATTGAGATGCAAAAGTTTTGACAGAAAACGTATTTTGACTAAAAAAAGTGTAAAAATAGAGACACGATTTTTATACCGGTTATCATTAAATTTTCAGGTAATTAAAAAAGTGTTAAAAATCGGAAACTATCAAGAATGGCGGTCCATAGCTGTAATATTTTCGAATATACTTCTGGGCATGACGATTTTCTTATGTGTATGTCGCCTCTATTTTAAACACCTGTATAATTACGTCATACAAGCTAACATTTTCTTTGACGTTTTAAATTCTGTAATTTCGAATTTTAATCTTAAGTTCCTTTTCTAATTTTACCTTTGTTAAGCTCTATGATCTGTAACTAAGAATTTCTCTTCCTTTGACATCTTTATCTAAAAAGACTATGTATGCATTGAATGCCCTAGTGTCTATCTCATTGTGTTGAAATAATTTAAGAATTATGATTGTGCAGTGTATTTCAATGATATTTTATGATTTTAAAATTGAGTTAATTGATTTTAAATATAAATATTTAATAAATACTATTTACACAATTAGTCACAAAAATGTATCTTTAAAACAAATATATTTATAACTTTTTATGTTAATTATTAGATTAGTACTGTTTTTAGTGTGCTACTATTACCGTTTTACTATTACCTGATAATAAAAATCTTATAGGCTGATTGTCTGCCAATTTATTGTTTATGTTTATGTATGATCTTCATGTCATTTATGTGCGTTTCTTTTTGAAACCTTGAAAAAGTTCATAAAACAATAAATAAATTAAAATTAATTGAAATGAAAAAATCTTTTTTTCTACAACAGCATATCCTTTATATTATTGCCTATTGAATTTCAGTCTTTATATGCACTTGGTTAAAAATGAATAAAATAATAAAACAAGAAAATTCCGTACAATAACTATACAGATAAAATTTAACGATTTTCTTTTCTAAATCCTTAACTATCTATTCTATCGAACATCTTATTAAATTAACATACAAAAAAAACTTTTTATCAGCTAAGAATTTGAGAATTTTTTTAATTGCAATCATAAGCGTTTTGTTGTTGTTTGAATTATTTTTGCTGATCTAAGACGACATGATTGGCGCAATGGCTGAGTAATTGGCTGTAGCGCTGCGTATTGCGGATTCGATTCCCGGACGGAACGGAAATATTTTGTGTGGCCTACAGATATGTATTTGTTTCCGAGTCTGGTATGTGAATTTACGTGTTTGTAAACTCATCTACGATACACGGGAAATTCTTAAAATCCCACAGGTTTAAAAAAAACAAACAAAATGCATGATTTTCTAATAATCTTCATCTCCTTCTTAATAAATAGTATTATTTACCGGTTCCTGGATGATGTTTTTTTTAACCGAGTAAAATTTGTATTTTTTTAAATCGATATTTCTCGAAGAATTAACACTTGGCCTACATTTCAAACATATTACAAATGCGCTATAATACTTCAAAAATTACGTTACAAAAATATTAAAAATACTTTTATTTTTCATTTAAAAAAATCGCCATTATTGATGAACTTTGGTAGTGGTTACAAAAAATAATTATAAATACAAAAGACTTTATAACGGTAAACTCCATATATCGCCACCCAACTTGATAGGTTTGCTTAACACCCACATATTGAAACAATCTTTATAGCGATACGCCATTCTCTATTACCTACGAAGAAATGTGTTCATATTTTTAGAGCTAAATATTTAATACCGGTATTGTTTATGTTATGTTATCAGGTAACAAAACACTTTAAAGCTCCTAAATATTCAAGGTCGCTCTACCTTTTATTATCCTTAATTACCTTAAACACGTGCAGTATACCTATCGCATTGTTTTCTAAGAAGGGACGGGCTTTGACCAAGCATACATATGGCACTTATCGTAATATCAGTCGAAAACCTACTTTGAAACTGTTAACATGGCCTCACATCATAATAATATAATATGGTTAACTGGTAAACCGAAAGCGATTAGTGTTGACGAAAAAGTTAAGTCTTTTTTTAGCAAAAAACGTCAGACAGAGTTATCAGACTATATGTGTAAACAATAATTTATAAGCATTAAATATCTAAGACACATATTAAAAATTCTTGTTAAATTGGTTGTTTTTGTTCACTCCATATAACGATAACTCTCTATAACGACAAAGTATGCTCAGTCCCTTGGGTCTTGTTATAAAGAGTATAAACTGTATATATAATATTATAGATTATTATAAAATATTCATATTAATAATTATTTCATATTTTTGGAAGGGGTTTAATATCACCTTTAAAGTAAATAAGTATTTAATATAGTAAATTTAATCATTTTCTAAACTAAAAGAAGATATTAGTAACTACTTAATTACTTTTTTTCATAAAGAGCTCATGCAGGCCGTCTTCTTTAAATAATGATCTCACAACAAACGAGCATAGCACGTGCCGTGTCCTTGTGTGAGTGTTACACATCTATACAAAATTATACTTATACGAACACAACACAAACACGTCCGCTTCCTATTGGTCAAAACGCATGCATTGAGCATTCGAGTCGAGAGCCGTGCCAAGCAATTATCGCCTTAGAGGTGAGCTTGCGGAACTTGGGCTGATAGTACATTGCGCAGCACCTATTCAGCCACTGTATTAGTCGTATTAGCATTGTAGATTATTATACACAGTATGGTCACTCAATAGAATAGATAAATATAGAATACTTTTCTCTAATATAAATTCTTTCTTTAATCTGTAAAACATTTTGTTCCTAGTTCAGACAAGAACTTAATAGCTGTTTCCTTGTAAGAAAAGAGTGCATACGATTTCATACCTTAATAATAAGTTCTGTAGATACATTTCCAAGTGTGTCCAGACCAGATTGTCGTAGTGAACCAACCCAACTGTTAGCACACAGCAAGAGGAACCTAGAACGAAATTATCAATATCATTATTATGTATTATTATCATAATCAATGGGATTATTATTATTACTTAATAACTTGCCTTGCCTTTTAGCATGTTTTAAATGAAAGAGGAATCACTCGAGCCGACCATTCTTTTTTCAACTTACGCAGGTCTTCGGAGTGATGAAATAATATTAGAAAAACAAAATAGGTTTTTTATGGGATATCTCGGCAAACGAGCGGACAGATTACCTGATGGTAAGTAATAAGCGCCGCGCGTGGACACTCAATATCAAAGTTACCTCTTGTGATTTAAGGAGGATTTAAAAATTGAGGATGGGGCGGGGAAGTAGATTGGGTCTTCAGTAACCTCACTCACACGACAAAACACAACGTAACTGTTTCTTCACGCGCATATTCTGCGAGGCTGTGGTATCAATCCGGCTGGCCCATTCGTGTAGAAGCATGGCTCCCCCACACTTATACATAGGTAAAACCAAATATGGTAAGGGCCTTGTCATTACTTCACATTAATTACTAACTATATGTAACAATCAAAACTTCAAGACATACTACATAATTTAATTACCTAATGAAACCATACTTATATACTTAATAAAAGTAAATAACTTACCTGAGAAGAGTAGTATTCTTAGCAAGATACTGAACATTTTCGTCGTGGAATGAGAGGGACCTCACAATGGAGGCAATCTGTAGCACCCTCTGAGTGTACACACACGAGGCACCTCCCGGCAACTCCGGGGCGAAGAGAAGGTCATCTTCTGATGGATCAGCCATCCAGTCTTCTAGCACATCCTAGAAGAATAGAAGTATAATATTCACTGTGTATAGAAATGCTAAATCCTACTTATATTATAAACTAGCTGCTCTCGCACGGTTTCACCTACTGCTCAGCTCCATTTGATCGTAGCGTAATTTCATAGCCTATAGCACTTAGGAATATTGTAGCTATCTATCAGTGAAAGAAGTTTGGCAATCCGACCAGCGGTTCCAAAGATTACCCCCTACATACAAACTTACAAATACCTTTTTATAATACTAGTATAGATGTGAAAGTTTATGACGATGGATGTATGTATGTTTGTTATTCTTTCACGCCAAAAAGGGCTAGACCTCTTTGTTTGGTATTTGGTATGTAGATAGGGGATACATTGTATTAACACAAAGGCTTTTTTTATCAACATACCACGCGGATGAAGCCGGCGGAAGAAGCTAGTACTAAAATAAGCGGCTTTCAGAAGTAGGAAGGTCAGGAAGGACAACCCCACTTTGGACTAGTTACTGTGTGTTATTGAAAATTACGACTTACTAACGTAAAGTAACTGAAAAAAAGCTTTACTATTGTAAGTCGGATGCTAAACGTCTCCTCGATGCGCAAGCTGAATGAGAGCTCCGTTGTGACTTCAAACTTATAGCTTGAGTCAGTTAACTGAAACTCAAACTCAAATGGATTGTGTACCATATTTTTTGGGTTACATTAGGTGTTATTCACGTGAGTAAGTCGTTACTTTCAATCTATTTAGAATGTCGCACAGTAGCCAATAAAGAAAAAATTTTGTCTGAAATAGCCTGCATCTCCTTCAAAGGAGAAACTCTATATAGACATTCGAATTCGGGGTAAAAGTTTAACTCAATAAATGTAATACATAATTAGGAAACTTACACCGCTCACATCATCGTAGACCTTCTCAACGACCGGCTCCTCTTCTTCAGGCCCACTCAATAGGCAATCAGTAAGAGTATTATACGCTGCCCTGGCCTGAACGATCAGCTCTGGGAGCTCTACTCCTGGCTGCATGAATTTGGTCTCGTCAGCCAGTTCCTTGACCCCTCCACCTCCAGCTTTTAAACGCCAGAAGTCGTCTGGATACCGTCCTCGAGCCTCGTAATAAGAACGGCCAATTGTGTCGCGGAGACTCGCTGAAAAAAGGTGTTGATTAATTTGTTTGAGTTTTAATGAATTGTGAAATTGTGGGGCAGCCTTGCTTCGACACGAATGGGTCGGCTCCACTGGAGTGATACCACGGCCCCACAAAGGTTTGTGTTTCGTCGTATGAGTGAGGTTACCGGAGGCCCAATCCTTTCCCTCCCCCATTACCTCCCCAATCCCTAAATTGCCTAATACCTAATACCCAAAATGTCGGCAACGCACTCGTAACTCCTTTGATGGTGCGGATGTCCATAGGCGACGCTGATTGTTTACCATCAGGTAATCCGTCTGCTCGTTTGAAGACCAATCACATAAAAAAGAATTGTGAAAGAACCTCTTTAAAATTTTGAAATTCACGCCGCCCATTCTGATTAGGATAGTAGTTTAGTTATACAATAATTAACACCCGGTTTCTGAAAGACGCTAAAATTAACTAATCTCCTGTTAAATCTCTTTTGATTAAATTGATTTGAACATTGATCGGTGCTTCGGAAACCAGGTGTTATTCTTTCAATACATAATTATGTAAAATTTGTACCTAAATGGTATACAAAATAGTTATGGTATATAAAATAGTTACAGTGGAATCCAGTCCGTTATATTTACTAGTTATTTACCACTGTTAAACAAAACCAATGTGTATTTTTCATAATGCATACTTTCTATGATTATTTAGACACCAATGAAAAATGGTGAAGGAAAACATCGTAAGGAAACCTGGACTTACAAGTTCTAAAAAGTCTGAAACCGCCAATCCTCTTTGAGCAAGTGTGGTGATTAATACTCAAACCTACTCTATTAGAGAAGTGGACATTTATAGGCTGATGATGATGACTTAAACTTAATAATACAATCATACTCACAATGATTATAAACGCCAGCATGAGCCAATAGGAAGTCCAGAATGTGCGGTGTGGAACTCAAAGGCAGTCGATTCGAGTGATCAGCGGCCAAGACGGTGCACACGTTGACAGCGAAATCTTGCTCGTTGGGCATCGGCGATAAGAGCGAGAGGGCCAATCGTTCTGATGCAGCCGCCACGCGCGACCCCGTCCGCAACGCCTCACCTGATGCTTAGATACCGATAAATAATATTGCCTAAATATAAACTAAAGGATAATTATGTGATAAACATAAGTACCTAAGGATCAATATTGAAAAGAAAATATGGAATTCACGTGGTACAAAAACGTATAAATAAATACTGTGTGCATGTGATTAAGTCGGGTCCAAATCGAATACTGAAATTTAGAAATTATTATTCGCTAATGATGCGGACTGGCTTCGCACGGGTGCAATTTCGATACTAGATTTCTCCACTATTTATAAACCTTCCTATTCTATGATTCTATCTATTAAGAAATGGCGCATCAAAATCCGTTACATAGTTTTATAGATTTAATTAGCATTCATCGAGACAGAGAAAGCTACTTTGCTTTATACTGTGTAGGGATTACACTGAACATAAGAATCATTAAGTTGATGACTTTGATGCCATAGGACATCTATTTAAAGTAGCTACTCGTACTTTATCCAATCATTTATATCAAACACGAATGAACGTAAATGGAAGAAGGTAGTAACGAAATAAGCCAGTCTCCATAGGGATTCATTGCTTTTTTTAAATGTCAATATGTCCCTTGTTTGAATTTTGATAGATCATTATAAGAAAGTACTTAGAGCATTTAAAAGAATTTGCAACAACCTACAATCTGTTAAAAATAACATTCGAAATTTAAGAAAATTCTTTTATACCGTGAGTCTAACCGATTTTGAGTTATATTGCAATTGCGTTGAATAATATTATAATAAATTGAGGCTACAGTAAATAGTTGTTTTTACATTTTTTAAACTTTAGATACTGTTGTTATGCCTACGGAACAAAAATTAAAATCGGTTAAATAGACAGTAACAAATTTTTCATTAAATATGTAATATTAATGTAGAAGTAATAGAATATAAGTTCATGTTTCACTTTTTTCATGAGTTTTTCTAATAAATATATGTTGTAATAGATTACCAAATATATATTTTTAACTAGAGAACTATAGTAAAATTATAGAGCAATTGTGCATAGCCAAGAACACATAAATTGTTAGTTACAAATGCGTAAGACAAATTGTAATGTTGGATTAACGGCAGAATAATAAACAAAAAACTAAATAAACAACTAACACCCGGTTCCTGAAAGGCTTGTCAAAGCTAAAACTAACTAATCTGCTGTTAAATCTCTTGTCAAATCATCTGATTGGTTGTTGATAATTCAGTCAACCAATCAGATGACGTGACAAGAGATTAATGCCCGGTTCCTATATTTAACGAATCGTCGTTGTATACGCATTACGACCAAATGACATTACGAATAGTTATCTTGACCGTCTACTGACGGTTAAAATATTTATAGGAACACCACAGACACCATAGACCTCCATACAATTCGCTTACCGACATCCGTTAGTTGCAAACCGTCAGTAAGTTGCACGACGAGACGTTTGTTATAGGAACGGTTTTAGCTTACGAGTCGTATATAAAACTACTATTCGTAACTAAAACGGATCGTTTCTCAATTATAGGAACCGGGCATAAATTGATTTTAACATTGATCGGCCTTTCGGAAACCGGGTAAACAGTACCAATAGTGTACAATTCGAAAAAACTAATCTATTCTAAAGAAATATCAGTTATTTGGGAAAAATAAATCATCTATCATCAACTAATTAGGTTACTTGTAGAAGTCTCCATAAGCTGAACCCAAAATTATTTTTAAGTTTATTTTACTTACAAAAACAACCTTCAAATTTATATTTATTCAAATAATAAAAGTACCAAGGCCCAGCTTAAAGAGATTCTACTGTAATTGTCAACTCATGATTGTTTCAATTGAAAAAAAAACATTTTCATTTTGGTTAACAATAAAAAAAATAGTATGCATGTCAAATTACCACAAACAATCATGAGTCAACAATAAAAAAAATAAAGAGAAGAAAAAGCAGAGATATCAATATGTTTCAATGTGAAACATACCTGATATGTACGTACCCCCAGCAAAGGATATGCGTGGCATTGCACCGCGACCCCGTCGTGGATCTTCATCCATGTCATTGTCGTCATCCCTGCCTGGTGGACCCTTTGCTCTTTCATATCTAGTAGTTACACAAACAATTGTACTATAGTTTTGAATAGTAACACTATATATATGTATGTAACACTTAATCCCATGAATTAACTGAGACTTAAGAGTATGGAGTTGTTGTTCGTTCTTCTGAATAGAAATCTATCGACGAATAATCGACACAGACTAACAGACACAAAGATGAAATTTTTGTTTTCGTTTTAAAGTGCTAATTAATACTTTTTGAAATAAATGATTTGCCGTTGACTTTGAAAATCTCTACTACTTTTAAATCATAACGAGACTCTTATTCATCAGCAGCATACGTGTCGCGTAAGTCTTGTTGTGAGTTGAAACTAGGAGGGCTTTTCTCTGTTTAATCACTCGAATATATTTTAAACGTATATTTTTCATATATCTTTACCAATCAGGACCACAGTGTCCCAGTCATTTGGGCGGCGTATGAGGGGTCGAAGCATACTGTGCAGGGGCCATTATTATTATTTGTAATGAGCTGGCGTTTGGCCATTATCTCGCCTGGTGGTAAGCGATGATGCGACCTATGATAGAACATGCCTACCAAAGCAACCTCTTTACTAGGCCTTATAGCTATCAGGTGTTTAAGATACCCTCCGAGGAACAGAGACTCTAGCAAAGAATGTCACTCAGGTTTGATAAATCGTGAATTGCATTGCGCATATCCACCGAAAAGCGGTAATGTTTTGCCGCTTCCATGATTTTTTTTTTATTTATTATAGGTTCGCGCTTGACCGCTATCTCACCTGATGGAAAGAGACGATGCGGTCGACGATGGAGCGCGCTTACCTAGAAGTAACCTATTCACTCTTGACTTAAAGATACCCAGATTGTAACTATCAGGAAACACCGACTCCAGCAAGGAATTCCACTCCTTGGCTGTACGCATAATAAATGTGCTCCCAAAACGTTTTGTACGTATATGTGAGACATCCACCATGTACCGGTGGCGCAATGCCGTACGTCTGGTGATCCGATGATGGAACGGGCTAGGCTATGATATTTATTTAACAATTGACTGTTAAGAATTTCTTTTAAATTCAATCAAACAGTAGTGATTTACAATTTATATACTCTTTTTTCATTACTTGAGTTATTTTCAACTTGAAGATATAGCATTGCCTGTTTAATAATTACGTAAATAACAACTTACTTCTCCAAATATGTTCCATATATCCGTCTTAGTAGTGTGGAACCATTGATGCATGGATGTGGCAGCCTCAAAGGTCGCAGGAATGACTCCCATGTGTCATTTTGATTTACCTGTGAATAATAAGTATTTGAATATTATTATCATAAACAAATGGTTTATATATTAAAGAAAGTCTACAAAATTTTAAACATATGATAATATCAGAACCTAACGTGAATTTTTCACATTGTTTTCGGTACCTCTGATTTGAAGTGGACAGTATAGTGGACAGTATTTGTATTGATATTTCGATTGTTAATTTATCAAATGTAATAAAACATTATGTAAGTACGAAAGTAGCTAGTAGTAGTTTTATGCAATAAAAGTCTAGATTGAGCAGTTAATACAATGATTATTGAATAAAATCCGCAAATCTCACTAAACTTCTGTACCGCATATTGGTATCTTATAAGATTCTCATTTAAAATCCTCAAAATAGTGAATTTTAAAAATGTACTTTTATGTATGAATTAAATGTTAAATACTCATTATTTATGTTTAAGAAATTATTAATCTCTAGTTTTGTTACGCATTGCAGTATCTTATTTCTTATTATCATCAATATTTTCTTAACTTTGGATTGATAATAAGCACATCGTTATTTTTGTCAAATTAAAATGAAAATTACACACATGGGGAAATAAAGTAAAAAATATATTAAGTAATTATAGATATGTTATATTGTATTTTTTATAATGCCCCACACTAGGCATTTTTCCTGTATTGTGAACACTTTAAGGGCGGGTAGGCCAAGCGAAATAGGTATTTAACGCTACCAAGAGTTGCCCGCGTTTACCGTAAAGCGATCCGTGCGCTAACGTCGCGGAGAGTGTCACATCACAGATAAGCAGGCAGTAGGTCAACTTGTCTCACGCCCACTTGCACAAACCCGAGTTATCCTTTCAACTTAAAAATAAAAGATTTAATTAAATAAAATCTCGTTTTATTACCGACTTCAAAAAAAGGAGGAGGTACTATGTTCGGTTGATTATTTTTTTGGATGTTTACCGATTACACCGCCATTTATGAAACGATTTCCAAAATTCTTGTTTTGTTTGAAAGTTTATACTCCCGAGAGGGTCCCATTTTCATGAGGTCAGGATCTGATGATAGAATCCTAGGGAAACCGAGGGGAACTTTCGAAAATTGTAAGGACGACTAGTGCTTTTGCATGTTTTTTTAGTAGGCTTTTTACAAAACTACAATTTGCCGATGGTCGAAGTCGACCTGATGATGGAGCCGGAAGACAGTCGAGGGATCTGCTTTATTATTTGCAGTAGTTACCTTGTGTTTGGGCTTGAATGATTCGTATTAGTGAGCACTTTCCACCAAGATTGATCGCGACTGTCATTAGGGGTCTAATGATGAGAACGAAGGACAGCTCAGGGAACGGTTCACAGTAACTACCTCGTGTTTGGACTTAATTCATTTATAACGATGCAAACTTCGCACCTATAGATGGAAAACATTGACAGTCGAGGGAATCCTTCAACGATTTACAGCTAAACTAACTAAACACTGACTAACTCAGGACTACTTCGTGATTTTCGGTCTCAAGTAGCAGTCGTCTTCTCATTCGAAAACCATTATACTTGCTGGCTCTGCCTATATAACACCTAAAATGGTGAAATAGTGGTGGTGTTTTTAACAAAAATATTCCGACTTCAAAAAGTAAACTAAAAATTTAAAGCTAAAAATAAATTTTCTTTGTGGAAATTAGTACATGTTTTCATTTAGTATAATAGAAAATAATATTAATAACCATTTTATAATCTTGAAGTCGGTGCCAAGTAAAACATAAAAGTCAAACCAAAACAACAACAGTTTTAGATAAATATATTGATCTGTAACTCCTATTAATCAAACTAACAATGGTATAGGTATTCTTGATGTGTGTTATAGGTAATCTTTACACTATTTTTGTTTTACTTGGCACCGACTTTAAGATTATAAAATGGTTATTAATATTATTTTCTATTGTACTAAATGAAATAATGTAATAATTTCCACAAAGAAAATTTATTTTTTGCTTTTTAGTTTACTTTTTGAAGTCGGAATATTTTTGTTAAAAAATATTTATTATCAATTGTTTTTGTACAAGAAATACGAAAAACAAAAACTCTACTCGGTATTTAAATGGAATGTATTTAAATCATTCAAAACTCTTATATTTTTTTATACAACAACCATAATAATAAATGTGTCTAAATTATTATTCATGTACTACATTAAACGTCTTAAAATTCTTCAAAAGGTATTTGTCTTGAACAATTGTGTCTTCCAGAAATTATCGTCCCTTTCGATACGTTCTGTAAACATGGGTTCATTTTCTCCACCCTAGATGCCGAGCAGACAAAATCGTCTTTCAGTAACGTGAAGCTCCTTGTCCTTGTATTTGATAAAACAATTTGATTTTTTATTTACTGTGGACGTGCAAGTCTTTTTGTCGTATTTTAAAATTTTAGCTTGTTATGCTGTACTGCACTGGTAGGAGATTTTTTACAGCAGTTAAAGGACACTTAATTTTAATGAGCGTATCATCGCCTGCTAATCCGTCAGGAGTGGCTCTAATAAATGGATAAGTCCTGTCTATGAACAAATCGCAAGGCAAAATACTTATATTTTCTTGTTTTTCATTTTGTTGAAGTGCTTGCCTTTCGTGCTCTATTCCGTGTGCAACAGCAGTTACACATGTCAAATATAATTTTGTATACCTAATATGTTTTTTACCAAAAGAGCAGTATGCTATATGCTAATTTTTCTTTTACAAATTTGCCCAAAATTTGATTCGGTGATTAGGTTTTTCCGTATTTCCAACCATTCACTGCTATCTCGATGCAAAACTGTAGCCCTTTCGATAGCCTGGCTATCAGAAGTAAGCATTCTTAAATTATTTAAGAACTCTACTTCAGCTTTTATCAGTTCATGTGGAGACATATTTGGTGCTGTGCTCGCTAATGTCATGTTACTTTTGATTGCCGTCTTTTAATTTCCGTACTTTTTTTTACGGGATGCCCGAAGTTTCGGTTTTGTTCTGAGCTCTCCGTCTTTCAATGATTTTGGCCCTGCCTTTAGGACTTTTCTTTAAAAAAGCTGTTTGGACGGCTGAAAGCCCCGATTGGCTGTTAAACGAAAGAACAGGTGCTGAACACCTTCCTTGATAACCTCCTTTTAATGAAATTATTCGTTTTCCACCAATTAATTTAACGATGACACTATTAAAACAGTCAACAAGTTTGTGTCAACGTCTTCGATTAAGCTGCGTGATTTTGCAGCAAAACTTGAAACAATCGCGTTTATTCAGACAATGAAAATGGAATTCTGGGTCTTTTTAAGTTCTTCGTTGTCATTTCTATCTTTATTGCAATAATATTCTTGGCACATTCTATGGTCGCCAAAAGCATGAGTTACACAGATGATAATATCCGTATGAAGATTTGATATTGCTACATTGCGAGGACCTTCAGAGGTTTTGTGAAGTCTAATACATTGTACTATCGATTTCCGCATAGTCAAAATTTTGACATTATTGAGCATTTTACGATGCACTTAAACATACTTTGTGTCTGTTATCAGATTACGTAGTTTTTTACAGAAGTTTGTAGTTCTGATATTTTTGTACAGTGGCTTACCATTCGACAGGCAGGATACCGAACGAAAAGACAAAATATGAATTAAATTTAATTATGCAAAATTCTAGCGATCATCGGTACTAATATATTTATAAACTATACTAGAATAATCATAAATTTTGCATTTACCAATCAGAGGCTAAATAAAATAAAATTTAATTTTGCGAACAAATTACATTGCAATACAAATAAAATGTTTACGTAAATTAGTACTTCTTTACATATCTTTGGAGTGCATTCTTTCTGTGTCTTTTATCACATTACGCGACTTTTTGCGCCTGCGTTTTTTATTACCCATTATGATTTATAACTGGAAAGCAATAAATTCTCAAAAAAAGATGGTTTGGTGGGTTTAGTTGTCTCTGAAGAAACTGACACAGGTCCGTCGTCGACAAGCGCCAGCACGCGACTAATCGGACATGTCTGAGCCGCCGCGACCGCTTTTTAAACTTAATGAAACATAGTAATTAAGAAAATCATTTTATCAATTTTAACTCTGCGAATTTGTCTGTAACTAATAAGTCTCTTTATTATAGTACAAAAATGAAACGTAAAAAATCAGTTATATAGTCGTAATATTGAAAAAACGTTTTAAAAAGGGGTAACTTTGCGATTTTTTTCTATCGAGTGAAGTTCATCAGGTCTTTTAACTGAATGCGATTTTGACTAGATAAGATCCTCAACTAAAACATATATTTTTTTTGTAATTTAAAACACTGTAGTTTTTGTCTCAGATTGTTTTAAATTGGGCCCACCTCGCCTTAACAAAGTTCACATGTATACATATCACACAGAATGTTGTTCCATGCAGTGGTAGTTTCCTAGGTCAACAATAAATTAATTTGAAGTTTCAATACAATAAAATATATAAAAATAACTATACTTTTATTCATCAATCGATTGATATACTGAATTTTAGTAATTTTTTTTATGAATTTTCAATAAAACTATGACGTCATACTTAACTTTTTCATACAAATTTCATAGAAACATATTGTTTATGACATCTGGATAAAATTATTGAATTTGACTAGTTGGAAACCACCATATGCATTCTTTGTTATGTTGCTGGTACAATACATGTACCAGCAATATAACAAAGAATGCCTATATACCTATCATTTTATATACCTCAACCGTTTTTATATACCTAAAATTTCTAACCAATCATTTTAAATAAACATTTGGATTAAATTATGTAAGCAAAATGCTTTTTATTGCTTAGTGTTATGTGACATGTGGTTAACAATTCTATCAAGCTATACCTAATACATGAAATAACAATATTGTCTTAGCATTTCTACATAATTGTCTTAGTATTTCTATATTAAGTTCTCACCTTCCCAAGTCCTCCTCGCTGTTGTACTAATGTATAAAACAAGTACAAATCTAATTCTATGCCATTCACAATCGGAACTTTTGTTGGTAGACTGAAAAAATAAAAATAAACATTGTATTGACATTTCAAATTACTATACAACTTCTAATAAGTATATCACAACGAAATATATTTTATTGTTAATTTATTACTAAAATAATAATATTATCTTATTATTTTAATGAGAATGCAGATGATAAGGTTTACTTGTACAAGCGTTCTAAAGTAAATAACCGATTCTTAAGGCTTGGTATACTCAACCAAATATAGTCATAAAAACGTAATACTAACTTTTTGCTCTCATTGAATTGCTTCAACTCCTTCATAAAACTCTCCCTGTCCTTAATATAGTTGCTAGACTTCGTATTTATTTGTGATTTTGCCATTATAACTGTTTATGCACACACACAGTTAGAACACAAAACGGTTACACTAATAGCCAGTGTAACACAGTGATAAGGCTTGCAGATGGACACTCATATCAAATAATTAATTAACTTGATAGTTTTATCTTATAATTTTTACAGAAAACGCAATTTTTCGGTATGCAGATCAGTTTGCTTGCTTATTTTTCTTTGACATTGATGACAGCAAGCCCACAAGCCGGAGCAGTAACGAACGACGCTTGTAATGTTGCCATCTATATTATATAAAAGAAAGTCGTGTTAGTAACTCCACTTATAACTCAAGAACGGCTGAACTGATTAAGCTGGAAATTGGCAGGGATGTAGTTTTCTGTCCTTCTCCTAGTTCTAAACTAGTTCTAAACTAAGTTTAAACTAAGTTTAGAACTAGGAGAAGGACAGAGGATAGGTATAGAGTAGGTGGTGTAGGTTAGGTAGAGTAGGGTAGGTAGTGTAGGGTACATAGATTAGGGTAGGTAGACTAGGGTAGGTAGAGTAGGGTAGGTAGAGTAGGTAAAGTAGGGTAGGTAGAGTAGGGTAGCTATTCAAATGACGGGAGCGACGCCGCGGGTAAGAGCTAGTGACTAATATAATATTTATTCACCTTCATTCATCCAAATTAAAATTATTTATTTTTTAGTTAATCTAAAATAAAAAATATATATATATATTTTTAGTTAAATTATTTTTAATACATTAGTGTTTCTTTATATACGCATATAAAGCGTGTATATCGCGCAATGTGGCTGCGCGGCCTCGGCCTACTGTAGGGGAAGGAACGGAGGGATTTTAAGTCAGTAAGAGTTTGAAACTCTCTCTCGCCAGGAGAAGTCACTTAATGATTTTCCCAAAAAAGTTAAAACAACAGTAAGCTATTATTATGTTGTGAAATTATAATATTCAACTTGGAATCAGTCTTTCGAATGCTGCTCATTATCCGTTATAATGTTTCAATGCACTGTGTGTGTTTGTGGTCAGGCTAGTCTAACTGAACCAAATCACCTAATAAAAAGGTAGTTTAATCGGCAGTTATCGGATTTAATGCGAAACTGTGCTACTCTTAGTTTCTCCGCAAAAGACTAGTTTCTGTTTACATTATACTGACTTGTCTATGATTTAAAAAATTAACCTTCTAACATTCTGACTTCTCAAATTCTCCCTTCTGACAGTTCTGACAACAAATTGACAGATTTTTAATAACACGAACATGCTTGGTGTTGTGTGATTATTTCGTAGAGGTTATAAATAAAAGTTATTATTTGTGAAATTGTTAATTAATCAAACAAAATGGTGAAAAAGAAAATAGATAACCGCATTAGGGTTATGATAGAGAATGGTGTTAAGTTGGGACATCGTACTATGATCCTTCTCGTTGGTGACAAAAGTAGAGATCAAGTAAGCACATTTATTTGTATTCAAATAATCTATTTTATGTAGTATTTCGTTGTATAGTTAAACTCTTGTCTGAGATAATTACCTTATTCAGTTGCTAACAAACATATGAAAGAGAAAAGTACTATATAATTTCAAATTTATAATAAAGAAATAGGTTTCGTGTCGGCATGCTGAATAACTATTGATATTAGTTGGTTATAATGATTATTACTGGGGTCTACAGCTTTAATTAGGCATAAATAATTGCTATTTTTGTAATGCCCATCCAGTGGTGTGCAATATTACGGCATTTGAATGCAGTGCCCGGCGGGTCAGTGTTGCAACAACTGGCTGGTTCGATGCCCGCACGGAGCAAAGTGTGATCCACAAATCGTTGTTTCGGCTCTGGGTGGCTTTTGTATGTGCATTTCTATGTTTGTCAATGCACCCACAACACAAGATAAATCCTAGTGTCAAGCAGTGTTCTAAAATGAGAAAAAAAAGTAAGGCCATGCCTATTTGCAAGTGGTCTAAAACTTGTGTCACACCACTTTAAGCTCATACCTCATCACTTTCAGACAAAAAAGCAGAAAAATTGTTCTAGTTCTAAATCTGTGACTACATGTCTCTGTCGGCATATTGCAAAATTTTCCTGGTTTATTTCAGGTTCCAATTTTATATGATATGCTAGTTAAGTCTACTGTGAAAGCAAGGCCCACAGTTTTATGGTGCTATAAGAACAAGGATGAGGCTATCAGCAAGTAAGTATAAGTTACAAGTTCAAACGTAAGCTATTGTCAAAAGAGGTTATAACTTCTGAAAATTAGGATTTCCATAGATGAATCATTTTTTTATGGCTTGCCCTTTATTAGCATGTTTTCATCATCAGCCTCTGCTGAGCAAAGACCTCTTCTCAAATCCAAAATATGTGAGCATTAAACACCATGCTGGTTCAAGACCGGGTTGATAGATAACTTTACAAAGTGAAGTCTAGTGTAGTCTAGGTTACCTCTTAATATTTTCAGACCAGGTTTCCTCATGATGGGGCTTGTATTACTTCAAGATAAAACCAGATTTTCTAATGACATCTATCTGCCAAGATTTTATTATTCCCAGATTATAATACAAATGTTTTTTGAAATCTTTAAGTAAAAAAGCAAGCAATATAAGACAATATTCTTTTATTATATTTTTGGTCAGCTTATAATACCATATTGTACAATTACCCTACCACATCTCTTACCCTTTTTTTACTATTAGGTTATATATATCTTAATAACCACATGTTTTTATAAAATGTATGTTATCTACTTTTAGCCATGGCCGTAAAAGAGCAAAGAAGATAGCAGCTGGAAAGTTGGAAGTGTCAGAAGAATCTCTATTTGATGCATTCAGAGTGGCGACAACTATACATGGACGGTATTACTCGGAGAGCCACACAATGCTTGGTCAGACTTATGGAATGTGTGTGTTACAGGTATGTAAAAAACTCCTGTTATCATTATTATTTCAGGCTGTCATACCCTTCAAGAGGTATAGGTATTAGTTCTCTCAACTCAACAAATTCTATTACTCATAGTAGCACATGTAAATTCCTAAACTGATGCCAATTATCTTTTTATTCTGTGTTTGCTAAGGTCAGATGAAAGTTCTTATTAAAGAAGATTTAAAAAAAAAGTGGAATAACTGGAAAAAGAAACCCTACCCCTAATCAGTGGATGGTAAGCAATCTGTGCTTCCCATGGATACTCGTAATACCAGAGGAGTTATTACGAGTGTGTTGTCGGCCTTTTGGGGATTATTAGGGATTTAAAGATAGGGGATTTCAGGATTGAGCTTGGGGGAAGGATTGGGTCTCCGGTAACGTCACTCATACGGCGAATCACAATGCTGTGGTTGTTATACCGGTTTTTTGACCTTGTTCTTGACCAAGCCTCCAACATAAACTCACTTGTTGACAGGACTTTGAAGCTCTAACACCAAACTTGATGGCTCGTACAGTGGAGACAGTAGAAGGTGGAGGTCTCATTGTGTTCCTGCTAAAATCTATGGACTCTTTGAGGCAGTTACATTCCATCACTATGGATGTTCACTCCAGGTAATATATGTTGCTTGTATCACTATATATTTTTATGGCTTTAACAAGCTATGGTTTTTTGTACTGCAAACTGGAACATGGCTATACAATACATTAGACTGGCTATATTAGCCTATTATTACCTACTTCTACTGGAAATTTCGACTTTATGCGAAATATCTACTAAAATTACTCGGTTTTTTTTAATTAACTGTCGTGAGACAGTAAATTTACTGCAAAGAATGACTTAAACTTAAATTAACCAAGAAAAGCTGTAGGTACTCGTTTTTAATCACAACGGGGCTCTTATGCACGAGTAGCAACGACGTCGCCGTTTTGCGAGTTAATTCCCGTGATTAAGTCGTTAATTTCAATTAATTTGCTGATTTTTTTTTGCCAGCAGGCATATCCTGAACATTAGCTTGTTTTATAATACTTTTGTTATGATGAGTGTAAATTAAAACAGGTTTGCTTATGAATGGATACTCCATTATTTAGAGAAGCAACAAATTCAAAACGCACATTTTTAACCCTGCAAATTGTCCACAGATTCAAGACCGAAGCGTACGACACAGTAGTGAATCGGTTCAATGAGAGGTTCCTCCTGTCCCTAGCTGACAACCCTCGGTGTCTGGTGCTCGATGACTCCCTGACTGTCCTGCCTATATCTTCCAAGACTGCACAGGTTGAACCAGTCGATGGTGTTCCTGAGGTAAGATATTAGGTTTATAAGTTCCACAAAGCTATAATGTTTTAAAGTTTCAAATGACTATTGGCGTGTTATTTCAATGTAATTGACGTAATTTCTTCCTCTTTAATTATATCAAGATGGATCATAAAACCGCTTGGAAGTAGCTGGTAATTTCTACTTAAATGTGAAAGTCTGTGAGAATGTATGAATGTTGGTTTGTTATTCTTTCATGTATAAACGGTTGGACCGATTTGAATGAAATTTGGTATGAAAATAGGTGATACTGAATTAACAGATGACGTAGCCTATGAAGTCACCGTGAAGCGGGAAGCTCGTCATAGCAAAATTTGGTTGTTTTAATTTCGTAAATGGCAGGCATAAATATATTTTACTATTTTTTTTATGATGAATATCCTTAATTTTCACTATTGTATGTTGACTACAATCTTGACCTTATTTTTTTCTAGCGTGTCAACCCCAAACTGACGGAGTTAATATCGTCTTTATCGGACTCCCCGCCGGCGGGACCACTGGTAGCTCTATGTCGCACGTACGACCAGGCCACTGCACTCGTAGCGCTCATCAACACACTCGCTGACAAACAGGCCAGGTAAGGAATATACTTTTTAATATGTTTGTTGTTAAGGTTGATTTTTGATTGATACTGACTCTTTAAAAGGTGTAAAGGAAAATGTATGTTATGTATTTGTGATTAAGGTGTCTTTTTGTTTGAAGATACGTGGAGATGTTTTGGTCATGTTAGAGAATCAATCGAAGTACAACCGCAAAACAGATTTTGGTCTCTTTTACGGCTGCGGCTTCGTAAAGAAATGTTTGTAGAAATACTAAAATAAAAAGCTATGTAATATTTAATTATTTCGTTTCGCTCTTGTTTAGTAACTTGAATTGAAAAAAATTGTTAAAAATAATAGCTAAATGAAGGAGCGACTCCTCCTAGCAAAGACATTTATATGCTTTAAAGGAGATGTCATCGACTGTTATGACATGATTTGTGTAATAAAGAAAATAATATAAATTAATTTTAGACAGTAATTTTGGACCTCTTCTCACTGTTTATGTAATGATAATTATTTTGTAACATAGAAATAACCAAAGGAACAAATACATAAGTATCATACTTAAATCACAATATGGTCTGTGCACCGTAAGTTATTTTACTTACAAGTTTATTTACTATAATAGTACTGTAATAATTTACTGCAATAGCAATTATAACAGGTCACAATCGACATGACAATACAATGTTTTATACAGTACATTTTTTGCACAGATGGCTACCCTAGCGTAAACACAATTTAATAACTAATCTTCCATTTCTAGGCCTCCTCACTGCCTCACAGCGGCCCGAGGTCGAGGCAAGTCCGCCTGTCTAGGCCTCTCCATAGCCGCCGCAGTAGCCCTGGGCTACGTCAACATCTACGTGACGTCGCCACATCCAGAGAACTTGATAACATTATTCGAATTCCTACTCAAAGGCCTGGATGCCTGCCTATACCAAGAACATATCGATTACAATATAGTAAGGTCCACGAATCCCGACTTTAAGAAGGCTATAGTAAGGGTCAATATTGCTAGGAATTCAAGACAGACTGTGCAGGTATGTTTTTTGTTTGTTACTGTATATTTTGTTGAATTTGTATACCTACTGTAATTTTTTTTTGATTAGGCAACCCTTTTTATGATTCCATAGTAAACTAGGAAACCTTACAGTTTCGCCATCTCTGTCTGTATGTCTGTCCTTTCGCGAATAATTTCATTGGCCGTTAGCAAGTTAGTAGAAAGAAAAAAAAACACTGACAATCTTTTTTCTTTCTTTAACACATTCAGTGCCATCGACTCGCCCGGCGAGTTCAACGTAAGGCCGCTATCTCACTAGGTGTTTTACTAACGTTGACGTCAACGTTGTGTTTGCGCAGCGTAGACGCCGCGCCGACGCGACTTTACCGCCGAGTCGTCGCGTGGCAATCATTAACGTTCGCCGAACGCGACGTTAATGTCGCGCCTGCGCAGCTTTAACTTTGCGTGTATTCGCAACATGTACAATCACGCCGTCCTGCTCTATCAAATGTAGTCTTTGAAATACACTTATTGCCAATAAAGGCGACGTCAAAGTTGCGCAAACGTTCAGTAGACGTGAATATTTGGCACGCGACGACGCGGTGTCTACGTCGCGTCAGCGTGGTGTCGACGCTGCGTCAGCGCGGTGTCGACGCTGCGCAAACGCGACGTTGACGTCGACGCTAGTACAACGTCTAGTGGGATAGTGGCCCTTAATGTACGAGAAATGTGGGCGACATCCGAGATATCATTGTGAAAATCGTAGTGGCAATGAAAGTGTAAAAGTTTAATTAAATGGATTTTCCCTCCTTTTAGTACATATCCCCGGACGACCACTCGCTGCTGTCGGCGGCGGACCTGGTCCTGGTGGACGAGGCGGCCGCCATCCCGCTAGTTCACGTGTCTGCCGCGGCCAGCCGCGCCCCGCTGGCGCTGCTGTCCTCCACCGTCTCGGGGTACGAGGGCACGGGCCGGGCTCTCTCCCTCAAGTTGTTTGCTCAGCTACAAACTCAACATAATGCTCCTTCGCCGGTAAGTATTGCTTTTTTATTATTTAGACGTGTATTCTTTGGTGATCCAGGGTGTATTTGTAGTTGAAACTGCTTAAAAGAAGTGTATCTCACTAAAAATATAGAATATTTCACTAAAATAAAAAATTGAAAACTAGTTGACCTCCCGTTCCAAATATAACTATTCGTTTTGACCTTTTAAACCTTTTCTGGACTTCCACAAAGACCAAAATTTGCCAAATCGGTAAAGGCATTGTTGAGTTATAATAGTGGCATTTATTTTTATATAAGATTCTAACCTTTTAGCGTTTTTAAGGTTTAAACTTTAAACAAACTTTTTAGCATTTTTAAGGTTCCATAGTCAACTAGCAACCCTTATAGTTTCGCCATATCTGTCTATCCGGCCGCAGATAATGTCAGTGACCATTAGCACTAGAGAGCTGAAATTTGGCACCTATATGTATATTTTCAAACTATATCTTCTTGTCAGAAGTTACGGCTATAAAACCCTACACTGAGCGTAGCCCGATACGCCCTTGGCCGTTTTTTTTCAGAATGAAATTCCTTAGTAAAATATAGTCATTATAGAAAAATTTTGTTTCCAGATAAAACTAGAAGAACCAATTCGTTACCGGTCAGGTGACCCAGTAGAGGCGTGGCTTAACTCCCTGCTATGTTTAGAGGCCCCGCCCCCCAGCGCAGGCGCAGGCGCCCCGCCCCCCTCCGCATGCGACCTCTACCGAGTCAACAGAGACGCCTTGTTTTGTTACCATAAAGCCGCTGAAGCCTTTTTACACAGACTCGTATCAATTTATGTCGCTAGCCATTATAAGGTAAGAATTACTGTATTTGATAACATGTAAAAATCAATAATTTTATTTATATGTCGAAAACTAAACTTTTCTATTAAATTGGTATGGAAAACAGTACATGTGACGTCATCAGATCTTTGTAAAATAACATACTTAAAATATAACCATCAAAAATCTAAAATTAATTATATCGACGTATCCATCGTAAGTGTTATGATAAAAAGCCTATGCGTTAATGTTATATAGAGTATCACCCAGCTCCATCAGCCAGGGTTGCGGGGTAAGCGCAATGAGGCACCGCGACCTCGGCACAGAGCAGGAGAAGGAACAGGGGGGTTTTTAGTCAGTAAGAGTCTGACACTCCCTCCCGCCCGGCCCTGGGCGGGAGAAGACATTGATGATTTTGCCCCTCACAAAAAAAAACCCCAGCTCGATACCAAATTCCAATCAAATCGGTCCGGTAATTTTGCGTGAAAGAATAACAAACATACATTCATACATTCTCACAAACTTTCAGATATATAATAATATATTAAATTTAATATTTATAAATATAAATACTGTATTCCCTCCACAGAACAGTCCAAACGACCTCCAACTGCTGGCAGATGCGCCGGCGCATTGTCTGTTCGTACTACTGGCGCCCACGCCGGCCAACAGTACGGCCATGCCGGAGATACTCTGCGTCATACAAATGTGTTTGGAAGGAAATATTTCTGACAAGTAAGTTATATATAACTAGCTGCTCTCACGCGGTTTCACCCGCTGCTCAGCTCTATTTGATCGTAGCATGATGTTTTATAGCCTATATATAGCACTCAGGAACATTGTAGCTATTTATCAGTGAAAGAATTTTGGCAATCCGACCAGCGGTACCAAAGATTACCCCCTACATACAAACTTATAAATTTTACCTCTTTATAATATTAGTATAGATTTATACACATCTATACATCTTTACTCTATACTTTTAAATAAGACTGGAGTGTCTGTTTATAACTGTTGAAATAAGTGATTTTTATATAAATATACGGTACTTAAAAAAAATACAAAAAAAAATTAACTGTCTGTTTTTATCTTCCGGCTAATCTTTGGAATGGATGGACCGATTTTAAGCGGAATTTTATTAATGGATAGGTAGCTGATGTAATAAAGAGTAACGGAAATTTAAGAAAAATATTTTTTTTAACTCGATAGAATATAGTTAATTTTATTTTACAAAAAATTTTTTTTCGTTGCGAAGTATTCCCGCGTTGTAGCGATAATCAAATTTCACGCAGACGAAGTCGCCGGTATTGGCTAGTTTATAATAATCTTTATATTATAATTGTTAACTGGCTTTGCTTAATTAAAATAATTGTCTTCTAGGTCAGTCCGCGACAGTCTAGGCCGTGGTCGCAAAGCGGCTGGCGACTTGATCCCGTGGAACATTTGTGAGCAGTTCGGAGACAAAGATTTTCCTAAACTGTCCGGAGCTAGGATCGTGAGGATAGCCACACATCCGTCTTATCAGAGGGTAAGATATCATACTATTTTATTTCTTACTAGTTTCCGCCCGCAGCTTCGCCCATGTGGTATGTTGATAAAAAGTTGCCGAAGTATCCCGGAGTGTATTCAATGCCTGTGCCAAATTTCATCCATATCTCCGTCCAGGCGTTTTGGCGTGATTTAGTAAAGAACATCCAAACATCGTAACTTTCGCCATTAATAATACATATAAGTAAGGTAAGTCCATCTAATTTTCTTTTTCTATGGGATATGTCGGCAAAAGAGCAGACGGATTACTTGATGGTAAGCAATCAGCGCTGCCCATGTACATCCGCAACACCAATGGAGTTACGAGTGTGTTGCCGGCCTTTTGGGATAAGGGTTTTGGATATTAAAGGATTGGGATGGGATGAGAGAAGGGGTAGGGATTGGGCCTCCGGTAACTAGCAACTACATTCACACGGCGAAACACACGCTCTAATTGTTTTTTTTTTGTACAATTTGATGTGCCAAAATCCACTCCGATTTCTGTTTTGAAATGGGATATTGGTTTGTCTCGTCCTGGGTGGGGCGAGAAGATGTGCCCGACTCTTACTGACTTTAAGCCACCCTGTTCCTTCTACTGCTTCCTGCTAATTACGAAGTAGCCATGAAAATGGTGCAATTAGTTAAGACCACCATTGAAGAGTTTTACTGTCCTTATCAATGTCCGAAGTAAATAAAACTGTTTTTTTTTTACCCTTCTTCTCCCTACCAGATGGGGTACGGTAAGCGCGCCCTGCAGCAGCTAGCGGCGTACTACGCGGGCGACATCCCGTGCCTAGACGAGGAACACTCCGACGGAGAGGACACCGCCACCAATGGGACCAGCACGTTGCAGACTGAGACTATTGTGCCTAGGTAAGTGTTTTCTATACTAATATTATAAAGAGGTAAAATTTTTAAGTTTGTATGTAGGGGGTAATCTTTGGAACCGCTGGTCGGATTTACAAAATTCTTTTACTGATAGATAGCTACAATGTTCCTTAGTGCTATAAAACATCATGCTACAATTAAAAGGAGCCGAGCAGCGGGTGAAACCGCGCGAGAGTAGCTAGTATGGTGATGATACCAGTAAAAAAATTGATGAGCAATGGGCGCCTACCATGGACGGAGTTACGGGTGCGTTGGGAATAAGAGTTTTAAAATTATTGACTGAGAGATTTAAAGATTGGATATGAAGAGGAACTGGATTGGCCCTGTGGTACCTCACCTATATAACGATGGCGTTGTCCCACGCCAGTTTGACCGTAGTATCACTATCACTCAGGTCGAGGTGGTCTATTCGTGCCGTAACATGGCTCTCCTACTGTATAGTTTAGTGAATAGTAGATCTTTTTTGTAGTCACACGCGAGTATATACGAGTATATACGAGTATATACGTATGTTTTAATAATTTTAAATGTCTTTCGAAATTCATCACATTTTATACAATTTATTATATCTACTAGAGATGCAACGAATAGTTGTTTGGCCAGATACCGGATACCGGATGTTCGGCCTGACCACCAGCCGAATGTTCGGTATCCGGCCGCCGAATATTCGGCCGGCGGCATTTTGAGTTTCGTAGGTGCGTGTCGCGCACCGGCACGCCGCCCGCGCCGTGCAGGTTTTGACTTGTTTCGTAGTGAACGTTCGCGCGGTCACAGTTCTTGGTAGAGACACTTTTATCGTGTCAGTCAGCACGAAACAATTTCGTTTGTACGCTCGCGTATTTTTAGATAATAAAATAAGTTTGTGGTGTTATCGTGTGATACTTAGTGGTTTTGTATTAATTAACATTTACCTACTGTGTCATTAGTGTGTTTATAAAAAATGGCAACAAGATCTCCGCTTTGGAATTATTTTGAGATAGACAAAGAAGAAGCTAAATACGCTATTTGTTTAATCTGCAAACTAAAAGTTTCACGTGGCGGAGAGGGAAAAAAAGCTGGAACCTCGTGCATGAAAAACCACTTGAAAGCCAAGCATCCTGATAAGTTTAGTGAAATTTATGGTGGTTCGTCCTCATGTGTTGTACCTGCTATTTCTACGAGCTCAACTGCAAGTACTTGTACCACGGCTTCTCAACCGTCCTTGCAAAAGCAATTGACTTTAGCTGAAACTGTTGAGCGAAAACAATATTGGGGGATAAATGATTCGAAATCACAGGAATTTCACTATTTGATTGGCGAAATGATCGCGTTGGATAACGAACCACTATCCATTGTTGACCGAGTTGGATTTAATAGGCTCATGCAAAAAGCGGTACCGAGGTACAAGTTGCCCAGTCGCACTTATATGACTGAAAAAATAATACCGGACATATACGATCGAATTATCAAGAAAATTATGGAAAAAATTTTAAACGCTGCAGCTGTTTCCATTACGTCAGATATATGGACTTGTGACCACAATAATGAAAGTTTTCTGAGCTTCACCGCCCATTGGATATCCCCAGATTTCAAACTGGAACATGGCGTTTTGGCAATGAAGCCCTTTTCAGGGTCTCACACCGGAGAGAACATAGCAAACGAGCTTAACATTATTGCTGCACGGTGGAATATTCCGTTCAATAAAATACATATTATTGTACACGATAGTGGGGCTAATATGGTAAAAGGAGTTCAAGTGGCTGAATACGATTCAGCTAGGTGTTTTATTCACTCTCTCCAGCGGGTCATTACTGAATCACTTAAAACTCAACCTGATTTAGTAGAGATGCTGAATGCCGCAAGACGCATCGTAACTCATTTTAATCATTCAGCATTAGCAAAAGAGAAACTGAAGGCAATTCAAAAAGAGTTAAAGTTACCGGAACATCGGTTGGTACAAGATATCAGTACACGTTGGAACTCGACGTACTATTTACAAGAGCGGCTGCTAGAACAGAGACGAGCTGTTTCTCTGTATATTGCCGACCACAATAAACTCGGCAACTTGACTCCTCAGCAATGGAATTTAATGGAGCAATGCATCATTCTCCTCAAACCGTTCGAGGAAATAACGAAGATCACGAGCTCAGGTCTGTCGTGCATTTCAGAAGTTATACCACATGTAGCAGTTTTGATGAGGTACATTCAAAAGGAAGAAACTTCACGCAAAGTCCCTAACTTATTGCAATTTCTAACGTCCCTAAAAACTCAATTGCAACAACGCTTCGAACATCTTGATGAAAATTTAAAGTATTTCCTGGCTACGTTATTGGATCCCAGGTTCAAGACTAATTTTTTTGGGGTAATACAAGCAGAAAAGGCTCGCCAAAGCCTCTTATTGGAGGGTCTAAAACTGAGTTGCGGTGAAGAGGATGCATCCAGCAGTGGAGGCGATTCACCTCCATTGAAGAAAAGAGCAGGCAGTTCCATGAGTGTTCATGATTCATTTTGGGACTGTTTTAATGAAGTTGTCAAAGATAACAATCAAACTGAAGACTCTGATAATACTGCTATAGCCAATGAGCTTGACTTTTACTTAAAAATGGTTCCTCTTGATCGAAAAAGTGACCCTTACGCATGGTGGGCAGCAAACGCCAAACAATTCCCGATTTTGGTTAAATTTGCCCAAATATATCTCTCTTCCCCATGTAGCAGTGTGTACAGCGAGAGACTGTTTTCAGAGGCTGGGCTTGTATATGAAAACAAGAGGAATCGTTTGCTTCCTAAAAATGCTGAAAATCTTGTTTTTATACATCATAATTTACCTTTGGTGGATTTCCAATATTAAATTAATTAATATTATTATTACTTACTAGTTACAAATAAGTACATTTTTTAACTATCAGTATTATCACCAAGTTACTTTAAATAATTGGTTTATTATAAAAAGTTAAAGCTGTTTAAAATAATAGAAAGCTTCAATTACAACTGTGTCTTTATTTAGATTCTATTTATAAAATCTATCAAGTTTACTATCCGGTATCCGGCCTGATAGTACATTACCATCCGGTATCCGGCCGGATAGTAAAAAAGGGCCGGATAAGCCGGATACCGGATAGAAACCGAATATTCGGTGCATCTCTAATATCTACACTACTATATTACTGTAACAGAATTTAGTTGTAGAAAAAAAAAAAAAATATCTTACAACACACGGGAAACGTTTTATTCATCAACGACATACATTTTACAGTATTGTAAAAAGAAATAAAGATCAATATTTAAATTAGGTGCGATTTACCCACTAAATAGTTCTCTTTCAAGAAATACTATTTAAATCACAATAAAACTATTTAATTTAATCTTTAGAATCATATCCACTGTATTCTATATTTTTCTTATGTATACATATATTACTTACAGAGCGAAACCGCCAACTCTATTAAAACGTCTGACGGAAGTGAGAGCTGAACACCTGGACTACCTCGGGACCAGCTTCGGCCTCACAGAGGAACTCCTCAAATTCTGGAAGTCACAGAAATATGTTCCTGTGTATCTAAGGTATGTTTTTATTTCATAGGACTGCAAACGAGCAAACGTATTACCTGATGGTAAGCAACCAGCGCCGCCCATAGACACCCGCAACAACTGAAGAGTTACGAGTTACTTGCCGACCGTTTGGGGATAAAGGTTTCAGATATTTGAGAATTGGGAAGGGTAGGTGAGAGGGGGAGGGATTGGGCCTTCGGTAACCTCACTCACAAGGCGAAACACAACGCTATGGTTGTTTCCTGTAAAGTAACAGTTTCTCAGAAGTCTCAAGGAAATACTAATTATTTTATTGTTTCTGAAACAGTCAAAAAGCGAACGAGCTGACAGGCGAGCACTCATGCATAATGCTTCGGGCGCTTCGCCAGGCGAGCTGGCTGGCCGCCTACAGCGCTGACTTCAGACGTCGACTCTCGAGGCTGCTGGGGCGAAGTCTCCGAGGGCTCCCTGCCTCACTAGCACTCTCTACACTGCTAAATGATAATGTTGCTATAGATAAACCTGGTAAGATTTCTTTTTGTTTGATATTTTTCTAAGTACGCAATAAGTTAAAAAGAAATAAATAATTTCACCGCACATCATCATCATCGTCAATCTACAATATGTCTATTGCTGAGTAAATCTGCCTCTTCCCTTTCGGGGGAGGTTTGAGTATGCACCACGCTTGTTAAAGACGGTTAGGCGATTTCAGACCTATTATTAAAAATTATAAGTTCAGGTTTACTTGCAACATTGATCAAAAATATTTATATAGTTTACTTACATGTTGTGGTTACTGTGTACTAAATTATTTTTTTAATTTTCACTGTGCCTGATTGTACGCGTTCGAAACGAAATTAACTCGAAATCCTTAGCTAAATAGATTCTAATCAATCAATCTATTAACAGAATAGTAACTATCATGAGACATTCAACATTTTTTGAAATCACTTACTCACGTGAATCAGCTGAGACATCTGACTTGAACTAGTAGAGCTTTTCTCAGTTAATTCACGTGAATAAGTCGTTATTTTTAATAATTATTAGAGCAGCGTCGCCACAAAAGCAAAATAATCTATAAAATATTATTCAATTTCCAGCTCTAACAAAAGATCTGATAGCAGAACAGCTATCAGGTCACGATGTAGGTAGACTAGAAGCGTACAGTCGCCAGCAGGCTGACTACAGGCTGGTAACCGACTTGCTGGGACCCCTCGCCACGCTGGTCTTCCACACCAAGTCCTCGCTCAAACTGGATGCTGTGCAACAGGTATTGTACTTAAGTTCCATTTATTTAAGAGGGTGTGGCGACGCACATAACACACGGGGTAAAAATCACTGAAATAGACATTTTTAATATTAGTAATATTATTAATTGAGGGTTTTTATCCCTAAACATCCGAAACTCTAATCCCAAAAAGCCAGTAGGGTATTCGTAAATCCTCTAGTGTTGTGGGTGTACATGAGCAGCGCCTATTACGTGTTGCCATTATTTCAAATCGGTGATATTTCCAAATGAGTTACTTAAAAACTATATTTTGTCATGTTAATAATGAAATCTATTAATATTTTTTATTAATTATTTTTAAAAATGCGTAGATAAACTTCGTTACAGCACTTTTGATCGCCTATATTGATCGACCGAAGTCCTACTTGAAAGGATTCCTTACGATTTAATCTCAAAATTCATCATTTAAATCTAATCCCCTTTCCAGGTAATATTCATAGCAATGGGTTTCCAAATGAAAGATGTGGATGATATAGCAAAAGAACTCGGGCTACCAGGCTCTCAGATATTAGCGAAGTTCTTCGAAGCGTGCAAGAAGATAACTACAGTTGTCAACGCCGTTCTAGAAGATACTGTGGCCAAGGAAATCGGCATTGAAGACAAAAATACCGATGACGTCACCATGGGCCCCGTCAAACAGAGCTTGCAAGATGAATTGTCGAAAGCTGCCAAGGTAATGTTCTGTGGGTTCTTGGTTTTAAGTGTAGTCTTGTGGTTTAGAAATAAATTATTTTCATAAAGGTCTCTTTTTATTTGCGTTGTGAGTTGAAGACTATATTAGTGACTGCTACCAGTACGCATTTCTAAAGTAAAAAGTAGTCCATATCAGTCTAGAGTTTTCGACCATAATCTATCTCTATTCCAAATTTCATTTAAATCCGTTCAGTCGTTCCATCCGTCTATGCTTAAAACCTTTATTATTTTTTATTGTATTACTACTGCCATATATTTAATGGTCTAGTCTTTACCAATTGCTTTTTTGGACATCATTGTACTAAGTATTATATTTGTGTATTACTCAGTACTGTTCTCAAATTGGGTACAATAATGTATTGGTGAGATTGCAAAACGTATATATTTTTTAAAGAGTTCCCAGTCGAATCTACAGTCCGGAACGAGCACTAGCTTTACTGTCGAACATACTGACAGACTGTTATTCTATTGACATTTCAAAAGTTATGGTTTTAGTTGGAATACATAATTTTTAATCAGACCTCGACTTTTGTTTTTCATTGTTATCATTGCACTTGACAATTATTTTCTGTAGTGGGTTATTATTTTCCGTGCGACAATTGAACTCGCATCATATTGCACAGATGTCAATTACATATATAACCACGGCGCCAACCGTGAAGGTAATAAATTATTCTTTCAATGAATAGCTTATAGACAACTCTACTCATGAATATAACTATTTGAATTTACAACCTTATAATCTTACAATAAATTACCAATTGTATTACCAGTTTTATAGTATACTACAGACATTTCGTGATACTATTGTACAGGAATTGGAGCGCAAGCAACGTAAGGAGTTGTCTCGGTTGATGGGCGAGGATCTGGCGCAGTACCGCATCAAGGGCAGTGACCTCGACTGGGGACAGGCCCTCGCTGGCTCCAAGCAGAAACAACTGGTTTCCGTCAAAAGGTATACTTACTTTATATTTATTTATTTACCTAGTAAATGTTTTGTTTAAAGTTTTTAATTTTACTGTCCTTATACATATGCTTATTTTACTTTAAATATGACTACGTTGTTAGTGCCGGTCGTGCGACTGCTGAGCTTAAGAATTTTGCTGGAGACGTTTGTTATATCGGATCGTTCGACAGTTCAAGTAACAACACAAAACTTTCTATCTCGCCCAAATATATTGTGTATGCTAATTTGTATCTTTGTAAAAGCACTCACAACGATTTATGCTACTTACGAGTCACTTTATATTTTGACTATTCTAGGCCACATTGTCTGGATAGCCACTATGTGTCAGATAAATTTAAATATACAGAACGTAATTTGTATGAAATATCTGCTATATAAGTTCACCGGATACTTACGAGTAAATGAAAGTGGTGAAGCGCCATCTATATTATTAATATTTACTATTTTATTTCCAGCGGTGAGAAACGTCTCGGCGATGACAGCAAGGAGATCGATGACCTCATAGAAGCACACTCACAGAAGAAGAAAAAGAAAAAGAAGCATGTACGAACTCAGAACTAAATAAATATATTGTTATATATTTTATGGACTTAGTTTTATTTGTATACTGTAACCCCATCATTATTATAATGACGTCAGACCACCATAGATGGGTCCAATAGGTCCGATGTACGATCGATTGCGAGCTAAGCGCAATAATGTTCCGCGGCCCGGTCCGGAGCAGGTGTAAGAACGAGGCGGCTGTTAGTAATAAACAAAGAAGTCTAACACTTCTCTCCCCACCCATTTTTTAAGCTTTATTTTGTCACTAAAATATACTCATTATGGCCACACGGCACAAAAACTTCTCATCAGCTAATTAGGCTAGACTCCAGCAATATGTCAAACTAGAAGTCCTTGCTAAAAAACAAAACGAAAATTTCGTTGGGTCGATTTTTCGATTGGGCCCAATCCTTAACATGCTTTATGTAACGACTAGCTACTCTAGCGCGGTTTCACCTGTTGCTCGGCTCCATATAATCGTAGCGTGATGTTTTATAGTCTATAGCACTCAGGAACATTGTAGCTATCTATCAGTGAAAGAATTTTGGCAATCCTACCAGTGGCTCCAAAGATTACCGCTTACATACAAACTTACAAATTTTAACTCTTTATAATATTAGTAAAGATTAGATAACCTCACTATTGAGGATCAGTTAGAGCTGAGCTTAATTCTAGTCGACTTTCAAATCTTTCGACCTCTAAAGCTAGATATCTGCCCTGAAAACGAGATCTTTTTCAAATTACCCCATTTGCTGGTGCTAGGTCATGTCATAACAGCAAATTTAGATTATCTTTTAGTAGCCCTACTCGCCCTCAGAACTAGTAAAAACCGAATGTCGGTTAAAGAAGTAAGCATGACTAGCGCAAAAAAAAAAACGTTTCGTTACCCCACACTAGTATTTTGCTCTGGTGTCGTGAGTGCATTTATAAACATACAATTTCACATACATATCACACCCAAAGCTGGAACAACAATTTGTGGATCACACAGATAGGCGCATCTTCGCCATGCGATAGGGTTACCCGGTGTCCGTTACCCAGGCCAGATGTTGTCGATAATGGTCATTTGAATCTTATAGGTAATTAGTTGTGCGGCTTCTGTAATTGTTGCGCACATTTTTAAATTTGTTGCGCTTATAGTTTTTTAATTATTTCACATAAACATTTCCTGCTGGCGTAACGTTACCACAGCCAGACCTTTTTCTTTTTAATGGGAATATTTAAATAAATATTAGCTATAAAATTAGTTGTCTAGATAAAGTAAATGTTGTGCCTTATTTTGTATTTGTTCTTTCTTCGGTTGCGAAGTTATTCGAGATTTTGCTGCCGTAACGTTTTTGGTTTTGCTAGATCTTTGAAATGGTTAAGCGGATTCTTATCATATTTTGTACACGACTTCCGAGGACTTAGTTTAAATTTGTTGTGCAATAACAAAACCAAAATAATGCATATTTTAAAGGTTTTTTCATTAAATAGAAAAACACTTCAATTGGCCCCAGCACTCTCAATAAGAAGTCTAAAGACTTACTTTAAACGTAATTTTAAAGCTTGTAACTGCCTTCAAATGTATGTGAAGTTTCATTAGTATCCCGTAAGTATTTAACAAGTTATGATGATATTCAGTTCTTCACGAGCACGGTCTTAATCCACGCGGTGTTATTTGGCCACTGGATTGGATATATGAACTGAATATTATGTCAATAATTAGTTGTTTAGATCAGTTGTATATCAGTAAAATTTCAGCTCAATACATTGGATAATTAATGAGATAATACTATTAAAGTAATTAGGAAGCGAATGACCGTGGTAAGCCGACCAAGTTTAGGTGGTTACGAAAAAGCGAAAACGCAGTACATTATGGTACCTTCTAAAATATGTAGGATAGTGTTATAAATTTAGTACAGACATGTACAAAAGTTTAAAAAAAACTACATGATTATTCAAGATTTTTTACTGAAAGGTAAAATAATCATTTCAATTGAACTTTTAGTCCCTTACTTAAAAAAACTTAGCAACTGATTAAACATCACCCGTCCTTGTCATTTCTATTTCATAATGCAGTTCAAAAATCATCTAAAAGGTTACAAAACTAACCTTCTGGCAAGACTGCTCGTGTGTTATGCAAACAATGTATTACCCCTTCACCCCACTCCTCCTGCGTCCTACCGAACGGCATGCTTTAGCGGTGATTTTTGATAATTTTGTGGAACTGGAAGATAATGTTTTCTTTTATATTATTATTATATAGGTATTTAACAGTGTACCCGTCTGTACCAAAATTGTAAGGTGTATTATACTAAACATTTCAAAAGATAGTACAATGTTCTGCGTTTTCGCTTTTTCGCAACCACCTCAACTTGGTCGGCTTACCACGGTCATTCGCTTCCTAATGACTTTAATAGTATTAGCTCATTAATTATCCAATGTATTGAGCTGAAATTTTACTGATATACAACTGATCTAAACAACTAATTATTGACATAACATTCAGTTCATTTAACCAATCCAGTGGCCAAATAACACCGCGTGCATTAAGACCGTGCTCGTGAAGAACTGAATATCATCATAACTTGTTAAATACTTACGGCATACTAATGAAACTTCACATACATTTGAAGGCAGTTACAAGCTTTAAAATTACGTTTGAAGTAAGTCTTTAGACTTCTTATTGAGAGTGCTGGGGCCAAATGAAGTGTTTTTCTATTTAATGAAAAAACCTTTAAAATATGCATTATTTTGGTTTTGTTATTGCACAACAAATTTAAACTAAGTCCTCGGAAGTCGTGTACAAAATATGATAAGAATCCGCTTAACCATTTCAAAGATCTAGCAAAATCAAAAACGTTACCGCAGCAAAATCTCGAATAACTTCGCAACCGAAGAAAGAACAAATACAAAATAAGGCACAACATTTACTTTATCTAGACAACTAATTTTATAGCTAATATTTATTTAAATATTCCCATTAAAAAGAAAAAGGTCTGGCTGTGGTAACGTTACGCCAGCAGGAAATGTTTATGTGAAATAATTAAAAAACTATAAGCGCAACAAATTTAAAAATGTGCGCAACAATTACAGAAGCCTCACAACTAATTATCTCTAAGATTCAAATGACCGTTGTCGACAACATCTGGCCTGGGTAACGGACACGGTTACCCGAGGTCCAATACTCCCAAATACTTGCCTCCCAGTCCAGAATACGGTAACGTACTCGTAATACCTCTGGTGTTGGTGTAGATGATTGCGCGTTGGCGCCATATACCATAATTAAAATTAACCTTATAAGCAACAAGGTCCTGCCAAGCGTGGTGGTTGTAGCAAACCCTCAGGTGGTCCATAAACTAGCATTTGACAGTCAAATGTACTGTCTCGCCATGAGTGGTGCAAGAGGGAGTATCAGACTAAAACTATCCTGGTCCTGCTCCAGCTCCAGAGCCGTGGTATCTAAAAGTAATCCTGGTAGCTACATGGCTGTAGGTCTGAAATCGTTGTTCAGTCGTAAGTGCTCGGTGGTACTATGGGTCCAGAACTTTTTATATTGCTTGATTTTACTGCTTAATTTTTTTTTAATTCAATCAAATCTATACTATGGACCTATTCCTTTATAGTACTGAAGAACCTTCCCACGTTTTTTTATCGTACTGATTGATTTGTTCACCATATCTATGTGCTGGATAAACTTGATATAGACTATATAGAACATATTTGTATGAACTATGTGTCACATAATTTTACACATAGATTTGAACTATGTGATTAACCAAATCATATGAAGATCGTTATAAACAGGCCTTTGAAAGCAAATAGTATTTATTTAGAACATGAAATAGGGAATTTTAATTCCATTCCAGATTTGACAATTTCAGTGTTGCAACGTTATGACACGTACTAAATAGTGACGTTGCGAAATTATTCGATATGGAAATCGAATATTTCTGAATCGATTCCTCTCGTTCATAAATTTACTCTCGTAAAGTAAGTTTATCGGGAAATAAAATATTTCTGAACCGATAATTTAGTTTTGACAATTAATTAACGATCTAAGACTTTTCTTTTGTAATTGTGTGTGAAATTAATAAAAAATGTGATCATGAAGGAACATCACAAATAAAACAGACATTTCATAAATTGTCGCCATCATCGCTATCGCTATTTGTGTTACTTTCTGTAACATTTATTATGAATTGTGTCTGTGATATTTATTGTCAATTAACATATCTAGCTTACTCATTTTTTCCTCATTTTTGACAACATGGGATACGCATTTAGACCATTCGATAGCCGTAATTTTTTGAATGCCTTCCTGAAACTGATTCACTTATTGTTAATCGATTTTTGTGTTCATCACTACACTGTTATATGTGGTATCATTATTTCACAAAATGACAGTGGTCAATGTCAAATTAGGAATCGAATTAAAATTCTGACTATAGTTAATAGAATGATTGTACATAATTATGTATGTAGGGTAGGTAAGGAAGAGTAAAAGGAAACGACAGATTCAATAATAATTTCTATAATTATTGTAATATAAAAAAGTGTTGGTAGTTATTCAACCCTTGGAATAGACAATAGATATTTCCTCTTAAACATAACAAATACGAGTGCTTGCGTTGCGTCCGGGCGGCGTGTTGCCGCGCTCGTAAAAAAATATCATTTTTTAATCTGTGCGCGCGCATCGCTGCCCCGACGCACCGCCGCACGCATACTTCTATACCATTTTATTACAATATAATGTGATCTAAGAAAAATAATATTTTCGTCTAACGCCCGATAGGGGGCGTCTGGTAAACAATTTTATACTATAATTTGTTTGTCCCTTATTTTAATACACGCGTTCTACTCGTTACAAATGTACGTAACATCGGCTCGTGCCGCCATGTGTGTTACAGCGAAGGCCCGACGTCGGTCTGCTCGCGCGGTGCGCTGCACCCGCCCCGTCCCGGGGCCGCGGCACAGGCACCGCCCCGGCTCCGACCTCTCGCGGCCGACTCGCTGCCTATCGTATCCTCGCGAATCCACCGCGAGAGGTCGCCACTTACATTTGCTCTAATATTTGTTAACATACGAAGACCACCTCCGTACTTTACGCTATCATATCGAGAATAAAACATCCACTACAAAACATAATTTAGAATATCATTAACATTAGCTGCTAGTATCGTTAAGTTAAACGTTATGGGATTCGTTAATTTATACACTATTATTTCTCACTTTGACTTGCGGGACACTTTCAAAATGGTGGAAGGAAGTGAGAGAGGGAAATATTAAACAATACAAATATAACACACTCAACATTCTGTAGAGACGCGCAACTTCGCTAAAGCTCGAACGTTACAATAATAAAATTGTTTCTAATTAAAAGTATCCCGTAATAGTAGACAGGTTTGGCCAAGCGAGACGACGCGTCCGTCGTGTGTGCGTGGACTAACTGACGTAGGTACATATACAGGTAGGTACAGAGTAATTGAGAAGGAATTGCACTTAGGAAAGGATTCGCGACTCTTGGCACTTTGACTTACGCTAATAATTTGTCTCGGACATGTAACACAAGAGGACAGTGAGAGGAAACGTGCGATGAAGCGACAGACTCGTATAGGAAGTAGGTTCAACATGGCGCGCCGCGATACCGCAGCGCCCACGCAGCGTCCCCGGAGCGTCCCCGCTGCGTGAGCGCCGCGGCAGGCGCTAGAACGTAACGAACATTGACCAGACACACAATACTCGATACATTCGATTCACTACGTAACTAATTACTTCCACTTGAGTTAATATATTATAAAATATAAATATATTTTTAAAACGTCAAGAATTTGAACTTATTGTACGTAGATGATGATGTAAGCAGTGTACAGCGCCGGCTCGACTAGTCGCCACTGGTTACTCTATACATAACATCGTTTCTTTATATACTCGAGACACAAAAGCAAATGCACTATATCTTATTGCCACACTTAAAGTTATTGCTACGACATATACATACTGCTCTACGTATAATATATAATTGTAAATATAATCAATCACAACATCCAATAAAACAAAAATATTGTTTAAATATTATTGCATTAATTTAGTTCAACTATAACTCGGAAGGGGTTTTCAGTAAACCACTGTATAGCTCTTTTCAAAGTGCGAGTAGTGTACAGTGCAGCGAATATCAGAATCTGTCCGATTCTGATCGACACTGATGAAAAATAACACGTCTCTCGAGAGATTCCAAACGAAATTGGAGGCTAAACGATTAGTCACTAAGGCACAATTTAATTTTCCCATTTGAACTTTACATATTTAAATCTAAAATAAACGAATTCAATTCCCCTTCGCACACCGAGGCTGGGAGTGTTGAGGGCGGTACTCCTCAATACGGATCGTCGTATTAAAAACACTGCAAAAATATTCAATGTGCGAGTACAAACTATTCATTACATTCGACATTCAAATTTAGAATTCCGTCGATAGTTTAGAATATACAACGTTAATGTTTTAATGGCTTGCTTATGGTAACTTATAGTATAATTGCTTGGTGTATAAAATTGCAGGGTTGCAGTGTCAACTATGCATCTTAATGTAACGGCGTAAAAGCTATATTCCTTTGTGTAGCTTGGTAAATGAATGATTACAATAAACTTCTAATTAACTAGGTATAGCAATGATAACAGTAACTTTAATATTGTTAACAGGCAATATTTTAAATATTTCACTAAGGTAATGATTTGCTAGCTTGTTTGTTTAAGCTCTTGGTAAGTACAGAACCACTACATGAGTACCAAACTTAAGTTTGATGTTGAAAAATCACCAATAATTTCATCGATGGTGTAATTGCGTCAATTTATTTCAAACGCTGTTTAATAAAGACAATCAATTCTATAACAAAAATGAAATTATTGATTATTTTCGTAAAACGATAAAAACAGCGAAATAATGTTGCTTTCAATTCAACATATTTTTCTTCACAAATTAACTTCATAGCACTACTTAATTGAAGATTCGCAGTGGTCTTAAACTTATATCTATAGTTGAGCTAAGATTTTCAAATATTAACAAACAATGTTTTTCTAGCTATGCATAAAGGAATATGAAATTATAATTTAAATAAACAATAAGGATGCGACTTGTATCGATAAAAACTTATCGACATTTTCGTAGCTTGATAAAAGTAATTGTAGATCGATATCGATACCAATTTTAACAGGCACTCTTTTGTCAGCTGTCCTATTTTTATATACTAAGAAAGCTGTCTTGGTAACTGAGACATTGTGCTTATCTAAGTGGCAATCGTTTAACAACAAAAAACAATATCACTATTTCTTTTAGCCTTTACTTTTTTTTTGAGGGCCGCAATATTCAGCTTATTTCTCTGGCCATGAGGCGGGAGGGAGTGTCAGACTCTTACTGATTGAAACCCCCCCGTTCCTTCTCCTACTCTAGGCCGAGGACGCGTGGTACGTTATTTTTTTGGCCTGCAACCCCGGCCCTTGCCCAACTCGCTTATAAGATTACGCCCTAACCGTGGTCTTATACAACAAAATGTCTATGAAACATCGAACGACTGTCATCTGCGCTCCAAAAACCTTCTCAGTGTAAATTATATATAACGCAATAATAACAATATTACTCTACATAACGAATGCTATAATTATACTAGGTATATAAAATTTATTTTGAAATTAATAACTGTATGTATATTGCTGTATTGAACACATTTATCTACATACATAAACCCCGTTATGTACTGTATTTAATTAAGCTTCAGATATATAACAAAATTTAAAAATGTCCCGTGGCAACTTCATGGATAAACTAACAACAGTTTCAATCGATATTTTTATCATATGTTCTGTATTTCTATACAAGTTGTATTTGCCGAGTATGTAATTTCAATGAATACAACAGTATATTGACTAATATGAACCTTATCTGCCTCTTAGTAAAGCACAATGTCGATTACACCCTATCCTAAATCATTAACGCCAACTATAAATATAAGTTGTAGATTCTGCTATGAATGAATATTTTCTAAGTGATCTGGTGATCGCTGCATTAACGCAAATGTATCGCGAAACTATTACATCTATCGTATACAAAGCGCGTTGCTTGGGCCCGCGGCCCGCAGCGAGGAGCTTGCAGCGCTCCAACACGAATCTACCGACGACACACAGACTACGTACAAATATACTCATATATTAGCTTTATAATTGATATACTCTGCGAACTGTGTTTATACCTCGAGCGCGGTGCAGCGGCGACAGTTGTAGGCAGTTTAACATTACTTATAGGCAATCCTTTATAACTCCATTCGTATAACCATTCCTTCAACGCTTGCTTAGTAGTGGCAGCGAATGCTAACATGTCATTGCCTTTAAAAGTTCGGAAGCCGCAGCGCTTGCCGCTTCCAGTAACACGACTAAAATATTATTGCTTTTCAATTATATTTCAGTAACTACATACCATTGTACTTTGTATCTTTAACCTAGGTAATCTAACACCGACATTATGTATTAAATCTTATTCATAAATGCGTATAATTACTTTAAACCGACCAACAAAACATTGATTATTTTATTAAAATACAGTGTAGAAGCCGATGTATAAATATGGTATTCTGACGTATAAATATACCCGCAATAAGTAGGTATTGGTGTTCCGGATAATACAGGTACTCGTATCAATATAATCCTACTTATGTCCAGCCACACAGTTCACTACAAGCCTAGTGTAAGCGCGTCCCTCTCACGTAGATTGACTTGCTGTGGCGCTGCACCGGGCCCGCGGTACATACTGTGTATACTGCTTCAAAATTACTCTAAAATCTGCAGCTGAAAGACACTTGCTATAAGGCATTACTGACGATCACATCTGCGCTGAACGATAACGATATTATTGCAATAGCTTGTAACATGGTGTCTCGAAATGGCAAAAATTGACGAAAGGCATTTTGTATTACTCTATGACTTAACTACAGCGTCCGAGTCCCCGCGACTCTACCTCCCCTCCACTCTACTGCCGGCCTGCCCCCTACTAGTACCGAGTCTGCTAGCCACACACATGCTCAACCAAAAGGAAAAAGGTAAAATAAAGAAACAAATATAAATCCATACATAAAAATTAATGTATTCTATTATCAATAACATAAGGTATAGTTACACAAATAATAAAATTAAAGGAAAACAAATTTATACATAATTCTTAACGCGAATAAAAAAAAAAACAAATTATACATGCTATCAACACAAGATGCTATTAAAAAAGAAAACAGTATTTTACAATTTCCTAAAACAATCGCCTAGTGCTTCCATCCAGCGCTCACTTGCTCATCACCTTAGCATAATAATTTGTCAATTTGGTTTCAATTTTAGGCTCATTTGAGATTTAGGACGTGGTACCTCGTGGTGGTCAGAATAGTACTCGAAGGTACGAGGGAAGAACTAACGTAATTAAGTAATCCATTGACACAGGACAAGGCGTGCACTTAGACAACTTAATGAGTAAACTAGTCTGCTAGTGGCGCCCTCTATGGGCCCTCCTTAGCAACTTCAACCACATCAAAAGTGGGGAGATTAAGTAATTGATTCATCATTTAAGATTAAAACTTGTTGATTTGTAAGTAAAATATTGATCACAGTTCTTTTGTCAATGGTAATTTTGTGATACTTTTAATATTAAGGCCAAAATAATAGCTTAACCACAAAAAAAATAAGCAACAAAACAAAAAATAATAATAATAATTGTATTACAACTCATTACGAACTATAACGATTAACAAAAACCAAGTACATATACGCGAGCTCCCTTACGAGATGAATTTTATGATTTTGATTGTAAATAATAAATAAGAAGCAATGTTTGTTATTACCACGAGCCGCCGAGTCGCCGCGACGTCACGCGTGAGGGCGCTCGACTCGACATCGCCAGATCTTTGATATACCGCCTCGCAATAACTTCTACAATTTAAGTAAACTTTGCATCATGCGCAATAAAATTAAAAGTAATACAATGCCACAATAAATTAAATAACCAACTAAAATTTAAATTAAAACATTTGTGCGGGTGTAAGTACCGACGGTGACGAGACTATATTAAGGTTCCTGCGAATATTTCGAATTAAGACGAACGAAATAAACGTTACGTTTAAAAAATACATCTGTAAGTTCAGATGTGTTTTACGATACAATATCTAGACAATACTAGTTTGTGTACACACTGCACTGGTCGTTCGTGTACCACGACTGTCCAATACATATTCAAAGTCTCCCAACAGTCAGTGAGACTGACAACTCGCAATTGGAACACAAAACATAAAGAATTACTATAAAACTTACTAGCTCTAATTGGAAATATTCCGGCGCTATCTGTGTGATGCTATAATGTATGCAGGGACAGTAATGGTACGTCAGGGCCAGTAGTGGAGCATGTATTGCTGGGCAGAGCGCCTGCGGGCGGACTGCGACGACTTACTCTAGAAGTGAACGCTGCAAGCTCACCTACACTCGTGTACACTCACGCCAGGCCTCACATCGAAACACGCACCGTTATATAAACATTATTATGTTAATTTCTCCTTGTCCGCTTAGCTATAAATATAGTTTACATATAAATTAAAATATAGACTGAAAACTACACATTTCTTAAATAATACTATGTACAAGGCATCTCTAGTCGCTCCTTATGACATTAGCCGGCGGATTGCCCCCTCACCCCTCTTACTATAAACGTTCATACAAAAACCTATCTGGCACTAACATGTATATTCATTACAAAATGTATAATATAATAATATTATGTATATACAATCACAACATAAATTTGATAAACAACCGAGAGGAATATATAATATATTGGTGTTACGGACACTGTGGCAGAGTCAATCTGTTCATGTCAACCATATATTGTACTCTTCAAAAGTATTCATTAAAATATATTTTGAACTTTTTTTTTATTATAAAACGAAACGAATATTCATTTTGATTTGTTCAGGATCGCACTCGACGAACTCGCGTAGCGTCGCGTTCCGAAGGGCAGTGGACTTTACATACAAACCAATCTAGCTCCCCTAGCAGAGTATTATTGTCACTCCAAATAATTGTATCTTGCGATTATCAGAGATCAAACGACTGTCTTGATCGCGTTTACGATTTCTAAGCGTAAAAAATTATATATCGCCATTGATTACATTCATAATGAAACTACCTGATTGTCCCCAAATTATTTGATATGTATACGAAAAAATGTTTATATTAAGACATGACAATAAACAGGGTTTTGCTCGATCATTGTTCACTAAGTATTCTGTTGTATATGACGTGTTACAGGGAACTTTTGTCCCGGCGGGTAATTCGTTAGTCTGCGCGGCGTTGAGGCAAGGCAGCGGTAATTTCATCTAAATTAATTAATTTAACTTAATTCCTTAAACTGTAGCTAGCGTCTTTAATTTTCACAACGATAATGTTGGCTTAACCAGATAACTATCAAAGTTCTAAAATCAGCTAATTGGATCAATTTTACGATTCATTCTCTTAATACAAGTTATTGTTGAACGTCGTGTCGTTTGGAAGTATTGTAGTGCGGAAGCATAGAGAACAGACGTATAGAGCGAACTCTATGTTAAGTAGCGACCTTATTTCATGAGGTAGATGAAATATCACTTCATTGGCTAGTCACAGTCAATTCAGTAAACGCCGATATTGCATATTGCACCTTGTACAACATTTAATTTAAATTATCGTAATAATACAAGCTAATAGGCCGTCCGCCATGCGTCAAGCCGCGCAGTATGGTTCCCGAATGTGTTGGTGTAGGATCGCCCCGTTGGTCGCGTCGTTGCTCTACGAATACACATCTAAACTAAATTATAAAACAAATGACACGCCCATCACTCGCGTAAATCAACATTGCGAAAGTATAAATGTGTAAATTATTGCGAAGACCTACAAGTGATCCCATACATGTTGAGTTATATTAATATACTCGATTGGCCCACATGCGATCAAAAAATTATTTTTGTCGTATAGCTCCCATTACACTAAGAAACGAGCAATTCGTATATGTGTTCCCGACAGTAAAACGTTTCCATTGGTAGGGAAGTAAAACTACAACGCAAAACACTTAAGATATGATTAGTCTATCACTTATATGATACAGAGTCGGTAATCAAATCGGACTCGCTCGCCCGTTGCTACGCAACGATGCCTTATTTACAATTTTTCTTACAAATTTTTACATTTTGATTTTTGGTCATCGATTTGGGAAGAGAACGAAATGCGAAGACTTGAGTTGAGTGATATTGTCGTAGTGACAGAATGTACTGCGGACCTGCCCGCGTTACTCTCGCATTGAGTCTCGTGGTTCGGTTTGCGCATCGTGGCGTGTGCGAGGTAACCAATGCAACAAAACCGGTTTCATAGTACAGGGATAGTTTCTGTGTAGTGTTACCATCATCTCTTCGGTAAATATTGCTGAGTTTTTACACAACTCGCCGACTGGCGTGGACCAGTAGTCGTTGGACGACAACCATCCAACGTTAACTAACTACAACTGCACATACAGATCGCTACGAACACACATACGTGACTATAAACGTGTGTATTAGTAAACGCACTTAAAAATATCCATACCATCATTCATCATAGGATATGTTTAATTAATTAGAATTGCTCAAATCTCGAGTGCAGTTTACTGATACATACTAACAATTTGACAATCTTAAATATAATGCAAGACTATGTATTAAGCAGAGATGTGTTTGATACATAATTTTGCGTGTCACGGTGTGTTGGATTGTGGTGTTTATGCGTTGGAGATAGGGTCAGGTTACCAGTGGCGGGCGGCGCGGCGTCAGTCCCGGGGCGCGACCTTCAGCAGCGATATAGCGTGGCGCACGTACTGCACCAGGTGACGGAACGTCGACGACAGCGACAGGGGACCGCACTTACGGTCCACTGCTATGAATAGGTCTGAAACATTAACATAAACAATGTAATTGTTTTCGTTAGGTAAATATTTTTTATATGTGAACTTTTCCCTACACTAGGATTACAATCAAATCCAATGGAAAATTAAATAGTAGATGGAGCAATAATAATAAAAATAAGAGTAAATTTTTCGTGGAAAATCTTTACAATATAAAACAATCAAATCATAATTTGCTTTAATAAATATCTATTCAATGAAATCAATAAATTCCTTAAAACATGACTGCATAATCTATTTTCAGATTCAAGATTTAACTATCAATAATGGACTCTATGTAATAGAAAAACGATTTTAAAATAAAAAAAAACAATAAAACGTATAAAATTACCTCTATTGGCCCTCAGACGACACAGCGAATCAGCTTGTTCCCACAGATCATGCGCGACATAAAGGAAGGCGTAGTACTTGTTGAGGAGGAGCAACGCTTGGTGCGCGTGCGCAGGGACCGAGTGGGCCAGGGAACAGTACCCGGACGATGCAGACCCGGACCCGACGGACCCCACGGACCCGGCGGGTGATGGGGTCGGGGATAGCGGGGACACAGACTCCGCTAACGCCGGCTACGGGAGAAAATAAAATAAGCATTCGCCAGTCTGGTATAGGAGTTGAGGTTTTGTTTTAAAATAAAATCTCGGTGGTATAAAGGACGGAGTGAAATTGTAAAGCTTAAAAATTAATTTTGTATTTTGAAATGTTTATAGATATCGTAATTGAATAACTTGAGCTTATCAATCTTAATTTATATAATAACGGATTATTTACTTAGGACATAATTCAGTCATAATTTTATTAACTTTGCAAAATAAATAAATATGTCTCTTTTACTAGGAAAACTCTTATTGTATGCTATTAAGAAAACAAACAAAAAAGCACTACACAGAATCGATTATCTTTTATAAGTATATTTTCATTGATGGAACCAAACCCACGATTGTTTAGTAAGGATGATTAGCGTGTTACGTCACTCGTTCTAGTTATTTAGCCAATTTTAGTACTTAGTAAGAAAACCATCCAGTCTTCATAACGAAGGAACTTTAAAAGCAAAAGTGTTAATAGTTTTAGTTTGTTGAATGTTTTAGTTTACAATAAGCTATTTCTAACGAGATAGAGGATGCCTATTGTGATCAACAAAAAATCTAAGATTAAATTTTTGAGTTAATTCTAAGGAATAGAGAAAAAATATATTGGCTAAAAAACTTAAACTAGTGAATATGCAAAGCAAAAAGATCTGAAAAGGTCAACACGATATTCTGGGTCCGATATAAGAATACTGTGATATATAAAAGAAAAATGTTTCAAATCATTCTCTAACATCTTTGAAAGATTAATGTGATAAAGAAACTAAGTCTCTGTCAAGCTCCTTAAATTTTAAATTGCTCTATCAGGATATTCGGCGCTTAATAAGATAAATAATAAAAATCACTCTTAACTAATATGGGTTATTTTTATCTATGTAAATTATCCAACGATAGTAACACGTCAAAATTAACTAATATATCAAAGTTTAATAATTGGAGTGATAATCCACTCAATTATCGAAAGTAACATATAGAACAGACTGTCTAAATAAAAGGTTTTTTTTACACGACCGCCCGATGTCTCCTGTGTTGAATAAAGTATTTCGAGAATTAAAATAAGCCAAATCAAATCAGTCCAGCTGCTCTCGAGTTTTAGCGAGACAAACGATCAGCAATCCTCGGCAACGGCTCTACTAGTTTTAAGTCATTACGGGACTCTTATTCATAAACCGCGTGCTACTAGAGCTTTTCTCAGTTAATTCACGTGAGTAGTCGGTATCATCAATATTTATGTAATTTAATTTATTTAAGTACTTATTTATTGATCAAAAAGGTCCATTTTAAATTTTACGATGTAAAAAAATGACCGACAAAACTATACACATAGTTTGTTTGTCGGATCAAAATTATTAGTACGTCTTAGTATTTATTTAAACTTCATAAGACCGTAATATAAGAACCAGAATATCGTATAAGACCTAAAACAGCAGTAAGAAAGTGTGCAAAGATGGCGGATAGCGGTGTAGGTATAAAAATAAAAGACAATTCGATACAGACATCTGCACGTACCTTCTGTTGGTACTCGTGGACGATCTTGTTGTACTCCTTCACTTCTCGGTTGTACATCTTGAACATGCGAAGGTACAGGAGCGCTTGTACTCGTAGGCTGCAAATTGGAGATTATGGTTAGTATATCTATACTAATCTAAGAAGTAAAATTTGTAAGTTTCTATGTAGGGGGTAATCTTTGGAACCGTTGGTCGGATATCCAAAAAATCTTTCACTGATAGATAGCTACAATTGCCCTGATTGATTTGTGTACAAACAATATTTTTGGGTTTTTTGAATCCTGGGATTTGGGACATTACTTGTATACGCGCACGAATCCGTGGGCGGAAGCTAGTTATAAGTATTATTGTTATGCAAAAGTTTTAATGAGGTATCATGTAGGCATCGGTGAAACGGGACATTAAAAACTGAATTTGCGGTGAAGTATAATTATTTGTTTTATTGTAGAATTTTCAGTGAGATGAGCAGTTTTAGTATAAACTTAATACAATCCAGAAAGTATCGACCTCTCCGTCTCCTAATAACATAGATATTTAAATTAAAAAGTGAAGAGAAACATTTTCCTTTTCAATACATATTTTTGTATAGGTAGTCTAATAGTATAAAATACTTACCTGAGTATATCAAGTTTGTTGAAAGTATCGTGCGGGCTGGCACGGAACCGTTGGGGCATCGAGTGTATACTCTTGATGTACTCGATGGTCTCCCGGTAGATGGTGAAGGCTCCCTTGGTGTCCAGTTCTAGCTCGAGTACTCGTCCGGTTAGAACGAAGCACAGCACGGACTCTAGGTACCGCATGACGCGGGGGAGGGGCTCTTGTTCCTTCTCAGCGGCCGCGCGGAGGCGCGTCGCTTCTTCTAGGTAGTACCTGAGGAGGGGATAAGGTTAGTAATACATGTTACACTCCTTTTATCCAGTGATATGTTACACACTTTTTTCCCAGTGATTCTTTATATATATAATTATGCTGTATGTGTATATGTCATTGAACTCTTCCTAAACGCCTAGACCGATTTAAATGATTTTTTCTGTATGCTTTTGAGTGGCGCTTTGGATGGTGTAGATTCATAAATCAGCCTGGCAGATTTCGCTGAAATTTGATATGTATTCGGGGAGGGTCCGCTAGTTTATATATAAAAATGAATCGCAAACTTACTTATGATCCCTCTCCTCGTCGGAGAGCGCGTCGGCGGGCAGTCTCTCGAAGTACGAGAAGTAGATGGGAGTCTGCCCCGCGTACGTTTCTGTCCGCTCGTGGTTTGTCGCCGCTACCTCGCCACCCTGTACGGAATTATTGATAGTATAAAGGTATAATTTCATTAGCTGCACTTGATTCGAATCCTGGATGGATGGTTCCTGCATGTATGTGTCTTAATCTTAGATCTTTCTTGAGAAAGCAAGTTTTCTTACTTTCTATCAATGTTTAACATGTACTTTTACTTACTCCTTTAGAGAATAAAATCTATATAATGATAGGTAAGTGAGTTTACCTGTTCGGGAAGAGGTGAGTGTGGTCGTTTGACGGGGACCCGGCGCGCGGGCCTCTGTATGGCGCGGAGGGTGTCGGGCCTCAACCGGGACAACGACACCCGCACCATTAGCCGGGGTCGGGACCGACCTGTTTCCACAACAAAAGTAAGTGTCAATATTTCGGTGAGAAGCCCTTATTAGAGACGTTATGTGAGCCTAAGTGTAAGGTAACTGACCGTTGGAAGTGGCATCGTCGAGCCTGTCGTCGGGCCGTCCGGCCTTGAGTCCGGAGCCGACGTCGGCCTCGGCGCGCACGTACCGCTCGGCCTGCGGCCGTTCAACGCGCTCCAGCGACTTGTCCAGCAGCTTGCTGTCCAGCAACTTTGTGTCCAGCAACTTGCTGTCCAGCCGCTCCAGCCCCAGCTTGCTGTCCCCCAACCTAGCCTTCGTGTCGGACAGACGATCGTGTGAGAGCTTCTCCGCAGATATCCTGTCGTGTGCCCTCTCCCCCGAGAGTCGGTCGTGCGCCGTCCTGTCGGTCGGTAGCCGGTCTATCGACATCTTCTCGCTGGGCACTCGCTCTGACGACCGCCGGTCTGCGAGCCGATCTGACGACAGTCCGCCGGATAACCGATCCACCGATAACCGCTCGCTGGCGGACGACGATCTGTCTGAAGGTGCGCGGTCGGTCGGAGTTCGCTCTGTCGATATCCGATCGACCGACCGATCGGGTATCCGATCGTTGGAGGTACGTTCAGTCGGTATCCGATCGTTGACGATTCGATCGGAGGGTATTCTCTCGTAGGAGGTTCGGTCAGGTATCCGGTCCATGGTTCGGTCGCTGGGGGGTCGGTCGAGGTCGCGGCGCGCGTCGTGCGCAGGGGGCGACAGTCGCGCGAGGGCCTCCCCGGCGCGGCGCTCCTCGTCGCGCTCGTCCGCGTCGGGGGCCGTCACCTCAATGATGGTCACCTGCCCCTTGCCCTTGCCGCCCTTGCCTTTGCCGCCCTTACCTCCCTTGCCACCGCACTCGTCGCTCTTTTTTGGTGTAAAAACCTGAGGAAACATTGCGTGCAATTAATAAAAGATTACATTTTATAGTACTTTATGTGAAAAAACTGAATAAGTTTTAAAAAGAAACAATGATATAAGCTCTTTTCGAAATGTAGTTGAGGGTTTACATTTTTTGTTATATTTTGCTTGCTAGATATAAACATGCATACCTTGCGAAAGATGTGCGTCTTGGTGTCTTGCAGAGGGTGGTGGTGTGGCGGGGGGTCGGGCTCCACGTCACTGTCGTGCAGTGGTGCGGGGGCGGGGGGAGCGGGGAGCACGGGGGCGGCGCCCGGGGAGCCCTGCTTGGACTTGCGGGGGCGCCCGCGGCCGCGGGGCTTCTTCAGCGGCCGCTCCTCCGACGCCCTCGCCTTGGGCGGCCGGCCTCGCTTCACCGCACCCGTCGGCGCTGACGACTCCGTGACTTTCACTCGTGGAGATGTCTAAGGTATGAGGAAAGACCACTTCGTGAACATGTTCATGTTGCATTTTACTTCATTGTAAAGTCAGTTTAAAGTTATTTTTGTCCCTTTTTCTCTTTGCCCCTATGTCTACCGTATTTTTAACCCTTGGTGGCAGATCGAGATACCTACTTGTATAATAAAACTATAAACAACTATCTTACCGTATGCCTAGGCGTATCTTCGTCGCTGGACGCGGCCGACACTCGGGACCGCCTCCGTCTAATGTCCGGGGACGGCGACGACGCCTCGGAATCCGACATCTCGGAAATCGGACTCTGTAACAACCATAAGAAGACACAATCATGAAAAAAGTAACCACAAATAGGATCTGATACATTAATAATCTTCTTCCTGGTCACCTCGTAAAAACTAGATCCTATACTCCCGTGCATAGCTCCCACAGCTTGCCACATCACCGCCTTCAGCTTAAGGAACTGGTACCACACTCGCTCCCGCTCCTCAAACGGTACATCACGTATACTATTCTCGAAACACAACAGCCCATATCGGAGGCTAGACTTGAGTAACGCTAGTTTGATCCACTTCTGCGTAATATCATGTGTTTGTGCCATTGTGTTGTGATGAAGCAGATGATTTGGGAGTGTAAAGTAAATATCTATTCTGTAGAATCATCACTTGGCGGGATGGTGCTAACTGTTTGCGTGTGCACCGTGAAAATTCAGTTTTATTAAGAAGTCCTTATTGTGATTGACACAAGTTGTTCGTTCCCAATGCAGTCGTCAAATCAACCGCGAGCTAGCAAGTTAGCTTACAACTAATCGTCAGTGTGCTTACTTCGTATTTTTACCAGGAATCGTGTGGGTCGGTGCTTAGTTTCTAAGTAGTGTTTATCTTTAGCAACATGACACCTGAGAAAGGCTCAATATAGTCGGGATAGTATTGCATGTTACACCTAAATATGGAAAGTGCTGGCGTGGACATTCCATCTACCGTGAGAGGCGAAGATTCTGATATTTGTTTATGTCTATCAGAGACCTACTTGTTGGAAATTCATTAAACACGGTAAGAAGTATTATAAGCGTGACAAGTTGTCGACAACTTCTTGAAATGATTTGAGCTCGTGAAATGCTAACTTGTCATCGATGTCAAAGTTTGTTCGTTACACACTTACATTAGGTGAAAGTTTTAATATGGCTGTGATGTAATAACTCACCGGTTTTCCTTTGATATCGGCAAGGGCATGCCTGACATCTTTGCCTGAGTCGTAGGTCTGGTCTGGTGGATGTGCAGGGGGTGGAGCGAAGTTGGAGAGGCTCCAAGAAGAGCGTTGCGTGGGCGCAGGTGCCGCGGCGGCAGGGGCGGGGGCGGGCGCGGCTGTTGTCGGCGCCGGCGCAGGGGGCGTCGATTCCGCTGACGAGGACTCTGATTCTGAGTCCTCAGACGGTGACGAACTGCCTGAACTTGGACTCGCCGACCCGATCGGTGATATAGGCCTGTGAATTATAATAAGCACTATTGAAAATGGAAGTAAACGTAGGAAATTTTGAGTAGGTCCTTTTCAACCTTTCAATCGTGGTTATTCGGGACAATATGTGGACGAACGCTGGCGTTCGTTTGGGTTTTGATGAAATAATTCAATATAATATTGTGATGTACAAAGAACATAGAAGAACATCACTAAATATAAGCTTTGAACTGTTTACTATTTACGCATTTTCACTAAACAATATTTAATACAAAGGGAAATTTAAATGGATACCCCAATTAACTAAAACTCGCGAAAAAAATAAAGGTTAAATTACTCGAATAGCTAACAGCTAAAGCAACAGTTCGTTGAATACTGGCAATAGAAAATCGTAAACCATAAAACTGCAATCCTTTCAAACGCAATAAGACGAATGGAAGCAAGCTCGGCTGCGGTTTGTTGAAATAAATTCAATTTAGCCTGCGTTCTTACTTTAAACTCAGAACGTTACTCGAGATAAAAATCAATTAAAAACTTAGCTTGTGAAACTAGTACCTACTAAAGCGGAGGGAAGTTAATTTCGTTAAAAAATTACTATCAATGACTGTCTCGGAGTATTTGCAAGAGATTACAAGGTCTGATCCAATCACCATATATGTATTATAGTGATTTGCTATTGTAGACTCTAGCCGTCACGTCGTACTCACAATACATTTAATGAATTATACAATCATTACTAAGTAATAGTTTAAGTAATCATTAAATGTCTCTGAGTGCGGCAGTTCGTAACTAGGCGAACTATGGGGTGTGTTCGGCTGTCCAGTGTATGGCGAAAGGTTCGCCCATCTATTACAAAGGACTCTTTTAACATAACTAGTAATAAAAAGAAAAGTTCGTCTTTGATGATGTGTACTTATTGTCTATAAGTATTTTGCTCAACCCAGGACTATACTTACGGTCCAATTACGTGTGTGTTGACCTCATCGTCGCTCTCCGACAACCCGAGGTCCTTGTTCACCACATCACTGAAATTAAAAAGGAGGTCATGGATTAGTTTTAATTACAGATACATGCAAATGAAACTGTGTTATGGCAGTTTTCAAAAAACAAAGTAAATCTGAATCAGATACTGTTTTGATCCTTATTCGGAAATTAATTGCATGGCATTCAGTTTAATGCAAGCCACTGAACCTACTCTCAAACAAAACTGTAGAAAAGTTTTAATCGTCATTCTAAATTTTGATAATCCTTCCAACGGCCTTACTTAAAACAGTAGCATTGTGTTTCACTCTGTGAGTGAGTTGAACGGTTCCTTAAATCTCTGAAACCCTAATCCTAAAAGCAAGCAATTCTCTGGTGTTGTGTGTGCAAACTATCACATAAAATAAAAACTGGAGAAAATGCACCAAAATCTTAGAGGCTATATAAAAAGCCAATCAATCAATATACGACGACCATAGCTGTGTATCGTATAAGTGGACTGTATCTCATTTGCATTGAAGAGAACCTGCGCTGTCTGTTTGCAGAGTGACCGACTGCGAATAACATAGATAGAGCTACCATGATATCAGAGGCGGTCCTTCTAGCTTTCGAATTTCTGCCAAAATATAATTAACATTAATTTATTTGGACTCTTGATATGATGTTACCACAATGGGTTACAGGCATCTTTTTTAAATATTGTCTTTATAATTGTAAAAATGGCAACCTTACATTTTTTGGTTAAGTTACACTTAGGTTTGAAGTTTTTGTGGATAGTGCAGAGATGGGATTACGCGACGTTGTTGATAACGTAACTTAAATCAGCAGATTTTTTGTGTTACCCTACACTAAGTCATAGATGCGTTTATAATTTATAATGTTACATAATTTGTTTTATAATTAATAAATGTTAATGCTGTTGGTCCTCCAAATAATAAATAAACATACAATTTGACATACATATAACACCCAGATCACAATTTGTGGATAACATAGAATTGTTTCGGTATTGAACTCGCGGCACGATGCATGGGAGCTGATTGCACAGCCACTGCGTCATCTCTACATTCAAAGTCAATATAAAAGTAAAGAGAGTACAAAATAATTCATTGGCACGTCTCCTTGTTCTCTTTCGTATGTAAACAACAAACACTCGAGTTAATTGCAGCTCTACTATGGCACAGAACCATGGCCCGCCTTTGCACGGTTTATGTCAAGTCTAAAGCGTACGTCGGCTCTCAAACTTGTGTGGCCAATCATGCCCGAAGCCACGCCTGTCCGATCCTTGATAGATTCCTTTCTAGTGATGCCAATGCGCCTTCCTTATTATTAATTGGGCCACTCACAACTTATCAACAGTCTTAAACGTAAAAGTTTGTAAGCATGGATGGATGTTTGTAGCTCTTAGACGTAAAAACTACTGAACGGATCTGAATGAAATTCGGCACAGATAGATTATAGTCTGGAATAACACATAGGATACTTTTCATTCTAGTACTGTGGGTGAAGCCGCTGACAGAAACAAGAAGCTTAAATTAAAGTATTTGGTCTCATAGCTTGCTAAGTTATGGTAAGTTTAAAAATAACCCCGTAATTTCAGCTTAAATTTCGAGCTTAAAAATAAATATATTTTTTTTAAATGAAGAAATGAGGTTTTAATACCTTTGGCAGTGGTACTACCAACCAACAAAACGTTTAAAAAGTTTGGAGCTAAACAAGCCTTGTATCTATTAGAGACAGACAGACTGACAGAGGCTTATAGGATTTTGTTTTCAACCTCCCTTCAGGTGAAACGGGGACGGAAACTCACGAAAATTTACAATCGTTATTTTCGAAAATGTTCGGCGCCATGAAATATGCAGTTTAAACATTAGTCGACGGGCACTGCAGTAGGATAAACATGTACCTGTAAAACGCGAATCTATACCAATATAAGAAAGAAGTATTTTTTTTATTTGTAAGTTAATATATAGGGTGTAATCTTTGAAACCGCTGTTCGGATTTCCAAAATTCTTCATTTCACTGATCCTGAGTGCTATAAGCTATGAAACATCACGCCACGATCTATGAGAGAAGCGAGTGAAACCGCGCGACTGTAGCTAGTCAATAAACAATATCGATTCTAAATTAATACATAAAGAAAATTAATGTCAAATTGACTACTAATTGGTGAAGTAGATGATAGCTGCTATGCAATGTGTAAACGTAATGGATTTTTTACGAAAAACTTTATGGTGGAATCCACTAATTGTGATCGCTGATCTGGTTGTGATGCTGAGCTTGTTTTCTATGTTTGAGAACGAACCCACGATATGGGAGAAAATCTTAGCTAAAAGCAACGTTTTTTTAAAGAATAGAACAGGAAAGCAATGATCCCCTATATATTTACCCACCCCATCGTTTTCTTCTTCCAGATGTGAATTGCATTCTGCTTTGCAGTCCACAGCATGTTCATCATAGCGAAGAATTTTAGTAAAATAATTCAAAATAAACTGAAAACTACTTACGGTGAGACTGAACTCCTTGAGTTCGATATCCGATTGTCTAAACCTGTAACAATGAAAATTACAAATTAATTTGTTTACACAAAACTTTATTAAGTATAAACAAAACAAAGGCATCAAACATTCAAATGGACGTAAAAGGCGATCGTAAAAATCCCAATTATGTAAATTCCTCATTCAATTTAACTTAAACATACAGTTTCATAATTATGTACCGTAATACCGGCCGTTACTTGAATAATTAACGATAATTAAAAAATCGTAATTAATCTTTAGACGTGTTTTATTGATCAAAATAGTTATAAGTTGTTTAAGATCGACATAATGTTTTTGTTTTTTAATAGTAAGTAACGTATTATTTTTTAGGAACCTACCAAAACTATTTTTATATAAGTAATTCGTCGGAAAATAATTGTATGGATCGAGAAAAATATGATTGGGCGTTTAATAATGGAAATCTTAGCAAAGCGCGCGTGGGTCATAAATAAAAGCTCCGGTAGGGCTTGAAACTTCTCGGGCTACCATGTAATGTCATAGCTTAATATCATAACTTATTTTTATAACTATAAATAAATAAAATTGGAGTAAGTAATCAATTTTGATTTCCTTTTCCTAGTTTAATTGTACATACAGATGGATCAGCGAATAGTAGTGACTTCGCACAAAAATAATTCTATCTGCCTTTGTTTTGTGATCTGTGAGTAATAATAACTATACTGCAGCAGTTACAATGACAAATTACCACTCATTCAAAATTACCAAAAACTACATACTTATACAAGCATCATAATATAAGTTACGTCCAGCCTGTTATAGGATTTAAAGCTTAACACTTTTGTAATAAAGTCGAAAATGTATTAAAGATATTTGAATTTTAAAAATAGCTTTTTCTGATCAAGCTGTTATTGAAATGGAACTTTATTGTTTTGTAATAAAGTCGAAAATGTATTGAAGATTCTTGTCACTTAGGTTAGTTTAGTTTGAATTGTCGAGAACACAAACGTTCCTACTAGTTTCCTTGGCTTTCCAATGTCAATCGGACGCGAAGTTAACAACCTTTAGTTGAGTTACACATATCTATTTTTATAGAAAATATTTTTGACCGGTCACGCAGAACATTGAAATTATAATACAAATAAAAAGAAACAATACATCAATGCCACAATTAACGTGACTATAACAACATTATTGACTGCACAGTAGGCGCCGTGGTTGGACAACTGGCTGCTGAGCAATGTGTCGCGGGTTCGATTCCCGCATGGAACAGCACTTTGTGTTCACGAATTGTTTTTTCGGGTCTGAGTGGCTTTTGTATGTCAATTTGTATGTTTGTAAGCGCCCCCACGACACAGGAGAAAGACAGGGTGGGGCAAAGTTGTTAAATAGAAAAAATCACAAATAGCTTGCAATGATCGAAAAGCCGAGTGGATAAAACGCAGCGTAAAAAGGAACGTGCACTGCAGTAGTAATTTGCTAAAGAGTCCGATTGTGTGGTTTCCCTGCAGCACAGACTGCACAGTCGTAAGTGCATCGCTCAGTGGAAGCTGCCGATGTTTACATAGGCGTGGAGTAATATAAACATGTCGGTAGCGGGTTCTGTGCCGGACCAATACTCTGTCGACTTTAAACAACTTATAAAAGTGCCTTGAACCCTTCGGTGCACATAATTATATTTAAAGCAAACATTACACTTCTAACAATTCTCACGGATACGCTTTAATACTTTGACTATTTGTACTTCTTGTTAATACTGCATACTGGGCATGTTTCTTTAGGCACAGCGTCGTCGGCGAGAAAATATTTTTTGGAAAAAGAAGGTAGGTATAGAAAATATTGTAGTTTATAAATAGTCTAATGCGTAGGCGTAATATAGATACGTACAATATACCCTTTAAAAGAAGACAACAACAAAAACAAAACAATATCGCAACTGATATTTCATCGATCAGCCAATTGTATTCGAAATATTTCCACAATCAATAAAAAGCCAGAGTATCGCGTATAAATAATCAATATAAAAAAAATATATATGAACACCGTTCGGGGGCTGTGAGCTGTGTGTAAAAATATTGAAGATTGAAATAACGCATTTATTTTCCACGTAAACACCTGTAAAGCCATCAATAATGTAGATCGAAGTCGTCGATCAAATTCATTCTTACTGATTCGCGGCTTAGCTCTATCGGAGCTCATAATATAACGGATATTATTATATGCAAAAAGGGCTACGCAGAAGACATATTAGGTCAATGTGCTCCCTCAGTTTGCGTCATTTTAGACCAACTGTATTCTGTCTAGGTCACACGCCTGGCATAATTCTAAAACCCAAGTGATATATGGTAACTATCGTGATATATTGAAATTGAGAATAAAGACTTTCTCACGAGAATTAACGACGAAAAATTCTGTGAGTTCCGTTTTGACTTGAAACTAGTAGAGCTATTCTCAGTTAATTCAAGTAAACGTTAGTGATGCTTAGAAATACCACATCCAACAAGTCAAGGAAACCTTGGAATCAACCCGCGAAACTCCTTTACTTAGCTTCTTCTGTTTTTACTTCAGACGAGGCTCTCAAATATCAACTATTTATAAAGAAATTGATAATTCTTAAAGCACAAAAGTAGAAGTGAAGTAAATGAACACAATGATTCACCCTGAGCCCGGTGACGCAATATGAGGACTATGACCGACAGTCCTTCAGGGTCAACGACCCGTAGGGTTGCGGTGACTTGCCAGTGTCAGACAGAACGAACCTGCTGTCCATTTGGCAACGAAATCTTACTATATAGGCCTTTCCACTTCAATGTATACCTAAGTAGATGTAACAACGACATATAATAATTTGAACTTGACATTTAGAATATAGTGTTTATACATTTGTAATCCTATCGTATAATCAAATACTAGTAGTAGTTTGTCAAGTTGTAACCTCCTTAGTCTAAGCCTCCTCTCAAGTTGACGTTTCATTCATACATCCTACGCTAAGCTGAAGCAACTAAAAACACACTTATCCAAGTTTGTCCTCCATAAATAGATAAGAAACAACGCTTGTAGCGTCACAGCGTTCTGTGACGTCACTGTACACTAAATTTGTCACGGATGCGTAAATTAATGGAGTGTCAATGCGACATAATGTTTTCGGAAAAATTGTTTTAAGTGACTTTTATTATTTGTTTAATTAAGTAGTCTATGGTAAAGTGCAATGGTGCGAGAAGCACTGAACTTGCGTAATGAATGACCACCCACGTTAGTTAAAGTTCGTGCACGTGGATGCGGTGCGGTACGTGAGTACACGTGCCGGCTTATTGCGCGGGAAACGATGGATTTCCTGATGGTGAACTAACAAGAGATTGAGCATGTACTTCATTGTTATTTATATTTAGATTAAGACAGTGATAACAAAACTGTTTATCTTGTTCTCAAATTGAAATGTTCAGTGAGTTAGGCAGTGGACGTTTTGTGGCAAATAATTTGATGGTTTTACAAAAGAAAACGAGCAAGGAACATGATACAATATATAAAATCATTTCGTTTACCTACCAAGATGTGATGGCACACTTCATTTAGACGCATGGCATCGGTTTGGATGGAACTTCCAATCAACAGGAAAAATTGATCCAAAAATAATTTATTTTGGGAATCAAATAATATACTTTTTTTTTGTATAAAAATAAATTTTGTTTCGTCGGGAGAGATGTAAATTATATTTTTATTTGATTACGATCAAAGACTTACGTCACTGATATAATGATCACAAGCACAACTGTTCGGCAAACAGTTTTCGAGTTTGGAACACCCGGGCGGGGTACACAATGCATACTATATAACATATAATTTTTTTTAGGTAAATTCTTGAATAGTTCCTGTCGTAAGGTAAATCCTGGTCCTCTAACTCATAGCAAATAAAGTATAATGTGTAATTAAGTAGTCTTTTTTTTTCTCTATGAAAAATCATTAAATGCCTTCTCGCCGTCCTGGATGTAGCGAGAGGGAGTTTTAGACTTTTATTGACTAAAACCCACCCAGTTGCTTTTTTTGCTCAGTGCCAGGGCCGCGGAACATTAATGCGCTTACATCTGTATCCCCATCAGGTATAGTGGGTCTGCGATACTTTTATCATAACTTTTAACACATAACAGTTACGAATACATAATGCAAATGTCAAATAGTACTAAGGCCTGTTTTGATCTACGATATGCGAGTACAAAACGTGCCTTAATTACGTAACAAAGTTTATGCCGTTATTTCAAGATTTGGTAACAATACTGTAGTACCTAATTGTTATGGTGGCAACCAATTGAATTGTAAGGCTTCTTTCTTACTAACTCTGTTGCTATCATGTTTATTGCATAGTTACTGGAATTAGTGTGCTTCTATTTTTAACCGACTTCAAAATAGGAGGAGGTTCTCAATTCGACGAGTATTTTTTTTTTTGTTTAAGTATTCATTGAAGGAGATATTTTTGTCAATAGAGGAAAGTTTAAGGAGGTTAATATTACATTATATGGGATTGGGACCATAAGTTATGAAACATGGGAGCTCTTCAATCTAGCTTCCATCCAACCTTAGATTCTTTCAAACTCTTCATCCAACTACAGTAGAACAAAGGGCGACTTAATACAACATTACCAAGAAACTATTGAATAAATTTTAACGAGTATTACCTGAAGAGATCTAAGATTTTTAAGTACTTATAAAGTACTTTAAGTACTTATAAAGTCTTGAGTTTTCTTTTACCGTCGTCACGGCACCAGCTCAAACAATATTACGTCACAGACACAACATTATTACTTTGTAACATTCTAAAAATATATAAGTGCCTTCGTCTAAATCCAGCTTCTGATACATTATTTTACATCGATGACAGACATTTTTTTAGATCCTATATTTTTACGTAACAAGATTGTAACTGTATTGGGAATTTACATGTAAAAATAGACTATACCGTACTGGGGTAGGAAAAATGGAGACCGAGAAAGGGATACTCCATTCATTATTGTGGTACGAAATCCAAACTATAGTAAAACAAAGCCATTTAATGATGTT